TTAGTCCGTCATTATTCATAGCTAGTATTAGCTGTAGCATACACTAAGTAAAGTAAATTCAATTTTAAAGCACAAATCTGTCAAAAAAACAACAATAAATAATTTTTTAACTGCCAAGAAGTGAAAACAAACGACAGTCGCGAAGAAACCAATCAAAACACACATTATATCGGGGGGAGCTCATTAAAATTTAGCTGAATGTTTGGCTTCAACCAATCACAGGACAAAACTATAAGAGTTATCGTTACAGCTTATATTACAGTTCACTGGGTTTGTGCTTTTGCATTTAAAAACTTATCTTTTGTGGCGTTTTGACGTAGAAACCGCGCAAAAGACTAGGGCTCAGTCTTACCAATATTCTTCAAATTAAATAGTATTTAGAAAAAGTAACGCAAAGTTTACTTTTCAAAATTTTATAAATATAAAAATTCCATTTAGCTTACAAAAGGACTGGAGCGACCTGTATGGCAGCCGTCATCTGGTTTAACTCCCCCCCTGACTTTTCACTCCAGTTGTTATTACAGTTCAATGGCTTTAAGTACTCTCAAGTTTTGCTTACACGTAATTTTTGTAAATTGAGGAATTGAAAAAATTTACAGTTGGAAAGTTGAACACTTTCAGTGGATCATATCGTCAGGATAGACTTCTTGTCTTTCATTTATTTATCCCCGTTATATTAAACATATGACATGTTTTTGCTTGGCGAATAGAAAGTAAGTAAAAATAATAATCCGTTAAACTTGTAAATGTCTTTATTCTCAATTAGCCTCGTGTAAGTTGTGTGTGTTTATCCTAACTTTAATTGCACGCAGTTGGGATACTTTCATAAGTGAGATGGTAGAGTGAGTTTTGACAAATTAAGGCGAGAACTGCTACTAACCTAACGAATCTTTTACTAAAGATGTTGTATTTCTCATGCTACAAACAAAACATATTTAAGGCCATATTAGTTCTAAATCTTGCGTCACAAGTGGACATTTAGACTTAACTTCTGTTCTTATTTCTGTTTTCAAACATTGTCAGTAATCAAAATCTTATAAAGAATGTGATATTTTATGGGTCTTAGGATAATTTTACCGAGGTTTTCCGAATATTCTCGAGTTAATCCGTTATCTTCCGATCTTAAAAATTAGATGTAATATGAACTTTTTGCCATTTTAGTGAACTTTGATGCAGGCGAGCATGAAATTTTAAAACTTCATCTGGCAACACTGACTGGCTTTAAGTATTTTGAAATTTGCTTACGCTTAATTTTTGTAAAATAGAAAATTGAAAAAATTTACAGTTGGAAAGTTGAACATTTTCAGTGGATCATATTGTCAGGATAGACTTCTTGTCTTTCATTTATTTATCCCTGTTATATTAGACATATGACATGTTTTTGCTTGGGGAATAGAAACTAAGTAAGAATAAAAAATCGGTTAAACAAGTAAATGTCTTTGTTCTCAATTAGCGTCGTGTAAATCGTGTGTGTTTATTCTAACTTTAATTGCACACAGTTGGGATCTTTCATAAGTGAGATGCTAGATTGATTTTTGACAAATTAAGGCGAAAACTGCTACTAACCTAACGAGCGACCTGCATGGCTGCCATCTTCTGGCTTCAATTCCCCCCTGACTTATCGTTCCAGTTGTTATTACGGTTCACTGGTCTTTAAATATTTTGATATTTGCTTACGCTTAATTTTTGTGAAATAAAGAATTGAAAAAATTTACAGTTGGAAAGTTGAACAATTTCAGTGGATCATATTGTCAGGATAGAGTTCTTGTCTTTCATTTATTTATTCCCGTTGTATTAAACATACGACATGTTTTGTTTGGGGGATAGAAAGTAAGTAAGAATGAAAATCCGTTAAACAAGTGAATGTCTTTGTTCTCAATTAGCCTCGTGTAAATCGTGTGTGTTTATCCTAACTTTAATCGCACACAGTTGGGATACTTTCATAAGTGAGATGCTAGAGTGGGTTTTGACAAGTCAAGGCGAAAACTGCTACTAACCTAACGAACCTTTTACTAAAGATGTTGTATTTCTCATGCTCCGGTAAGGTAACATGACCAATGTTGTGCTTCATCCCATTTTTTTTAATGATATTGATGTCTAGTGCATGTTAATTGTCAAAACTTATTGCAATATGATGATAATTTAGTTTGAGGTGGAGTTATGTTTCCCTTTAAATTCCCATTGAGATTTTTTTAGTTTTCTCTTCGAGCTAGAGTGAAATATTTAGTGAAGAATTAGTTTTTATTTTTAAGACATGTTGCTGAGACTTTGCTAAACATTTTGCTCTGATATACTCTCATGTTCTTCTCTCGACTGTGATTTTTAATATCAAATAATGAGCATTTTGCAAAAATATCTATTGGTTATATACTTGACAATAAAAATGTGTAATTTACAGTTTTACATCTAAATATGGGATGGACAATGTTTAATATTTTTGATTTGCTAGTAAATTTGCAGTTAATTTGATTGAGAGTGGCAAATACTGTTCATAGTTTATCCATTTAGTATAACTGACTTCTTTGCTCTCAATTTGAAGGACAGCAGTAATTGTCGCAGAATAGAGCAGTCGTTTTTTTAATGTTACAAATAAATAAATTATTAAGTTTAAAATATATTTGATTTCTATGTTAAACTAGTTAATAAAAATGTATCCAAAATATGAGCATTATATGTTAAACAATATTTAGCACAGTTGAACATGAAATCAGGGGTGAACCAAATGAGTGTAGGGATGTCAACTGACCTGGGGGTGAGCTTTAGCACCCCTCTGACAAGATTGATCATAAAAAATTTAATGCATAGCAAATTTATTACCAAAAAAAATAGGAAAAGCTTTTTCAATGTTTTTATCTGTTGTTTTGCAAGTCGCCAATTTTGGATTATGTAAACTCTGAGTACGGTGTTTTCACGATCAGAACAACATCATAAAGATTTTAGCCACCTGGGTGTATTTTCTCTACTTAGCCCCCCGGGTTTTTTTACTACCTTTAAACTATGGAATTAATGGAACGGAGAATGTCCAAAAAGAAGCTATTCTATAACAAATTTTCACGCAAAATTGCTGGCGCAAAATAAATTACGCAACACATGCTTCATAATAATTTAGACATGATAGCACAGAATAAGAATATACAGAAGAGTCCCTCGTGTCGGAACCTTTGATGTTTTCGTCCTCGCGCATGTCGTGCCGCCATTATTCCAGCCAGATGATTAAGGTTTTTGACTTTTTCCAAACCTTTAAAATGATCCAAAGTCATTTCTTAAGTCAAAATATATTTAAATTATTAAGTATTGACGTCATGTAATTTTAACGGTTAGAAACAAGTGAGAAATCCTAATCATATTGCTGGAATAATGGACGACATGAGGACACTTTGTACACCTAAGTAACCATTCTGTATAGTCGTTGTTCTGTGGTATTAGTTTAAACATGACGTTAATTTTATCGGAAATTTCAACATTAATCAAGTTATCATTTAGTCGTAAATTTTAAACGAGTAAAGCTTGTAACAAAAAATAAATCTTAATTAGCATTTGTTGATTTCATCGCGGGATTGACCCGTGATTTTTTCATTTTACTGAAAGGGGAGGATAGAGGGTGTAATATATGCACATAATTAACTATAAATTTCCGTTATGTCATATATAATTAACATTCACTGAGGCATGACTTCATTATTATGTTAGCACATGTAGAGCAAGAACGTGTAAGCTGAGAGATAGCTAAATAAACGTAGACTTATAACTATCAGAGTTATTACATGGTGTCAGAAGCGGGATACCATAAAAAGCAATTAGTATGGCATCAGGTAACCTTCAATGGGCAGCCCCCAAACCTCTGAAATTAGACGGGAACGTTAGCGAAAACTTTCGTAAGTTTGAGGAGCACTGGACGCTGTTCGAGAAGACCGAACTTAAAGGACGCTCTGAAGAGGAAAGATGTTCCTACTTTCTTTTGTGTGTAGGAGAAAGGGGCAGAGAAGTATATAAAACCTTAACATTCGCAACGCCAGAAACAGAGACCAATGCTGAGGGAGAAATAACGTGGTTGAGAACAACGAATGAGTTAAAATCCGCGTTTAAAACCTACTGCAACCCAAGAAAGAACATAACGTATGAAAGACATAAATTCAACATACGAAATCAAGAAGACAACGAAAGCATCGACCAGTATGTGACTGTCCTACGCACTCTCGCCGCAACATGTGAGTTTGAAGCACTTCATGACGGGCTTATTCGCGATAGAATAGTATGTGGAATACGAAACCAAAATATCAAAGAACGCTTACTTCGAGAGTCGGATTTAACACTGCCGAAAGCTGTAGATATATGTCGAGCGTCTGAAGTATCTCGCGAGCAAATGAAATCTCTAAACGACCAGAATTCTGCCAATGTCGACACATTGGGGAATGATCAGCTAAAACATGGTTATAAAGGGAAATTTCACAACCAAAAAAGCAAAAACAACAAACCGGAAAACGGAAGATCTCCAAAGAAATGCGGCAATTGCGGTCGAATTCACGAGCCGAAATCATGTCCGGCATATGGAAAAAAATGTAATTGTCAGAAATTGGGACACTTCGCTAAGTACTGCCGATCACAAACAAAAAACAACAAGAAATCGATACACGACGTCGATTATGAAAGCGACTCTTCAGCGCACGGAATAGATATGGTAAAGAAAGCTGTCACAAATGACAGTGATGAGGAACACGCATATCTAAAAATAAACAACAAGACAATCCGAGTGAAACTTGACTCTGGGGCAGAAACAAACGTTCTGAGTAAGAAAGATTATGAAACTATTATTCCAAAGCGGCAACGTTTTAGTAAACCCGAAGCTCAGCACAGCAAAATTGACTGCTTTCGGAGGCCACAATATTCCAGTCATAGGGAAATGCTATTTAAAATGCCAATACAAAGGAACAACGCAAGTACTCGAGTTTCAAGTGGTTGAAAATGGTAAATCATTGCTTGGATGCGCCAACTGCAAAAGTATGAAGCTCGTAACATTCCACAATGTAGATCAATTGCGCAGTAAACAGAACGACGGGACTACACATATAAGTTCACTGACAGGACTTTCCAGAGAACAAATATTTGAGAAATACTCAAAATGCTTTGACGGATTAGGACGCATATCAGATCCTTATCATATCAAGATCAAGCCTAATGCAACACCTGTCGTTCATCCTCCTCGTAAGATACCTTCAGCACTGAGAGAACGTGTCCACAACGAGCTAACGGATATGGAATCCAAAGGAATAATTAAGAAAGTGAATGAGCCAACAGCATGGGTCAACTCGATGGTAGTTAATGAAAAACGCTCTGGAAAGTTACGCATTTGCATCGATCCACGTGACCTCAACAAAGCTTTCCTCAGAGAACATTACCAGCTTCCCACCCAGCAAGAGATTACCAGCCGTTTGACCAATGCCAAATTCTTCAGCAAACTGAATGCAAACTCGGGATTTTGGCAAATGCCTCTTGACGAGGAGAGCTCTTACCTGACGACGTTTAATACGCCATTTGGTCGATATCGTTTTACTGTAATACCCTTTGGAGTAGTGTTCGCACAAGAGGTGTTCCATAAAACAGTACACGAGAAGTTTCAGCATCTAAAGGGATGCGAAACAGATATCGACGATATACTAATCTGGGGACGGACACTGGAGGAACACGATCGCAACCTGGAGCGTGTTCTCAATCGTGTAGCAGACGTCAATATGACACTAAGCAAGGATAAGTGCCAGTTTCGGCAAACCGAGATAACATACCTTGGAGAAACGTTAACAGCGTATGGTGTCAAACCTGATGAGAGCAAGGTTGAAGCAATCAAGAACTACCCCAAACCAGAAAACAAGCAGGACGTCCAACGGTTGTTGGGCATGGTTAATTTCATCGCCAAGTTTGCACCAAATGTTTCGGACGTCACCGCTCCACTGAGAGAACTTATAAAGAAGAACATTGAATTCCACTGGCATGAAACACATGAGAAAGCATTTCAAGATCTACAACATTTACTAACTCATCCTAATACTCTCCGTTATTACGATGTAGCAAAACCAGTGATACTCCAGGTCGACGCTTCACAGAATGGCCTTGGAGCTGCTTTAATTCAAGACCAGGGTCCAGTAGCGTACGCATCAAAAGCCATGAATGACACACAACGACGTTACGCGCAGATTGAGCTGCTAGCTGTCGTCTTTGGCTGCAAACGCTTCCATCAATATGTCTACGGTAAAACCATAACCGTTGAAAGCGACCATAAACCCCTGGAAATGATACTCAAAAAACCACTATCTCAAGCACCCAGTCGACTCCAGAAAATGTTGATGCAGCTGCAATCCTACGATATAAATCTGGTGTACAAGAAAGGAAGCGAAATGTACATAGCTGATGCGCTCTCGCGTGCATTTCCACCCGAGATTATACATGAACAATTTGAAGAAGACATCGCGTCAGAAAGATTTATCCATCTGATGTCATCAAAGTCTTACGTCACAGACCGGAAACTTCAAGCCATCAAAGATGAAATCCGCAAAGACAAGACTATGCAACTCTTGGTACAACAGATACAAGACGGATGGCCGCCTCATAAGATATTGATACCAACTGAGTTAAAACCTTATTATCCAGACCGTGAAGAACTGACAACGGAAGATGGTCTTATCTACAAGAGCCACAACATCCTGATTCCACCAACATTGCAAGCTGAAACACTCCAGAAACTGCATCAATCACATCAAGGTACTGAGAAGACCAAGAGACTGGCTAGAGAGAGCATATTCTGGCCAGGTATGAACGCACAAATAGAAGAAGTAGTGTCAAACTGCTCAACATGTCAGTACTACGCAAATGCCAATCAACGAGAGCCACTCCATCCACACGATATTCCCAGTCGTCCCTGGCAAAAAATTGGCTCTGACCTTTTTGATTGTAATGGAAAACCACATCTAATAGTTGTTGATTATTATAGCCGGTATCCCGAAGTGGCTGAACTTCGAGACACGAAAGCACAAACAGTTATTAACATGACAAAGTCCATATTCAGTCGTCATGGAATCCCAGAAACTGTAGTGTCCGACAATGGCCCACAATACTCGTCGGAAGAATACAGACAGTTTGCAAAAGACTATAATTTTTGCCACAACACCATAAGTCCGAGATATCCACAGTCTGGTGGATTACATGAGAAGACAGTCCAAACAATGAAGAATATTCTAAAGAAATGCAAAGCTAACGGCGAAGATCCATACCTCGCGTTGTTAGATTATCGTAATACCCCTATTGACGGTGTAACTCCGGCGCAAGCACTAATGAGCAGACGACTTCGATCAACCATTCCCACCTCTCAAAGAAAACTTAATCCAAAGCTCATCAACCGAACTACGTTTAAAGCAGCACGTCAACAACAGCAAGAACAGCAAAGAAAACACTATGACCGCACAGCCAAGTCTTTGGCACCACTTGAAGAAGGAGATATTGTTCGATTTCGTAAAGATCCTGCAGCACCATGGACTCGCGGAACGGTAACACGAAAACATGAAGCACCCAGAAGCTACATAGTAAAAGGGGAAAACGGGACAGAATGCAGACGGAATCGCAGACATCTAAGAAAGACAAATGAAGAAATATCTGATTACAACACCACGGATATTGACGGTGCCCAAGTCCTAACACCACAACAACAAGAAGCTAGTAAAGAAAAAGACAACGTCTCAAATCCTACACAAACTGATACAAATCACCAAGTGAAAACAAGTCAAAATGGTAGACGAATCAACCCAAATCCAATTTACAAGACTTGAAATATAAACGTGTTATCTATAGCACCTGAACACTTAAACTTAAACTATTTTCAATTAAAGAAAAGAGGGATGTAATATATGCACATAATTAACTATAAACTTCCGTTATGTCATATATAATTAACATGCACTGAGGCATGACTTCATTATTATGTTAGCACATGTAGAGCAAGAACGTGTAAGCTGAGAGATAGCTAAATAAACGTAGACTTATAACTATCAGAGTTATTACAGAGGGTGAGGGTTTATTTTTTGTGCTACTTTTTAGGTGAGATTTATTTTTGAAAATACCAGGCGCAATAATGGAAACATGAAGTTGAGCTAGTAACGCTTATTGTTAGATGGAAGAAGGAGTACTTTACACTACTTTCAAACTTTCTATTTAAACTAAGAAATATATTTTACGATGCAAAGTAGCTGACGGTGAAATTGTTTATTTGTGCATTTGTGTCAACTATGGCAACTTTACAAGTTCAAACAAATAAAAAAAATACCGTTTTATAAAGAGTGCATTTAGAGTCAACCGATGCTGAAGACAACAACTCGAAACTAAGCGCTCCCCTGATAGTAGCCACTATAAAGCCACTTAATTCGGAAGTAGCAAGCTGACTACGGTAATATTGCTCAGTTTCTGTTTTTAATTTTTCAGATTCCAATGAAGCGAAAGTCTAAAGTTTAAATGTTTGGCAACAGATAAAGACTTTCTCAAAGGTTAGTATATCATTAAAATATTATGTTAGAAAAACAGAGTAAAATAAAATTATATCAAACAAGTGGAAACATACGACTAAAATCAGTTAGGTTATAGAGTGTTTAACAGACTGAGATTTGCGTAAAGAGATAAAAAGAAATTGTATTTGTGGCTCACTACACTCACGACAATGTCATGTTGATCATAGTTGTATTTCAAAGTTCTAGTAAAACGAAACTTTTGCTTATTTAAATTGACATTTCTATTGAAGAGAACATTTTTATTGAAGAGAACATGACAGTAGACTTCGTATTTCTTAAGATGTCGAAGTTTTGAAATGACTGTTTTGCACAACTAGTGACGTCACATTGCATAATGAGATATGGAATAATCAAGAATATTTGCTGATAAGTTACATCAAATGGACAGAGCTTCACTCGTTGTAAAGTGTTAATTATATAAAATACTTCATTAGTATTTCTTTAGAAAGATGTCACAAAAAGGAAGGATATTTATAAATTTGCAACAACAATTATGCATTATAACATCACTGGTTGTGTAGATGAACTGTTTTAAAACGTTCACTGTCGTTTTGAGATTTATATACGTAACACGAAACAAATTCCCAAAATAATTTCCATCTTTAGCTCATAATTAACGATTAAAGAAAGCACAAAATAAGATATAGTGATATTTCGAATTTATTACAGTTAAAATGGAAATAAAATTACAATGAAAATATAAAATGATAGCACAATTTTGAAGGATGTGGAAAAATATTTCGATTTTACAATGTTGTAAAACCTGATCATTAACTCTGTATTTGGAATCGATTTTCTGTTAAGAGTCATCCGCCTTAAACTTAGAACAAACTTCCGCATTATCAAAATTGTTCACACCAAGTTTCACAGCGTTGTGAAGTGGAATTAACCCAAGCTTTTCGTTCAAAATATTTTCCACATTCTATAGTTGCGATAAAAAAATTGATCCTATCAGAAACGCGTAAAAGGCAAAATATTTGAAAAACTGCGATTCTGTAATACAAATCCATAGAAAGGTGGTTTCCCAAATTCGATTCGCTAAAATTTACTTCCGGTTTCAATTTTTACAATTTGATGCGTTATCCAATCTATTTGAGACACGTGTGTTTTGTCCATCAAATACATTTGACTTCCGGTGTCACTGCCATATTGAGAGAAAGCCTCTGGGAAATTTCACTTAGAAGTACTATTATATTGTGGTAAAAATAAAATTCTTAAGGCTTATATTGTATTTTTCATTAATTATTTTTTACCAAACATCTAAGTAGTTCAAGAACAAGAAGTTTTGGACCCTTATTCAGTTATTCGATGTTAAAGCAATTGATACAGATATTGTACATAAAAAGTTATACACCCAAGTTATCAATAGTATATAACACAAAAAAATGTAAAGAAAATGTCTCGCATAAGGCATTATGCATTTCTAAATGTTAAAGCGCCATAGTAGGAACAATAAATACGAAAAACCGATATTTCTCTATAAATGTCGATATGATGCCACGTTGAACGAGACCTCTCAACATGGCGTTTTGGAGACAAAAATTTCAATGCTCTGACGAGAGTTTGTGATCTCTATTCTTTGCTATAAGTGATATAACAGTGGTTTATGTTACCCCCATGAAATCTGTTGCTTCTGGGGAAAATGTATTTGAAGATGAGCAAAAATATTGGCAGTGTTATTATTAAGTATTGTAAACATATTGAATACAACCTACACTAAACAGTCTCAAGTTTATAAAATGCATATTAGTAAACAATCGACTCAATGGTATTTTCATTGTTCATGCGAAGTTTCTAGATTGTGTAGTTTTCAAACATTACTGCTCGATAGAATTTAAACGTCATAAGACAGAAATAAAGAATATTTCGCACATAGAAATTGTATAGTTTTAGATACCTTCGATGGTAAGAACATTGTTTATCTACATCATCGTACGAATCTCCATGGAGTTTGATTTTCGCAAACTATTCAAACGATTACTATTTATGTTATTATATTATTATACTAACTTACTAAAGGAAGGAGTAGGTTGCTGGTAAAAGACATGGTTCTTTTGCCAATAATATATTGTAGACGCTTTCTTCCAAGGTGAAACATATTTTACGGGATAACACTGTGACAGAGCAAGAGCTTATTTCTTAGAAATCTTTTTTATGGCATTTTTTGAATGAAAAACGCGAAAATTCAGAGCGTTAAAGATTTAAAATGATCATGTCTTACAGTTGTCATGTGAAACTCTCGAAATGTTTACAATTCATGAATAGCGTTTATTTTTATTATATTTTTGTATTCTAAGCGTTCGTAAGATGTGTAGTTTTAAAATAAAATAACCTACCGCCAAGGCCGATCTTTTTCGAAAATATATGCCATTCTTTGACCAATCTATGGCAATCTAACAAATGAACAACATGTCTTCTCTATATCAGTAATTTTACGGCTGTTGATGTTTGCGTAGGTCTTCAAACTATAGCTGTGTAACACAGTTGGGGTTTGCATTAATTGAAAAATCAACATGGCGGAACAAGACGGCAAAAGCATTGTGAATTATATTAGAAAAATTAACTTTTTGCATGTCTTGCCAGTGTATTGTTTGTAAAGTTATCCAATCAAGTTCTATAAAAAATTTTCTAATAAACTGAAACGATTTGTTGGTATAAATTTTCATTTGACAAAATTTAAATATAGGACAAACACAACTTTTTGGTATTATTAATTTTTGTCATACATCATAGATCTGTCATTTTTTTAATATATGTTAAAGTGTTTAAAGATATTCAATCATTTCTATCGATATGACAACCATTTATACTTCAAGCACTATCAAAGTCAAAATGACAAAATCTTTTCAATTTTAAAAATGCATGATTGCAAGTTTGACTCCACACTTTGTTTGAAACTGGACTTTCATTTTTTTTTCCTTGCGTTTGCTTGAAAATAAGAACGAAGCAACAGATTTTTAAATCCAGTTAAATGACAAAGAATGACGAACACTGTCGAACACTGTTTCAGATAAAAAGAGAAAATGAAAAAAAAGGGAAAAGAAAAATGAAGAGAGGAAAAATGAAAAAATGAAAAAAAATGCAAGAAAATGAAAAGAAAATGAAAGAAAATTTTTTGGCTAAGTATTTTTCGTCATATTTCCTGATTATACTGTCTTTTCAGCAAACAGTGTGATTTTCAGTAGGTTTTTTCTTCCATGAACGCTGTAAGTTACAACGAACTCAATGTAGTTAAGTTTCAGCTGTAAAAATTATCTTTTCCGAAGAGTTCGCCGTTGTGTGTCGTTTGTCGTGGCGTTGTTCACAGGGACGCCAGAACAGGAGGGGCTGAAGTTCCCCACTTTTTGCAATAAAGATATTTAGACTGAGCTGAAATTGTTCTTTAAAAGTGTTTTTTAAGACACTATAGTAGAATTGAAGACTTAGCCTCTTTATATGTTACTCCGCAGTCCCTGGTTTATTGGTTTGTGCCAGTGAACTGTATAACAACTGGAGCGATAAATCACAGATTTATGAGCTTTTTGCTCTGTTCATAAACATTTCATGATAATTAAAAGTTTGTGAACTTTTGTGAACTTTTCTATATATTATGCATTTTTGTATTTTCGTCATTTTTATAAAGAATGTATAGATAAATCATAGTTCAATGGAAAGAAAATCTTCATAGCTCGACAGTTCTTTCAAAACGAATACTTCCGAGAGTTTTCGAAAATTTCCGAGGTTTTCCGAAAATTCCCGAGTTAATCCGTTAACTTCCGATCTTAAAAATGAGATGTAAAATGAACCTTTTGCCATTTTTGTGAACTTTTGACGCAGGCGAGCATGAAATTTTAAAATTTCATCTGGCAACACTGACTGGCTTTAAGTGTTTCAAAATTTGCTTACGCTTAATTTTTATAAAATTAAGAATTGAAAAAATTTACAGTTGAAAAGTTGGACATTTTCAGTGGATCATATCGTCAGGATAGACTTCTTGTCTTTCATTTATTTATCCCCGTTATATTAAACATATGACATGTTTTTGCTTGGGGAATAGAAAGTAAGTAAAAATAATTATCCGTTACACAAGTAAATGCTTTGTTCTCAATTAGCCTCGTGTAAGTCGTGTGTGTTTATCCTAACTTTAATTGCACGCAGTTGGGATACTTTCATAAGTGTGATGGTAGAGTGAGTTTTGACAAATTAAGGCGAGAACTGCTACCAACCTAACGAATCTTTTACTAAAGATGTTGTATTTCTCATGCTACAAACAAAACATATTGAAGGCCATTTTACTTCTAAATCTTGCGTCACATTTGGACATTTAGACTTAACTTCTGTTCTTATTTCTGTTTTCAAACATTGTCGGTAATCAAAATCTTATAAAGAATGCGATATTTTATGGGTCTTAGGATAATTTTATAGATTATTTGCTGTTATGGTTTTTACTTCTCAGACGTACGAAATTTGCTGTGTCAATATGAACCACCATGACATAAGAAATGGAAAAACATGAAATAAAACATTCAATTATCCCAATTTCAACTGAAATAGCCTTATTTACACTTACACATTACATAAGTCGTTTTGGTAAGGTAACATGACTAATTTTGTGCTTCATGGCATTTTTTTGAAATGGGGGGGAGTGAGCTTTAGCACCCCTCTGACAAGAATGATCATAAAAAATTAATGCATAGCAAATTTTTTACCAAAAAAAAGGAAAAGCTTTTTTAATGATTTATCTGTTCTTTTGAAAGTCACCAATTTTAGATTATGTAAGCTCTGAGTACGGTGTTTTAGTCACCGTATTTAGCCACCTGGGCGTAATTTCTTTACATATCCCCCATGGGTTTTTACTACCTATTATTGCCAAAATATAGAACTTCAAAACAAAGATAAGCACCACCGATACCAATATTTTGAGTATAGAAATGAAATTATGTTTTTTTTTTGGTTTTTTGGATTTTTTTGATTTGTATAGGTTCTCTGTTTGAAAACGGGCACGCTTGTGCATTCTTATTAATTTAATGATTTCAGTGCTTAGAGGAAACAAAATTTGTTCTTCATCATATTTAGATTAGGATAACCGAAAATAGTTGCAAGTAACGCTATTTTGTGGAAAATAATGCTTTGCAATTATCTTTTCTTTTTTTCGCAGACTTTAAAACAAAAGGAGACCCGTCAAAATATGAGTCAAATTAATCCCGTGAGCGCCTTGTTACGATATGTTATGGCCTTTGTTACACAGTTAAGTAATTATGTACCGCGTCCAGAGCTTACTACTGCTGTTCAAAACTTGGGCGACCGAATCACAGCTGTTCGTGCCAATCTTTGGGACAAATTTGTGATTTTAGTTGGAAAAATTACAGGCCTAGAAAGGAGAATTGAAAGTTTAGAGCGTGAAGTGAGAGCTAATACATCTGCTATACAATGGAATACCGAGCGTTTGGAATACGAGGTAGACGATATGGAAGCACAAAATGCGGCTCCCGAACTTTGATGAAATCATGCAAAGCAATTATTGCTATTTTTCGTAACTACCTGCCAATTTATTATTATTTTTTACTCGGGGAAATGATTTTTGTCTATTCAGTTTTATACTTTGGTAATTTTTAAAAATGTTCATTGTATTTTTTTATTGTATCATAAATCCACGATGATGGAATATCCTTGTGAATTTATAATACAATTGTGTTGATATTATGTTATATTGTATTGTAAATGTAATTTAACATGCAGCTTTGATATAGCAAGATCATAAAATGATGTCCATTTATTTGCAATATATATTACTGTAAGTTTTATCTGAAAAACTCCATACATAAATAAAGAGTCTGTGATGACCTACCGTTTCAATGTTCTGTAAGTACAATTAAATAAATAAAAATGAAATTGCTAATTAAATGTAGCGTAAAAGAGACCCATCCACCAGTTCCACAATTGTTATTTTGAAAAATTTTATATTTTATTGATTCATGATAACCACAATTATAAATCTGACCCATAAGTACGCTAAACTAGCTAATCGCAGTGCGAGAGTCCTGTGATTGGAAGGGAAATAGAAAAACTTGAACAGTGTGGACTTTTTAAAAAAATCCTTCTAATACTTAATGCCGAGAAAAAACCTCTTAATTTGTTGCTCGGCGTAAGACTTGATTAGAAAATTAAGAACTAGAAATAAACTTTGATAGCAATTTGTTAAACTCAGTAAAACATTTTTTTACGTTTAAAAATAAAAGAGCTTTTGACAAAGATAAGTTGATCCATTAGAGTTAAAGGGAAAAATTCATAGGATACTGATGTTGATTGGAACATCATTTTGTATTGACTCAAACTGAAGATGATCATGTGATACCTCCTCATGCAAAAAAAGGATGTATTTACAGACTTTAATAAAACGATTTTATGTAATATAGTGTGGAAAAAAAATTTTTGTAACTGATAACGCTGTGAAAGCTACGCTCGAACTGATCTTGATATCGCGCGCTCTATCTCACATGACCTCCTAGTGACGTAGAACAGTGACGAAATAGAATTTGTTTAATTTCACGTTTATATGACTTTTGCATGGGCTTCTATGGTATGCAATATTTAGGAAACAATATATATTGTTTGAAATTGGATCACGTGCCATTTTATTCGGGACTTCCCCTTAAGCATTAGGGATTTCCCCCAATTTTTTGATCGTTTTAAAGAGCCGAGTTTAACACGGCAACTTTAAACTGTATGCGAGAGCGACTATTTGTACTCCTAAATATTTACGTAAGTATTCAAAATTTTTTAATAATAGTCATGTAACGTTTGCGTAAGCGACGGGATTTTAGTTGAGCGTTATTCCCTCACAATTCATGTTGTATGTTTACATCTAAACTACGTCACAGAAATTTTGTTTCTCCATATATTGTCGCTATTCAATAGTCATGTTCGTGTTAATTTTTGGTGAGTTTTTAACAATAATATAAAGTATGATTTGTAGTATAGTATTTTTGTAGCCTATAGCTATAAATCCCCCCAGTCAGAAATATCAAACATTATTAATTTAGCTTTACCTAAACGTTGCATTCCAACGAAAAGTTGAAATTTTAAAGGTCAAGCGCACATAAATATATGTTTCAGGTTTTAATACTTTCTTTTTTTTGATATTGCTTGCTTCCATTACAACATCGATCGAATGCGTTAATCGGTACGTAGTTTGGATGTAGTATTTCGCTTGTTTTCAAAAATATGAAATGTAAGATTTAAATTAGTTTCGATCGGTTGATAATCAACAGGGAAGTATGAAATGTTATTGAAAGAAACTAAAAAATTGTTACACAACCACAACCTTTAACAGGCTGGCATGAAACATGTACACGTAGTTTGCATATTTCAAAGGGAAAATCCCATGTAGTCAGGTATCAGGTCACGTGCAGGTCAAAAGTTTGGTATTTTTTGCTAACAACTCTTGTTTACGTTTTTCAATTTTTTCCAATTTTTTGAGTTGCTATATTTTACACGCACCCATGTATACACCCCATGTGCTTAGTGTTGGGACATCCTTGCTTTTCCATGCTAGAGAACTTTCGTGTGCATATTCTCAAATGCTTTGTATTATTTGTGTACAGCAACTCTTCTATTTCACTCATTTGAAAATTTCCATCATTCCTTCATAGCGAAAGTGCTGACAACCTATATATTTGCCTCACTTCCGCGTATTGTAAATATACGAGTTAGTTAAAAGTTAATTTCTGAATACATCCATACTATACATAGGTGTAATTATGTAAGATTTGTAGTCACATCAGATATAGTTATGAATTGAGTATGAAGAGTAGAAAATCTAATGATATACAATAAGTAAATTGCAAACCGGTACAAGAGTTTCTATTTATGCACTTCATTTAAATGAATTAAGCAATCTCAACTGTTTTTGAGTAAAATTACCATAACGATCAACATGGCCAATGTGCCGATCCTCAATCCAGGACAAAAAAGTACTAAAATGGAGACCCTCGGACTGATATGTATATTACAATGGATAACGCATTTATGTATAAAGTATAGTAAGGGACAGAACAACTGAGAAATATATGTAATCCTATAACGTTTGTCTTCTTGGCTTTATAATCGCAGAAAATTGAGATGGTACAAGGTCGACCTGCATTGTTTTGAAACAAACTGGAGATTATATCATGATGCTTCTTCTTAAAAAATGTAGAAATATTACAGAATCCTACTACTGCTACCAAAATTTCATCTGCAATGATGTTTATGAAAGATTGGTACAAATTCCAGTTGCATTGTATTATTAATCCGGCATAGTGGGTCAAGAGAATGAAGCAATATAAACCCGGCATAGTGGAGCAAGAGAATGAAGCATTGTAAATCCGGCATGGTTGATCAAGTGAATGAAGCATAATAGATTTTATTGCAAAATGAGCTTTTTGCATATTTTGCCACCGTATTGTTTGAAAATTATCCGATCAAAAAAGAGACATACACAGCGAGTTTTTTGAGCATGTGTTTGAGTGAAATTGCTGAAACGTTTGTGTAAAATCACTAAAATGATTACTTACCTCTGTTCCAGTGCTTTTTGTCAAATTGTCGTGTATTTTTAGATTTTATTTGAATAGTTTTTTTTTTATCAAATTTTAGATTCTATTCGTGAAAAGAAATACCCTCATTCAAGATGCCTGGGATCAAAATCCGTGATGTAGACAGGAAAAAAATCCAGCCGTACCTCATTTGTACGTACTGTTGTCTTCTCCTTGTCAATCCTATGCAAACCTCGTGTGGACATTTGTTTTGTCAATCTTGTATCGACATTCTTTTTCGGTAAGGAAATATTTGATTCATTCTATAAGACATAATATTATAGACATCATCCAGATGTTTTTTAAATTACAAATAAAAAAATTCACTCCAATCATATAGAATTACTACTCCTAAAGTACTTTTATAATAACTTTTTCTTTACAAAATCACGTGTTGAAAAAGGGCAGTACTTATTACTTGCTCTAGGTTCTTTTGTCAACAGTATCATAATACAAACAAAAGCTTTTAAGAACTGATTTGCTAGTGAACATAATTAACCCGAGATATGTAAGTAGCTAAACGCGATAAGTTCAACAAAGTTTGATCTTACTTTTATTAATGTTTTTCTTCACGACATAAAGATATTTTGTCACTTTGCTGCTAATACATATGAATGCCGAGCATTTTTTTTTCCTCTCTTTCAAATGTGAAATAGCATATCCGATATAGAAACGTGGAGGCCATTGCATGAAAGAGACATGATTCATCATTAGAAAAGAAATTCTATTTCTGCTAATTTACTTATAGTTTTAGTTGACAACAAATAGCAATGTGATATCAGTCATATCACTATAGTCTAGTTTTTCCAATTATTATAAATATGTATGTAAAAGTTGGATCATTCGGTGGTGACACATATTATAAATTTGTCCAATGCTTGAAGATATTTAAATCTAAATGTAGTTTATCTAAGCTGAAACCACAGATTGGACATGTTTTTCTTACCGGTGCCCATTGTATCACTGTATACATTGTTGAAAGTTTTCCTATACATTCAATCTGTAGAAGTCCTGATCCAAAATGTCCTGAAGATCAAGAAAAACTGAACAAGAACAGAGTATGTGGAAGTATTCCTTAGTTTAGACAAGAAACTTCAATATACAGCTTTATGAATCGTTGATAGTATCAATACAGTATCATGTCATTTCAAAAAAAACACATTCTTCAGACATTAATCATAGAGTGATGAACTGTTTGTTTAATGACCTTTTGAAATTGTATAAATCTTTTATAGATTAACCCAGATGCTTTCCGAAAACGAGAATTGAAAAGCTTTTTGTTGCATTGTCCTTCTGAAGAGTGCAAATGGTTTGGCCCCTACGAAGAATTGGAAGTGAGTTGTCTTCAGGAAGTTCTATCAAAACCTTTAACTAACTTTACAGTTTCTTTTATGCAGGGTCATTCTCAAGTTTATAAGCATGTGCTCATCACCTGCGTGCACTGTGCAACTGCTGTTGCTTTTGGTACGCTTAAGATACGTGGAATATTAGCGATCAAAGGGATTAATACTTTGAGATAAGATGAAAAACCTGAGCTGAAATATATAGCGATATTTATCGCAAAATATATTTCTTATAACAATCGAACATTTGTCTCAAACACATATTATATCTCAATACACAAATTTTCTGTTTCCCTGCCATAATTTTGCTGCTGCTCTCTTTCACCATCTTTCGAATCAGTGAAATAACGTTACCATAATTTTAATCCAGCAACTAAATTTTCGTTGCCTTGTACCTTATTTTGACATATAGGACCACATGTGTGAAAATTCTCCCGTGGTTTGTAAGTATTGTAAGAAAAAGATACCAAGGAAAGATATTGAACAACATGAAAGTACGACTTGTGATGAAGGGACGACTAATTATGAATTTCAAGCCATTGGATGTAGCTATGATGAAGTAAGTATATTTGGACTGTACACATTTTTATGTCAATAATTTTTTTTTATGCTTAACAATTTTAGAAGACAACATCTTATTTGTAACATTATTATCATAAAATTTGAGGTTGAACTGCACAATCAGGATTGCGATGAAAAAGAAGAAATATACACATGCACAGGCATGCATTCTCATCAATAGAAAATAGTATAATTGGTACAAAGAGCAAAAACATTAGATGTAAGTTTGTGCACAACAAAAAATAATCGTATGTTAAATAACTATTGGATTATTCTCTTGCTTTACTTACACTTTGCATCCGTTACTGTCTATTAAGTAACACAATCTTTGGCTTGGATGACAATCATTACTTTTCAAAACTACTAGACAAAACCTGAGCATTTTTTTCGTGTACTATAGTTTCACCATATCAAAAAGTCTACTCTTAATCAATTCCACTTTTGTAACGATCAGTCACCAGTCATGGCATAAGACAAGGTGCAAAAACTAATCATGATGGTCAAGACATGCAATGCAAAAGAGAATGAAAGAAAAATAAGCCAAATCACTCTTCGTACGTTCATTGTGTAACCCATCTCAGCGTTTGGACATATATGTAAACCACCTTATTCCATGATTGTATATACTTGCATTTAAATTTGGACGCTCTAATTGTTGAAAGCCTTGATGCGGATATACTCTTTAGCGCACCGATGGTGATTGCAAACAATATTTTAGTAAAAAAGTCGTTGTACAGGCTTTAGGGATGTGTCACCGCCACTATATTACTCCAAATTTTTGCCTTACAACAGCCCCTTTGAAATCAAATACAATCAACCGACACCAACTTTAGCAGTATGAAATTCAATGTATCATGGCAGCTTATCACTAGTCATATACAAGCAGCTGTGACATTTATAATTTGCTAACTCAATTATGCAATATGTTATGCTATTAGATGATGGTGCAGGTTTGACGAATATAAGGTTTATGTCTATTGGAAGATATGTAGCGGCTGAGAAACCGAATTTTGCCTGTATATTCCTTATATATATGTATTTCAATGTCTTGAAAGATTAGTCATATTAGTTATATTTTTAAAGTATTATATTAAATAATGTCTTTTTGTTATTTTTTCACAGACTGTAAACCAAGATAACGTCCGGCAACATATGAATGGTTGTCTAATTGTTCACTCGAGCGCCATGTTACGTAATGTTAGAGCATTTCTTACAAGGTTGATACCAGGTCCAGAGTTTACCGCTGCGGTTAAAAACATGGCTGACCGAATCAGTGCTGTTCTTGCCAATCTTTCAGAGAAGATTTCCCTGCTAGTAAGTAAGCTTACAGGTCGTGTTGGCAACGATAGTAACCACGTCCAATTGTCTGTAGATGTTTCCTCAATGAACGAAGGAATCACGACCATGGAGCGACAAGTAAGAGATAATTCCTCTACTATACTTCGACTTTCTGAGCGTTTGAATCAGGCTGATGAATTATTAGCACGAAACGTGATGAAGATAGCGTACCTCGAGCAGCAAATTGCTGCGCATGCTTCTGTATCAAATCAGGTAATACACAGTTTCAACGGTACGTTACTTTGGAAAATAGACAACTTCAATAGAAAGAGACAGGACGCCATTAATGGTATCAAAACGGCTTTGTACAGTCCACCGTTCTACAGTTCTCAATATGGTTATAAGATGTGTGGTAAGATCTATATGAATGGTGATGGTTTTGGAAAGGGAACTCATTTATCCTTGTTCTTTATTGTCATGAAAGGTACATTAATATTTAAAGTTTTACCGCTTTGAAAATTGATACATAAAATGCATCGTAATTAAAACATTTAATTATCATTTTACCATGCACTTTCTTTATTTGACAAAGGCAAATCATTACTTGGTTTTAACATGGATATTCACCCAGGAATTTCTTGAATTTTTATTCTCGAGTTCGGTGATCTGACACTGTAAATCATTACAGTTAAATTGTTTACTATACGTGAGTTTAAGGTTTCTAAAATACTCGTGAAATTTCTCGATTAGTTTTTGAAATTATGGCAATGTATAAAAAGAGTTGAAAAACAACAGCGGTCATCTATATTATTATTCCTAGGTGATTACGATGCACTTCAAACATGGCCATTTCAAAAAAAGATCACAATGATGTTAATGGATCAAGGTAATGAAGGTCACATGATTGATGCTTTTCATTCAGATCCTCAAAGTTCCTCGTTTCAGAGACCAAAGTCTGATATGAATATTGCTTCTGGATCTTCACTCTTCATGCCATTGGAAAGTTTAAAAAATCGTCAATATATTAAAGATGATACACTGTTCATCAAGCTGATCATTGACGAAACAAGTCTTCATTTTTAAAGCACATTTGTTTATTATTTGTTTTAGAAATGTTTTCTTCAAATTCAATTATTTCTTGACAGTAAAAACTTTCTCAAGAAAAACTTGCTTCAAAAGAATGAGATACTCCAATTGAGGTATTGGAAAAAGATTGCGGTTGTTATAGCACAGTGCTACCACAATAGATAGTAATCTAATAGTGTTTTGCCTTGACCTGATATCCTTACACATTTGTACTCCTCATTTGTTTTTTCAATACAATGGTTTCAACCCATTTCCTGGAATACGAAAATGTGAATTTTTTCTATAAACCCCCAATCAATTCTTCTCTGTTAGACAGATGTTCAAGCAGCTCATGACTGAAGGAGATTAACGACCGTTTGTTCACTTTATCCATTTTATCCAACAATTGGCACTTTTTTGACGTTTTTTCTATTTGCAGGACAATTAACATATTTTCATAAAAAGTAGTAAGGGCTTTTTTATCAATGCCTATGTTAAACAATTTATTATTATTTTTTATCTTGATTTCAAATCATTGTTATGTGTATATAGGATTGTGATGTCTTTCGGAAATTGTGATTTTCAAGGAAAATTGGAGATTTCTTGAAAACGATAAAGATGTAACGTGGTTGTATCAAATGCTTATGTAGTTCAATTGCAAACCGATATATTAATGTGATTGATTTTTCTGGCCAACGATATCTTTCTTTAGGTTGACCTCTTTTTAAGGCTTATAAATTCGTTTTAAAGATAACATTGTAACTAATTTTTTTGTGCATTTTATTTTTTATCTTGATTTCAAATCATTGTTATGTGTATATAGAACTGTGATGTCTTTCGGAAATTGTGATTTTCAAGGAAAATTGGAGATTTCTTGAAAACGATAAAGATGTAACGTGGTTGTATCAAATGCTTGTGTAGTTCAATTGCAAACCGAGCTTTCTTATAGGCTTATAAATTCGTTTTGAAGATAACATTGTAACTAATTTTTCGTGTATTTTATTTCTTCTCAATAAACTTATATTTGAAGAAATGCAGCCTATGTGTTTTTGTTTGTGTTTTTGGTATTAATGATCAATCGTAAGTGTCCAAGTAAATTGTGTATAGATTTAACTTAATAAAATATAAATGAAACTTTAAAATATCACACCGTCCCCCACGCATCTGCTTTTGATTTTACCCCATTCAAAAATCTGCCAAATATTAGCTATCTTCAGGACAAAAATTATGGCGGCAAACGGAACGCTTTCACATGATACGTATAGTACGACCACAGCAAACAACAAATAACAGCACATAAAAACTGAATACTGTCGTAGATAGGATATTACTCACGATTTCTAATGTATTCAAGAGCCATTAATTCAATGAAGTAATTTATGGTCAACCGTCGCATGTACATTTTGTGTTTTAGATTATTAGCCGAATTAACACACATCCTTTCAAAACCTGTTGTCACCGATTTCGAAGTTGTTTGGTTGCTAAAAGACATAAGGTTGTCCGGGGGTACACTTTTAGGACATTTTTCATTTTCTTAGCCTGTACATTGTCATTTACAGCACTTTGACGACACTTTTAAAGTAGAAAATAAAGTTTGAATTTTTGTAAAATATGTGAGATCGTCATCCAACGCACTTCAAAAGTTCTGCCATTTTTTTGCTCAAAAATAGTTTCTTCTCAACTCATGGTGTGGCTTCCGTACCCAGCCCACCTAGCCATTACCCCAATTTTATTACTCACCACACACACGACACAGACTTAAAGTGGTTATATCACGAATTTTAGCCCCCCTTTTTTATTAGCTAAATTGAAAGACCTTGTGATTTTAAATCTGCAATTATAATTGAAATTGGATTGGTGAAAGTGATTTTACGGAGGTTCAAAGTCACGATTTTCAGCATTTTTTTGCGAACTTTTTGATCGGTATGCTAATGACTTGTGACGTAGAAAGTTGAACACATATATCAACATGGCGTATTCTACTATTAATCTTAATAAGAAACGCGGAGGAAAACGCTGTGTTGCTGGCGGACCTAATCAAATTAGTTGCGCCAATGATTCAAAAACCGAAGGAATGTCGATGCATCTGTTTCCTAAAAAAGAAACAGAGCCGCAAAGACATAGAAAACGGGTAAATTTTGTGCGTAAACATAGACCGGGTTTTGAGGCTTCCTCTACCTCGTGTCTGTGTTCTGCGCATTTTGAAGATTCTTGTTTTGACCTTAATTTGAGCGTGCAAGTCAAGCTCAAAAGAAGATTGAAGAAAGATACTATCCCAACCATTGACGTGGCTGGGATTCCTGAACCATTACAGGACGAAATAACCGATCGAAAGCGCAGACAAGTAAGTTTACGCTTGTTTATGTTAATTTTTCTTTTGTCATATAAATTCGATATAAGTTTTGTAGATTATTCGACATACTTCCCATAAGCCATCGCTGTAGAATATGAGAATTGAAGCATCAGTAACAAATTATTTTTCATATCAATTTGTAGAATATGTTGAACAAGTAAAGAATGTTCTTTTCATGTCTAATAAACAAGAACTTTCAACTATAATGGAAAGATATAGAGGAAAAGCACCTGAACCTTTGTGCAGCCAGTTTCCCACCAAACGATCCAAGGCTGAGGCAATAAAAAAATATGTTGCGAGGAACAAGCATGTCAGTCATGCACTTTATCCGTGCTGTAAGTATGGGATAATGGTATTGTTTACAATTATTTTAGGATGTAATGATCTGCATTTTTTCCTTAGTGGAACAGCAAAGACAGCAGTGACAAGACCTAACAGATGATGCGGATCAAATATTAAATAGCGCTGGGAATAAAAGTACTCGCAAATGTACTAAATGCAAAGCTCCAATGAAAGGACATCCTCGAGGTCAATGCTCCACTGAAAAAGAATAAATTGAAGTTGGTAGATGATAGGGCAGTGGTCAGACATTGCTTGGAGCCTGTCTGGAATGGAGAAGTAAGGCACCTCCTTCCCACCACCAGCCTGAGGGTTCACCTTAGGCAAGTGATAGTACCCTCTAGCCTCCCTATCTGGGCACTGATATACACACCTTTCCTGATGATTACAGTATTAATATAACATTGAATGGTATGTATACTTGTCAGATTGAAGATGACTATCTCACTCAATTGTGCAACTAATTAATTTTCATGAATAATTTTTTTTATTGTAGTTTAATGCTCAACATGCCCTTTGCAGATGCAGTGCACTCAAGTGTGAAGACCTTATAAGATAAGTTCATGTGGCTTGCTATTTTCCATTTTTATATTTATGCTATGATTTAATTCCATATAATTTTTCTTTTGTCTTTTTTCCCAGACTGACATTGAAGAAAAGATTTTCTTTACCATATAGTGCATCCATGTATCTCCTGTTTGGTTTCATCTAGGCATATTTCCTGACCATTCTAAACTCAGCAAAGAAGGCCAACAGTCTCTACAGTGCACAAGTTAAAAGACCTTTCCATCATCGCCCCTCTGATGGTATGTAACCTTTTGTGTTACCACTTGGATATGCTTTCCGAATAAAGTGGTAAACACAAGCAGGTAAAGGCCGAGCATTCTCCCATCCCATAGACCCACAAAACCATCGCATCAACCATCTGTATGCCACAGCTCTCAAGTACCTGAAGTAAATAAAAAGGTTGGACTAATTATTGTTGATGAAACAATGTTGATGATAACATTGTTTCTCATACAATTTACAATCTTACATATTTAATGATTGTGATGCTTGGCGGCGATAAGCACGTCCATTCCTATCTCTCAATAGTGGCCCGACATTTTCAAGGACAGCCTCATGAACTAAAGGCCCAAATTTGGCATGCTGTGTTATGCATGATATTTTCTCAATGCTGCCATCGAATGTCCTTTTCTGCAAAGCTGGTCCTATTTCCTTACAGCATCTGTACTCTAATGCGCCTTCTAACAAATCGGTATGACAGCATTGACAATTACACCTGAAACGTGGGAGCATTGTGGTTTATAAAGTAACTTCATGTATATTACAAACAGAAAACAACAACTTACCATTCACCGAGTGGAATTACGCCATCACTTCGTTGTTCTAAGGTCGCAGGGAGAATTCCATCGGGATCATCTGGAGTATATAGCTCAAAGCAGCTTGTCGCACCAACAGAGATTCACCTTCCAAGAGTCTGATCACAAGCATTTGCTATCCAGAGCTGAAGAAATTTTCAACAAGATGGGGTTGCCAGCATGAGGAGGTGCCAAGAGACAAATATCGGAAATGGGTAAACACAAACCATGAAAATGTTTCAGTAACAAACAGTGGATTCTGGATTCATTTGACCCATGGATCTCTTGGTGCTTCTCAAGATGGACTTGTCTCTTGCCAATGTTGTGGCAATGGGATTTGTGAAATAAAGGTTTGTTAGTCATTGTGTCTATGTTTCATGGGGGAAAGGTCAACATATTAATTACATTACCTGTTGATTTTGTTTTGATTGTGTCATTTTGCCATAAAGATGAGACAATTGAAACTTCAACAGATGAAAGGTTGTTTTGCATTGAAGTAAAAAGTGATGGCACAAAACAACTTAAAAGAATCATGCATATTACTTTCAAGTAAGTAAATTTGTAAATTATTCTAATTTTGTTTAACAAGCTTAATGTATAGCAATTCACATTCTTAGGTTATTGCTCAGTTGTCATGCACTGGTTTCAGCTACTGTGATTTTGTTGTGTGGACAGAAAAAGACTTGTTTTCATAAATTCCTTTAACAAGCTTAATGCATAGAAATTCACTTTTTTAGGTTATGGCTCAGTTGTCATGCACAGGTTTGAGATACTGTGATTTGTTGTGTGGACAGAGAAAAACTTGTTTGTTGAACAAATCTTGCAAAATAACGAATTACTTGAAAGGAACATGGAGGCAGCAAAGAAATTTGTGTTGAGTAGACTCCTTCCAGAGTTAACTGGAAAATGGTACTGAAGACCCAAAAAATTGAATAAATGAAATATAATGAAATCAAATGTCTTATGAATATTATTAGTACAATTTTAAGTGTATGAATGCAAAATCTTTTAAAGATATTATTTAGTTATAAGGTAAGACAGAATCACAAATGTTAATTAGTGCACAGCTAACAGTAACTATTTTGTCAATCGTAGTGGGCTCATTTTCTTTAGAATTGACAAAATCAATTGGCTGAGTTGAACTCAGAAGTGCATATTTCTTTCTAATGTTTCCAATCACTCTTTCCACATGAATCTACACATTAGCAATTCGTCTGCTTTGTTCAACTTCAATGCCACTGAGCTGATTTTGCCCCTTAGTAAAAGCTGGCATCTTGATTGTTGCACAGTACAAACCAACTGACTCCTGGACATCAAAGCCTTTATCAACTAAGATTACATTTCCAGGTAAGAGCTTATCAAGGAGACAACTGTTCTCAGTCCAATGTTTGTCACTGACTCTCCCTCCCAGCCACTGGAAACAAAGCTAACTGTACACTGGGGGAGTGACAGCATTTAAGTACTTAATCGTGTTGTGGTGCTTGTAGGATGAGTAAGTTTGTGCCCTCGCAAGAGGATTTAATGCACGATGCAAAAAAATCTCAAAGCAGTCAATGATGGCAACACATTTAGGGCAGTGTTTTCTAAAATCCATGGGCAAGGTCTTTCTAAGGCTTCCCTATCAGGCCATAAAATAAGAGGGCTTAATCAATTATAAAGAACAATTACTTGTAAGAAAATTCTTGATACAGTTCCCTTGTTGATGTTTCCAAATCGATAAGCCAAATCTACACCAGTTAAATTAAGTCGCAGTTTCATAACTGTTAAAAGCAACTGCGTAAATGGTGACAAAGAGCATTTGGGAGAATGCATAAGGTAGGGGCGTACCAGCTCCAGTGTTGCTGACAAGATCTTCTAATTTGGCAGACCAGTGTAAAAAAGGACTTTTTCATCATCATTTAAGAAGGATTTCTCGTCAAGCGTCATGTCACTTATTTTGTTTTTTAGCTCAAGATTTTCTTGGGTCAAGCGATTTATCGCACTCTTCATTGCAGTTATTTTATCTAAACTCAGTTCTCTTTGTGAATATTTGGTGTTCGATTCTGATTCTGACAATGAAGCAGATGTGGCTGATATGACTCCGTGTTCATCGTCTACAAGATGGGTTGTCAAGGTCAATTGAGTCACTGCTGACAGTACTGTTTCAACGGATTCACTTTTTTTCGTTTTTCATTTCTTTCCGAAATACGAGCATAGCGATCGACATCAACTTTTTCGACATATGTATGTCCAAGGTTTTGAGATGGAGCACAGTCTGGATTAGGGGGTGTTTAGTGTTTACATGAATCCGGAATGACTTTCAATCCCGATCGAAACTTGATGTCAATCCGTGTTTACATGAAACTAATTGTTGTTTTTCTTCGCACTCATTTTAACCCATTTAGCCTCTTTATTTACTTACGAGCTTCAATTTGCCAGAAGACAGTACCCATGGCACATGCGTGCTTCGTCATTAATCACAATATCATTCTAGAATGAAACTCAATTCGCGTTTACATGAGATAAAAGTAAATTTCCATCCGGAATGAAATTTCGATCCGGAATGAAACTAGGAATGAATTCGATCCGGATCGAGTTGTGACTCATTCCGGATTCATGTAAACATGCAATAGGATTTCTTTTAAAGTGGAATGAGTTCATTCCGGATCGAAACTCATTCCGGATTCATGTAAACACCCCCTTAGTTTGGTCCGTTAAAGCCGATGGTTTCCCTGCCATTGTGAACAAAACAACAAATGGTATAAAATGACACAAGCGAGCACAACAAAGCTTTTTACAACTCATTGGCTTACCAGTAACAAAATGAAGGCTACACACTCGTAAATACGTGCATTTAGAATCATCAATGTCTGCCCGACGAATTCTTCGAAGCCACAAAGAACGACGTTCCTTGTGTAAATCTTGCAATATTTTGCTCGCATTGGTTTTCACAGCTGGTATGCGATAAGAACTTAATTCCTTATCCCTATCAGCACGCTTCGAACAGCCATAAATTGCGCAAAAGTTTACCATCCTTGACAATAATATTTCTTTGTTATTTACATGTCGCGTTTGCTTGTCCTCCAGATGTAACGTCACTGGGATTGTGACGTCATATGCAATGGGTCTATTGACGGAAACAGACGTGTTCAACTATCTACGTCACAAGTATCAATATGGCGTCGTAAAAAATTCGCAAATAGTACCCGACTTTGGAGGCAAAATTAAGCAACTTATATTTATCTGTTTAAGTCCAGCGACATGTCATAGTTCTTCAAATAATCCAAATTTTCAATTAAGCTCATAAAAAAGGGGGGCTAAAATTCGTGATATAACCACTTTAATAACATTATCAAACGTTTCTGCATGGACCTTGAAATTTGACATTTTCAAAATTATAAACTACTTCTTATTCAAATATCCTATATCTGATTTAATCATGTCTGCGGCTAGTCTTCCAATTTACTTAATTCCAAATATAAAGATAAAACGTCTACTAATTTATTCAGACGGAATGTAGCGTTCCAGTTGATCTCGGAGGACTGATAAATTATAAAATGAACATGACAATTTAATCATTCTATAGAGCTATTCAGATTTTTAACAATCGTCACCATTAATAAATTATAAAGCTGGATAAGCCACTGCACAATAAAGGTGTCTTCAGTCGCAAATATTGAAGTATGTTCTTTCAGAATATGGATTTTGTTCCATGGAAGTGATAAACGGAGGCCAGCTGTTCAAAGCTAAACGGATACTGTAGTTCAACTCAGACCAAGAGGTGCTAAATTCCCTTACTGCATTTGGGGAATTCCCCGAAGTGTTGACTTGTGGCTTGATCAGTTGAGTAACGTATCAGGGGGGGGACAGTACAGAAAAGCGTATACTCAGATGTTTATGATGTCTGATAACTGGATCTGAATTGAGATCATGAAAACATGAATGATGTGCTGAACAAAATACTGGGAAAGTTCCTTTGGAACTTAACTTCTTTAAACCTAACAATAAATTTATTTTCTTGTATGACGATAGTCGGAGTTCCTCCAAATTGATTTCTGACCATTGCACATTAAAACAGTATAGATTTTACCGTTTTCAACAGCCTAAATTGTCTAAATTAAGCACATTCAGCCAACCCGGAAAAAACTAAACAATAAGAAATTTATGATCAAACTGGAAATACCCACTACTTTATGACTTTAGAGAAGTCCAAATTTACACAGTAGATCGTTTTGTTTTCAACAGTCTAAACTGTCTAAAATAAACACAGTCCTAATTAAAACTGAGCGCAAGCAGAAAGTTCCTTTCGAACTTAACCTTTTTAAACTCTAACGGAATTTCGTTTCCTTGAATGACGACACTCTAGGTGAAAGGGAAATTTGGTGTTTACATAAAACACAACAGTCGATTCTTCAAGTCATGCAAAATATCAAGGAAGGGATTTATCGTCATCGAAGATGCCAGGAATCAATATTCAAGATAAAGATCGAGAAAAGATTAGCGCTAAGTTTATATGTAGTTTCTGTGATCTTCTTCTTATCAATCCAATACAGACAATGTGTGGACACTTGTTTTGTAATTCTTGTATCGACATTTTGCTTGAGTAAGGCAGATTGCACACAATGAAGTCAAAATTTGTGAAAATATAATAAAATTAAATATATTTGAATTGTTATAAAACACTTCATAAAAACACGGACAACGACAAGAACGATGAACCAGTCAACCAGATATTATGTTAAATTAGCTTGTTTGGCTCCTTATTACTACATTAACAAAATTAATTTATGGAAGCCTACCAGTAAAATTTGAGAAACGTGTTTGATATCATACATCGCTATACGTTTCTAGTAAACTTAAACTTTCAGAAATAGTAAAATGCTTGTCACCATAGCAACCCAGTCATATTAATATAGTATCACATATTCCTATGTTTTACTCAAATATCCCAATGTTTTATGCAACGTTTTGTGCCATGCTGTATCATGCAACCCAATGTTGTATCCAGTATGACAAAGCCCAATGGCGTGTGACATATCCTAGTGATATGCCTGCATTGGTTAGTGAAGAGACATCTTCAAGTTCAAAGTTTACATTTATATTTAAGCAGTCTGTGTATTTTCCGTCTGCTAGCATGACCTCAGTTACGGTATATTTTCATCATATTTCTTAAGACTTTTTATGCTTGTTCAATCTATAGAGATCCTAATCCAAAATGTCCTGAAGATCAAGAAAAATTGAGCAAGGATGACGTAGGTGATGTTTTATACTAAACTGCCAGAATATTATAAAGTTTTGATAGGAAATTTTGGTACAACCTTACCGATCATTGCTTTGGAAAGCTTAGTACAAAAAAACTTAACTTACTCTTATGTTATTACCAACAAAACTCATTGCCAACATGCTCATGTGAATTTATGCAGATTTACTATACAAACCGTTGCATTTCTACCATATTTTTGTAGGTTTTCCCTGATACTTTCACAAAGCGTGAATTGAAAATTATTCGTTCACATTGTCCTTTTGAAAAGTGCAAATGGTTTGGTACCTACAAAGATTTGGAAGTGAGTTTTTTCAAGGAAGTTATCTGTAGAATGTAAAATTTTTATTTATTCAAATTTCTTTTGCGTTAGGACCATTCTCAAGTTTGTGAGCATGCACTCATCAGCTGTGTTCACAATCAGTGTAACATTCAGTTACCTCGCTCTCTCCTCAATGAACATTTGAAGAATGAATGTGAATATCGAAATGTAAAATGTGAATATTGTGGTAAAGACGTCCCGTATGCTTTACTTAAGGTATGCGGAGTATTTGCACACAGATAAAAGGAGAGCATTGCAAGATGTGAAGCATTACGTAAGGGCTGCAGTACAATCAATAATTGAAGGGACTTATATTTATATGTGCATGATATGCCGTATTAAGTTTCTTTAAATCTATTGTATTCTCCGGATTAAAGCATTCGTATGAGCTCCCACCCCTCAAATTATCGATAAGCGGCACACAATTTGAACTGTTTACCTTACATCTGGATTTGGGATTTATGGCAAACAGTTAAACCATTCAGATATTTTATCTAGAAATTTGGTGTTAACATTCCATCCATGTTTAAACTATTAGACAGCACATTATACCTACTGAATTGTTGTTGTTTTATACCCCATTAACAGGGGCGGATCTAGGATTTTTCAAAAATCAGTCATAAAACGTCGGAGACACTCCGCGCCGGGGGGGGTCTGAGGAATTCTCCCCTGAGAAATTTTGAATTTCAGAACCTCTAAAATGCCATTTTCAGCGTTTTAGAGCAATACAAGATGTATTTTGTGGGCATCGTTTTTCAGTAAAAACAACACATTTTGCTTACGTATTTTTCAAAAACAAAATGAAATGAACAATACTTGAATGTTTTGCCAAATATTTAGGCTCATTATCATGCCAAATATATGGCTCATTAGCATGTCTAGGAACGTAAAATGTATTTTACAATAATGCTATTCAAAAACAGATATAGTCTTTAAAAATTTCTACCAAGTTGTCAGGCATAGACCCCCTAGAGACCCCCATTCAAACCTCTATGTAATAAGTTAAGTTAGAAATTTGGTACTACAAGTGACAGTTCATAAATATAGAAAAGCTCAGACTTCAAACCATGTAAGTTTATTGTAACCCTTTACCCATCTCCACATCAGAGCCAGCAAATTCACTTTTTAAGAAAAAACTCAAAATTTTTTTCGGTCAAAGATTAAGAAAATTATCAAAGTGAAAAATTGCAGTTAAGGACAGCTTAATGCCATGAATGTTTCTTAGGCATTTTACTAGACTATTATCTTCTGTAAGTATATGCAAGGTGTGCTATATAGCAATCACTAGTAGCATTGTATTTGCAAATACAAACAGAATGTAACCAACATGTCTTTAATTATATAATTACATGAATGTTAAAATTGGTTCATGTGTCATGCTTACTGGTTATGATAAATATCTTTTCATATGATCAAAGCTCGTTTAAATGTAAATCTGAAATAATTTAGTTTAGAAATTATACTGATCATCAGAAAAATTACCTAGTGATCATGAAAAATACTTTGCTGTTTTGCCAAATTTCAAGGTTTATCTGCATACATTGGACGACATTTTTACTTTATAGAAAATGCTATTCATACATCAATAGCCCTTTGGAATTTATGGCAAGCAATCTGGTATGAGCCGTAGATTAACACACCTTTACATCTCTACATGAGGTGTTCAGTTAGAAAAGGGGAAAATATGTGACATGGGACAACATTTCATGTATGTGAAATACTCAGGTTTAATACCATTCCAGTCAAATTGTCAAAATAAAAAGCTTCATGGATCATAAGACTCAAAATCACAGGTTATAGTAAACAGCTTCTCATGTAATCAATGTTAGTTTTCTCAAATCTTAAACAATATGTACTATAACTGTCCAATTATTGAATGATCAATGATCATAAACTGAAAAGCCCCAAACATTTGTTTATGATAAAGTAAATAATAGTATGGCACCTTATGGCTACAGATTTTTTGTCCATTGAAATATATTTGCAGAAATGTAGGATTTCGCTGCCATATAACGGCCATGATTCCCGAAGCATTAAAGAAATCATAGCTAAAAGTCCTTCGACAACAAAAAATTTAGAAGCATCAATCTGCTTACCATACGCCATATTGACATAAATCGCATCACACACTCGCATAAATTGACTTTGATATATTGCATTCATGCATACACTTCACTTGTCCTTTACTTACGATTTTCGATGTAAATTTCTGCTGATAAAACTCAAAACAATGTTGGCTTGCTTTTGAACATCAATGACTGAAATGTCGCTCGCGAGATCGTCTTTGCCAAGCATTTACAATTCATCCATAAATTTTTCACCCTCTTGAAAAAATTCCCAGTTTGGAAAGCAGCATTCATGTCAACATATGAATTTGTAAAAGATTTCCATAAATTCCATCTGATTGTAGTTTAGTTTCTATCATGCTTCAGAAAATTACTATGAACGAACAAACATTCAATTCAGACAATGAGCTTGACTATGTTAGTTCAGTTGGCTATCACTCGAAATCGGTCAAACCAATCACAGTAAGACAAAAATTCAAATGAACCAATTGTAAGATAGCAATTGGACTCCCTTATAGGTCCGGCCACCCCTATTATCGGTCGAGATTATTCCAGACTGTCCACTGATCTGGCCATTGACCAATAAAATAGCGTTTCTGGCGTTCATAGACTCCTTTATAAGTCGAACCAGTCAAGCCACCCCGCTTATCAGTCGGTTATTCCAGGTCAATTAAAATTCAACTGATCTGGTTACCAAGGTGATATTCGTTGCATTAGTCATTAGTTTTCAATAATAAATAAAGCTGGATTTTTATCACGAAGTAAATGCGATAATAAAGTAAGAATAATTAATGAATTTTTAATTAATATGAATAGGTAATTTTTGAATTTCAAACATCAGTCGCGCGACGGATTTGACATACTCTAGATCCGCCCCTGCCCATTAACATATAGGACCACATAGACAATGTTTGTGAAAATGCACCCGTGGTTTGTAAATATTGTCAGAAGAAGATACCAAGGAAAGATATTGAACAACATGAAGAAGCAACTTGTGATGAAGTGCCGACGAAATGTGAATTTAAAGCTATTGGTTGCAGCTACGTTAAAGTAAGAATATTTGAACTGTTTGCAATTCATGTCATCAACGGCACAGGGTCACTGCGACGGTCTTTAAACTACAGATTCAGTCAAAACCGTATTCATATTAGTTTTTTGAAAAAGATTGTGTATGCAAACATAATAGTTTTTCTTTCATAGCTGCTGAAACGAAAGGAGATCCAACAACATAAGAATGACAATTTAATTGATCATGTGAGCTTCCTGTTACGATATGTTGTAGCATTTGTTACACAGTTAAGTAACTATGTACCACGTCCAGAGTTTACTACTGCTGTTCAAAACATGGGTGATCAAGTTACTGTTGTTCGTGCTAATCTTTCAGAAAAATTTGTAATTTTAGTGGGTAAACTTACAGGTCTTGAAAGGAGGATTGAAAGTTTAGAGAATCCTTGTAATAGCAATATTAATAACACCCATTATCTAGATGTTTCCTCGATGTCTGAAAGGATAGCGACTCTCGAGAGACAAGTGAAAGATAATTCCTCAAATATACTACGATTTCGTGAGAGCTTAGACGAAATTGACGAATCACTCGCGAGAAACACGATAAAGATTACGGACCTTGAAGCGCAACGTGGCTCGCGTGCACTGGGGTCGAATCAGGCCATACACAGCTACAATGGTACGTTACTTTGGAAAATAGATAACTTCAGCAAGAAGAGACAGGACGCCATTAATGGTATCAAAACAGCCTTGTACAGTCCACCATTCTACAGTTCTAAACATGGTTACAAGATGTGTGCTAAGATCTATATGAATGGTGATGGTTTTGGAAAGGGAACTCATTTATCTTTGTTCTTTGTTGTAATGAAAGGTAAAATCATTTTTAGGTTTTTTTTAATTTTTAATGATTTAAAATTGGCTTGTGTATATGTTGCAAGCTTTGTGAGAGCCATTTCTCAGCCTGATTCAATCAAGGTATAGATTTTAATATTATTGAGTGAAATGTTAACTCATTTATTTGCATTAAGTTCTCAAATTGATACTATGTTTGCAATCATCAAGAAATTTAACAAAGTCATTTCAATCAATTAATAATTTTAGCAATCATTGGAATTTATTGAAAGAATATTTTTTAGCGTTAATATAGCTGCTTATGAATGTCAGTTATTTTGTTATTATAACTGAAAACGGTGCCCAATTGCTTAAAGTCGAGATATAGTATAAATTCACGATAATGGCAGATTTTCTATACCTTTGATATTGTTATTGTGGTCATTATCGTGTAATTGCCTCTATTTGACTTTCACAAATATTAGGGGAATCCCTGTGCATGGCAATAAGTATTCCCCTTATAGCTCTGTGTGGGAAGAGCATAATGCATACTTTTACCAGGAACTTGTGAGCTTAATGTTCCTGTTTTGCTTTCTATACAAAGTTCTTTTATTTATAGAGGATATTTTGAGTTAAAAGGCTGCTTAATCATTGCGTCAGATATCGTTTTTTTTTGATTTAAGACATACACCTGCTAAGAATAACAAATTTTCCTTGAAATTGTTAAAACATATGTTCCTGTGATGTTTCTGTTTCACTTTTTAAATAAACTTGTCAACATGAATGTGTGGATGTCTTGTGACTTAAAGATTTAGGCAACAGAGAATATAGTTAGATGTTACGGTTGTGATTTAGCAGTGGCGGATGCCTTGTTAAGCAAAATAAATTACAACAGCTCATCCAATAACTAAATTTTTTTCTTTGTAAGTTCATAACCAGTGGCATTGTTATAAAGATAGCTTATTAAAAGATTAGCAGCTATAACTTATTTTGTCTAACCCTTGATTTGCTACTGCCTCAGTTTGAGTGCAACTCACTAAAGCTTGACTGGCGTTAGTTTCTCCATAGTATCAGACGACAATTCTACGTAAGAAATGTAAGAATTTTACTTTGAGTTCTATTCACGAGATATCAGTCTTTCAAAATCATCCTAATTATTTAAATACAAACTGCTTTTAAAACCAAAATCTGCGTTGTGTATGAAATAACTGCCTTCTTGTGGGCGTACGAATAATTTTAAGCTGCATATGACGGTTGACAAGGTCTGGATCCACGCATGTCATACACAAGCCGAATATTTTCCTTTCAATGAAATAAGCTATTGCAAAATGCTCTATCTGTGAACTTGAAGATGTTCAATGACTTTTAATGACTTTTTCTATATATATATATGGGACAGGAGAGCAAAGTTTATAGATGCTAGGTGATGGCGTTTTGTTTATATTCAAAACATATTCAGAGCATATTGCGCACTAAAGAATATACATACGCACCAGCGAAGGCAGAAAATTTAAAACTAGTTTGAAAGACTGAAAAATATTAAGGAATGTAAAATGTTACTTGTCAATCATGAAAACGAATTGATTTAGAATGTGAATAGAGCTATCTTGAACGTATACAGTTTTGTTTTCCTCGGTAGAAAACTTTTGGGTATCAACTCTTGAAAACATGGAGCCTGGAAGAATTAACATTTAATTTAGTAAGGAGTATTTCTAAATGTTTGGAAATGGCGATGAATTTCAACCCACATATTATATACTGAACAACATCGACAATTTTATAGTCACACAGCAGCAACAGATCTTGAGGTTTTGGCTGAATGCTATTTTTATTAAAAAGAAACATAACTAAGTATTCTACTTCCCAGGTGATTACGATGCGCTACAAACATGGCCATTTAGAAAAAAGATCACAATGATATTAATGGATCAAGGAAATGGTGATCACATGATTGATGCTTTTCATTCGGATCCCCAAAGTTCTTCATTTCAGCAACCAAAGTCAGATATGAATATTGCTTATGGATCACCTCTCTTTATGCCATTGGAAATTTTAAATAATCGTCGATACATTAAAGATGATACATTATTCATTAAGCTCATTGTTGACTGAAATGGTTACGATAACTCAAAGAGTTTAGGTTTTTGATCATATTTAATCTTAATTCTTAGCTAGACTTCAATTTACATTCAGTTAATTTTTTAAAATTTAAAATCAAACTTTTAACTTTTAGGTAGAATGATTTATAATTTACTTCTTTAGAAATCAATTTCGTGTTTTGATTGGATGAAGATCAACGATAAGCGGAATTTGAAGAACATTATATGTATAGACGGAATAAAAATATAATGGGACAACTATTTCTAGATCGTAAAAACCTGGTCAATAAGTAAGTTTATAATTAGAGAAAGTTTGTTGAATTCCCACTGGCTAACTAAAAGATACTCACCAATTAATATTCATGTTAAGCAACATCAATTTATTAAACGATGTTGTGTTAAGCTAGGAATATGTTTAGCTATTTCTTGTTACTTTTTATCAGTATTGTTAATTAAGCTGAAAACTTTTATTTCATTTGATACTTTTTAACTTATTGATGTTAATAATAATTAAATAAACTTTCTTATCATAAACCATTGAACTAAATAGATGGAAGGTTACGTCAGTCGATATTTTGAAGCCTGTAGTTCCCAGTCTTTCCACGCATTTTTAAACACACGGCCGATAGACAGAAGCGTAAAATAACTTGTACAAACTACGAATACATAAAGTCTTTTTTCGCTTAATTTGGCAAATAAAACTTTCACAAATGAGGCTTAACACCAAGTATACACAACTTTTTGACAAATATATTTTTGTAAAGGAGGCCATAGCCAACCATAACTAGAAGGTATTTTGCTGTTATTATTTGTTTGGTATGTCTGCAGCGAATGTGCCAAAAACTAAAGCGTTTTTGTTCCAAAGTAGCACAAAAATGCTCATAAAATTCTAAGTATACATCAGTTTTGTAAATGTATTTCACCTAAAACAATCATTATTAATGTTTTTCCGTGGACGTACAAATTTCTAGAAAAACACAATTTTATTTCAAACTTACATGAGATTTGGTTTTAAAGATAAATTAGATAAGACATATAAATACTCGTCACATCTTCCCAAACAAAAGGCTTCTGTAAATATGTGTACGTACAAATGATTCATGGATAAACATGTATATTATTGAATACATCCAGTTGAATCCTTTCAAAATAAACAAGTATTTGCTGCAATGTTTCAGAGAACTACCGAATAATGTCGCTCACCTACGATGGCTGGTGCCAACAATAGCATTAATAAAATATTCTTTTATATTTGACTACCAACATGGCTGCCTTGACGTTACATGCAAACCACCTATAGTAGCCTTCAAACTTATCAGTTTGGCGCCAAACCTGACGATGTGCCACGTCTGCTTATATGAACAATCAAAATTTACCTCTATAATGGAGACAAGGAAGAATGACATTATCACTTCATCAGCAAGTTAATTAAAGACATAATCCTTTTGACGGCAGAGCAAGGGATTAGTCAACTTAAATCACTTAATCAATACAGATTCCACGACGCGTAGCTGGGATAATGAGCAATATTTCCTAATTCAAATATTGCCATCTGAGTAAGAATCAGCACATTGAGTGTTGATTAAAAAGATTTTCGTCAATTCCTGAGTCTCAAGAAATTAAATTATTGTTCATAGAGTAGAGATTCTAAAAAGTAAAACTATCTTGACGCAGTCTTTGAACAACTCACTATCAAAGTATGAAGCGAAATAGATTTATCACTAATACATAAGCTATATGCATCATGGATCAAGGTTAAGATTTAGATTTATATTACGAGCAAATGATGTATAATAGCGTGGGATTTTCAGATAAATGTGAAGGCATTATCATCATCTTTGTCTTTATTCTTTTACAGAATTTAGAAGGAGGAGAGATCAGACAACATATGAATGACAATCTAATTGATCATGTGAGCCTCTTGTTACGATATGTTATGACATTTGTTACACAGATAAGTAACTACGTACCACGTACACAGTTTACTACTAGGCTGTGTAATAAACTGTGGACATGTTTAAAACAAGGCTGTTCAAGTTACTGCTGTTCGTGCTAATCTTTCAGAAAACTTTGTGATGCTAGTGGGTAAACTTACAGGTCTTGAAAGGAGAATTGAGAATCATGAGAATCGGGGTGGTAGCAATGATAATAACACTGAGGCTTCCATGATGCACAAAAGAATTGCTATCCTCGAGCGACAAGTGAGAGATAATTCCTCAACTATTCTACGATTTCGCGAGCGTTTTGATCAAATTGGTCAATCACTGTCGAGAAACACGGTGAGAATTACGGATCTCGAAGCGTAACGTAGTGTGCGTACACAAGTAACACAAGGGTCAACGTGGTGTGCGTACACAAGTAACACAAGGGTCAACGTGGTGTGCATACACAAGTAACACAAGGGTCAACGTGGTGTGCGTACACAAGTAACACAAGGGTCAACGTGGTGTGCATACACAAGTAACACAAGGGTCAACGTGGTGTGCGTACACAAGTAACACAAGGGTCAACGTGGTGTGCGTACACAAGTAACACGAGGGTCAACGTGGTGTGCGTACACAAGTAACACGAGGGTCAACGTGGTGTGCGTACACAAGTAACGGGTCAACGTGGTGTGCGTACACAAGTAACACAAGGGTCAACGTGGTGTGCGTACACAAGTAACACAAGGGTCAACGTGGTGTGCGTACACAGTAACACGAGGGTCAACGTGGTGTGCGTACACAAGTAACACGAGGTCAACGTGGTGTGCGTACACAAGTAACACGAGTCAACGTGGTGTGCGTACACAACACGAGGTCAACGTGGTGCGTACACAAGTAACACAAGGTCAACGTGGTGTGCGTACACAATAACACAGGGTCAACGTGGTGTGCGTACAAGTAACACAAGGGTCAACGTGGTGTGCGTACACAAGTAACACAAGGGTCAACGTGGTGTGCGTACACAAGTAACACAAGGGTCAACGTGGTGTGCGTACACAAGTAACACAAGGGTCAACGTGGTGTGCGTACACAAGAGTCAAATAAAACCATACACAGCTACAATAGTGAAACTTTCTAGCCAAATTGAGACATCATTTCTTTTCTGTACAACGGTTTTGCGAGCGATTACATCAAACCGAAACATCTTTTCGGCGAAACACGATGAGAATTGCAGATCTAGAGGCGCAGAGTGGTGCTCGTGCACTGGGGTCAAATTAAGCCATACACAGTTACAATGGTACGTTACTTTGGAAAATAGATAACTTCAGCAAGAAAAGACAGGACGCCATTAATGGTATCAAAACAGCCTTGTATAGTCTACCATTTTATAGTTCTCAATATGGTTACAAGATATGTGCTAAGATCTACATGAATGGTGATGGTTTTGGAAAGGGAACTCATTTATCCTTGTTTTTTGTTGTCATGAAAGGTAACTACAATCGTCAATTTTTTTCTTTGAGAATAACAATTAAATGATTATATGAAATAAATGGTATTTTTAAGAGTTATTTTATTTAGAGAATTTTTTTGCCTTATTGGTGTATTTGTTTTGATGGTTTTGTAGAGAGTATTAAAGTGGATTCATGAATAATTTTTCAAGATTCTACAAAGAAAACTTAATTGAAAACATGTTATATTTAAGTTATTTTTTCTAAGTGATTACGATGCTCTAGAAACATAGCCATTTCAAAAAAAGATCACAATGATATTAATGGATCAAGGAAATGGTGTCACATGATTGATGCTTTTCATTCAGATCATCAAAGTTCTTTATTACAACGACTAAAGTCCGATATGAATATCGCTTCTGGATCACCTCTCTTCATGCCATTGGAGAGTTTAAAAAATCGTCAGTATATTAAAGATGATACTCTGTTTATCAAGCTCATCTTTGACTAATCAGGTTGGAAATTTGAAGCTTGTTACAGCTAAGCCTGTATTAAGATGGCACCTGGTGGAACAAATTAATGTCCACTTAATAGAGTCTGCTTGATAGAGGTCTCATTTTTACAAATTAGCTATACATGAGATTAAATTTGGGACTTTACAGAGTGCAACTTAATACATGTTTGACTGTAATTGTGATGGAAGTTTTGCAAGAGATCAAAATTCTGACATGCATAATACCACGCACATGAAGTATACTTATTTGAAATTGATGTGAGAGTTTTTTCCCATTTACCAGCTGTTACATAGTGTAAACAGACTTCATTTATTCAAAGGAAATTTTAAGTTAATTACAAACGCCTCTCAACTTGATGATTGAACATGCACTCATTCAGGGGCGGAGTATCCAGTAGGCTAAGAAGGCTTAAGCCTACAGGCCCGGGCTTTCGAGAAGCCCGTTGTATCTAGACATTATTAGGATTTGGAAGTTTTTGCTATTCAGGGCTAGCTAAATGTGTACAACTTAGATCATTTATGCTTTTGAAAACCTTACGAGCAATTGAATGCAGAGTAAAAATGGCTTTAGGGCTATCTACTGTTCAAATTGGCGATTCTCAGAATGCGCAATGCTCATCAATGACCATGTCAATGATTTGGAAATTTCGTTAGAACTTTTGAATGAAATTTTCCCCATTTTCCACCATGTTGGGTTACAAACATAAAACGCAATAGCAAAGAAAACTGGCCTTAAAGGTCCAGAACTTTGCCTTAGCGTATACAGGCCCCGTAGTTAATAATCTGCCATTGCTGACTAATTATTGTCTAGCGTGTGCACTATAAATTTTGGGGGGTAAAAATTACCCTTAAAGTTAGCAGTGTGTTGTGTGATGTTAAAGCGAATTGTTCGAAAACGCGCTTAACATGGCTCAACATATTCGCCAGATCACGAAGTAAAATATTCCATTACACCTGTCCGTACAATTTCTTACTTGGCTCAGCGATTTGCTGAAATTTCAATTTCTATCTTTTCTGAGACCATATTCACAAAAGTAGAAGCAGCACAGCGCACATGTTTCAGCTCAAAATTGTTGAGTGTGCTGTTCAAACGCACAAAATAATGCTGAGCTATGCTCTGGTGACTACACGACAAAGAAAATGTTAAAAGTTGTTGAGTGGAAAGTTTGAGGAGATTTAAATTTCTCTCAACAGCAGTCAACACCGTTTAATGCCACTCAACACTTCTCAGCAGGGTGTGCAAATGCTCTGAACATGTTAAGTCTAGAAAGTTGCCTGCATGTTCAGTCAGCATGTTGAGAGCAATTTAACGTATTTATATTGTCCTGTGAAGAAACATTTCGAGCGTTTAAATGTGAATACTGTCAAAATAGAAACGAATGGGGTATTTCCTTTTGAGTGGTTTGGGTTGTTATCATGGATGGTTTAGGGTGCAATGGTTTTTTTCAATAAAGTGCTGTGCTAAAGGATGTAATCTGAATTGCAGTATCTTCCTCAAACCGTAGTTAACTGTGCATTCACAATGAGATATTGCAATGTATTTCTTCAGTATTGCTTTTTTTGACAACGGATCTTTCAAGATTTTTCAGCACCACAATTCAAAGGTTTTCTATAGTTGACGTTTTCATAAAACTACTGCTTTAGAAAACATACAAAATGCCGGACAAAAATTCCTTTTTCACTTTTGATTTGAGGCGCACGTTTGTTAACGTTTATGGTCGCAAAACATTTGGTTGACTCTAACTAAAAGATAAAAAATGTTTCTATCAATGCTTACGTTAAGCAATTTTTCATTGGTTAATTTTGATTTCAAATCATCAATTTGTGTTGTAGTGAATAAGATTGCAATATTTCTGAATGGAAATTAATGCTTTTCCTAAAATTATAATACATATGATGTGTTTGTCAAAAGCTGGTGGATTTTATTAGAACAATATTGATAGACACAACACTTTTCTCTTTCTTTGAATGTTATACTTTTGTTTTTAAAAATGCTACTCTTTGTTTTTAAAAATACTACTCATGCAATCAAAAGTGCTTCAAATCATCTATATAGCAAGATTACTGATAGAGGACTGGAGTTTTATGACAGTAATGCTGTTGTTTGGTAATGATGGTTTGTGTTATGTACATAACAACTGTACATAACGCAAACCTCTAATTTGTTATACATACCTCAATATGGTGGTATTATTAAAACATGTTGCATCTATATACCATTACAAGAATTTGTTGCTTAAATTTATACTTGATTGATACAAGTTAAACTTAAACCGTTGTCATTAGCCAGCTTCAAAAACGCAAGACTAATGTTGTGCATATTCGTACCGGCTACTCAAGAAAAACTTGAAAATATGTTTTCTGGAAGTGGCAACTGTTCTTTTTTCTTTAAAGGTTTCGAAATGTGCAGTTATATTCGCAGTGGGATTACGCACTTAATTTTTTCCCCTTTTTGTAATGATAAAATTTATGAAACATTGAGCCAAATTAGACATTTTTAAAGGCAAAATTTAACCAAAATATAAGGAGAAACTTGTATCATTCGTTGTGTGGAAAATATAATGAAGTTTATGTTGTATAAATAAAATATGATTAAGGTCTTAATTTTTTCTCAATTTGAAAATATTGTTGTAACTTCATATCCGTTTTGTTCTAAATATTTTCACTGTTTAATATAATCAGTTGGCCGATTATATATTACCTTCAAGAAAGAGATTTGCAATTGAGATAATGTTATCAAAAATGGAGTAAACTTTTCTTTATTGCTGTTTTTCGTTCTATTAACTTAACAAATTTTATATGCTAATTGCCAGATGTTTATCGTCAGCATATTTGAGGATATTTATCAACGAACAAACTTTAGTAGTTAATTGTTTACAAATAATCATTCAGCTTGTCATTCCTGATAATGTTTTCCTCACTTTCCGACAAAAATAATTTCTGCATTTCTTAACTGCCTACTGCAGCTTCCTTTTTATCAAACAATTCCTGTATGTCTTCTTTAAATTTTTTCATTTCACTTTCTAAGCAACCTATAGAAGTTGTTATAACCTTAACTTCAAACTCAGTTCTCCTTCAACTTTTGAAGAATAATTGTAATATATTTTTAAATATTTTTTCATTTTCTCTAAATATTTTTTATTTTCACCTTCAAAAGCCTTGGATACATAACCTCTCGCGTTCTTAAATTCAACAAAGTTTTAAGCACGAAAAATGACCAGATGATTTTCGGCTATTATGGATGGGTGTGATAGAGTACCAAGAAGTACACGGAATTCAATGGAAGCTGAGCTCATTGACTAATAGTTTGGCTGAATTAATTCTGTTGTGCTATTATAAGTGATAAATTATATTTAATACATTTATACTTCGGGTAAAGGTAATATTTCAGCTTTGTAGATGTTTACACGACGGTTTCACAAAATTTTGTTACCCGTCAAGCAACGGTGCAACGGTTATATTACTTGATTTTCACCTCCTCACGGCGAGTATATTGTTCTCTGCAAGCTTTATAGGCAGTTCATCATGCATGTGCCGACACGTTTTCCATAGAAAATCGTAGACAGTTAATAATTGTCTATAAATGATTGTACTTATGAAAGAACCAAAAGTTGTATGAAGAAAAAATTAAAAGGAGATCAATTATTCCCTTGCTTTGTTAATAGCAATATACTTAGTTTTGTACTAAAAGCAATAAGGCATAGTTAGAAAAGGCCTTGCAACTATATGGAATGCCAGAGGACATTACCAAAACTTTATTTTCCCCTTACATCCCCCCCTACGACTATTTTCCTTGTTTTCTCCTACTTTTCCCTACATAACAACATACCCACACTTATATACCTACGTCGGTTCACACCACAGAACATTTAAATCTGTTTTTAAAAATGAATACAAAAGTAGATTATATTGAAAACTAGGAACATTCGGACGCCAAAGTTAGTAATTTGTGGCATACACGAATTAATAGCATACAAGTGACGCAAATGACACACTGAGTTTATGCTAAATTGCTGATCTTCTATTGCCATATATCGTCACAAAATGTGCCAAAAGAAAAATTTTGTTACATACAATCACTTTTTAAATGGTGAGAACACAGGAAGAAAAGAGTATTTTGGGCAAAAATGAGACTCATTTTTGAAAGATTTTCTTTTCCCCAACAATACCCCTACATTTTACAGTTTTCCCCGTAGGTTTCGGAACTAGGTTTCCCCTACCACCTACAAACCACTTAATCTCTCTACTATAGGGGATTTCCCGTACGACTGGCAGCACTGAACCTGTGTATGTTTTACTTCCGCCATATGATGAGCGTGGTTTTGTCGTGAGTTCTAGCATGGTTTTTCCCGATGTTTACAGTACTTTTTTCCTTTGGTTTTGAAATTATCATGATTTTGCAGTTTTAATGAACTTGGCCTTGCGTCGAAATCCTAACTTGTTGTGACCCTCGGTGACCTTTTAGAAGAGCATCTTAATTATCATACTCAATTCTTGGAAACAATACAAAATTACTTAGTATTGCTTGTATTCAATTTTGCAAAATTGCTAATAATGATTAATGTATACTTTCATTTTCGTTTTCATTTTCTCTTCACTTTACCGTATTTGGATATAGCTTTCGTGATTTCGTGTTGTCGGAGCAAACTTTAGGATGTAAGTATATATAGACAAGATTTGTATTCAGACAAGATTATCCTTGAGTGTCGAGAGCAGAAATTCTAAAGATGTACATATGTTTATTGCAGGTGCCCTCACAAGGAAAGATGCTTAAGAATTAAATTTAGCTACGATATGGCAGATTAGTCTGGAAAACATACGGTGGATTACATGTAGAAAAAACAACCTTTATATAGCTGCACTATTTATTTATAAATATACGTGTAGACTACAGAGTGAGTGAAAAAGCTTGCATATTTCCGCATTTCCTAATACGATTTTTACCGGTAAGACTGGCTTGCGTTTATCTTATCATTTAGCTATTCCATGAACATACAGACTATCGTATTTGTTATAGTGCATAACTGTGGAAATGCATGTATGAGTTTGGTATTGAATTCGTTATGACGAATTCAAAAGCAGTATTAGCTATTAAAAGTCTTGTAGCTACGTATTTTCATTTCTTTTGAATGAAATGCATTCATAATTTTAATATGATTTTGCACTTAAAATAATATTAGATTCCATTAGAAAGTACTTCGCACAGTAATCTATAAACGGGCCTTATTGCCTCAAGAAAGTTGCTTGTGCAAGCCTTTCTTGTAACGCCCTCTGTTGCTTTCTGTGTGTAGGATATACAGCGCTACTCAGCAAAATTGTTCCTTCTCCCTATCCCTGAAACACAATTAGGTTATGCATGTGGTCACAAAATTGTTATAATTTTATAAAAAGCAACAAATTATTCTTTATTCAAAGAATTATTCGTATTGATTTTTTTTATTCTGTTGGAAAGAATCGACGTCATTCAATATGCCTGGAACAAAGATCCGTGATAAAGACCTGAAAAAAATTAATGCGAAATTTATATGTACTTATTGTCGTTTGCTCCTTCTCAATCCAATGCAGACTTCGTGTGGACACTTGTTTTGTCAATCTTGTATTGACATTCTACTTGGGTAAGATAAATTTTCGTGTAAAAATTAACACGTTGTTTTAATAATGTGTGACAATGATAAAATAATCGCGACTCTCTCTATCAAATAAACGACTAGTATCTATTAAAAGCCTTTCTTGAAACGTGAGTTTGTATTAGACGCCTCTCTGAGCAATCTTCCCGTCTTTAATAGAAACCACATCCCACGGCGGAACTAAAGCGTAAAATGGGGGGGGAGCAAATATTCATATATTCAGCTCTGCTTGACTTATTTGGTTTGTTAGCGTTTATAATTTCAAAAGAAATCAGCAAGGCAGATCTCAATGTATGAATATTCTCTCCTTAATTAATGTTCTAGTTTCGCCCCTGATATTTATTTACCATCCCGGGCGTTTATTCGATAATTTACGGTAGAATTCTTGATCGATCGACAACATTTAACAGGTATTGCTAGAATGTTATAATCACAATATTATGTAATGTAATATCACATATCTCAAAGCAGTGCGTGTTACCTATGCCTATGTTGTATCACATATCTCAATGTTGAATCACATATCCCAATGTTGTATCACATATTCCAATGTTGTATCACATATCCCAATGTTGTGTCACGTATCCCAATGTCGTATCACATATCCCAATGTTGTATCACACATCCCAATGTTGTATCACATATCCCAATGTTGTAACACATATCCCAATGTTGTATCACATATCCCAATTTTGTATCACATATCCCAATGTTGTATTACATATCCCTTGTAGTATCACATATCCCATGTTGTATCACATATCCCAATGTTGTATCACATAGCCAAATGTTGTATCACAATTTCAAATCTGCCATTTATCATCGTGGCTAAATGGTGGGGAAGTTTTGAATTGTCTATTTACCTAACCTCAATTTCATACTTATTAAAATAGTCGTAAATTTCATGAGTCTTCAATGTTTAGAGGTCCAAATCCAAAATGTCCCGACGATCAAGAAAAATTAACCAAGAACAAAGTACGTGGAAAGAAAATTCCATACACATATATTATTACTAGTTTCTTCGAAAAGACTTTAACAAATAACATCATTTGGCTAAGTGTAATTGCGTAAAAAATCATTCTTAAATCTGCTTCATCTGCGTGAGTTAAAATACCAACATCCACCAACCATTGAAATTTTTAAAAACATAGATTTTCCCAGATGCTTTCACAAAACGTGAGTTGAAAATGATTCTTTTACATTGTCCCTCTGACAAGTGCGATTGGTTTGGTAACTATGACGAATTGAAAGTGAGTTGAGCTGAGCAAATTATCAAAAAATTGCAAACTTTTACTCAAATACTCAAATAATTTTTTTTTCGTTAGAGTCATTCTCAAGTTTGTGAGCATGCGATCATAAGCTGTATACATAAACAGTGTAGCATTCAGTTACCTCGCTCCCTCTTTGACGAACATTTGAAGAATGATTGTGAATATCGAAATGTGAAATGTGAATATTGTGTTGAAGATGTCCCGTATGCTTCATATATGGTAAGCAAAATATACGAGAATGGATCGTAGGAGCTTAACGAGATGAGATGAATCGCCTAATATTTAACAATTAGATAACATTTGTTAAATAACCGTTGTTTGTACAGTTAAAGATACATGTTTGTAAATGTAGATCGTCCAGGTTGGTATAGTCCTAAGAAGGACTGTTTTTGTTGCTGTTGACTGGCGTTTCGACAACCTTAGCGGTAGTCATCTTCATAGTCATAAGAAGAAGTCATTTCCATAACAAGGCAATTCTGATTGAATGTCGTCTTATAGATCTTAGCTCTCGACCAGTAAAATTGCTGAAATTCTATAATATTTTAATTAGCATTTATAACAATCCTGACAATCAACACAACAATAAATGCTTTTTAAATATTTCAAAATATGTTTGTCTCCAACATCATAATTGTCGCCTTTCAGCTGAAACCACCAATGTAAATCTTTAAAGATGTTAGACCGTACGCTAATTACGCAATTGTTGTTGCCTTTTAACCAATAGCATCACTTGGAAAATGTGTGTGAAAATTATCCCGTGGCTTGTAAGTATTGTGAAGAAAAGATACCAAGGAAGGATATTGAACAGCATGAAAATACGACTTGTGATGAAGTGCTGGCTGAATGTGAATTTCAAGCCATTGGATGCAGCTATGATAAAGTAAGAACATTTGAATTTATTCAAAATTCTATGTCAAAAACAACGTAACAATCTGCAACAATCTTCCACTTGTAAGAGGCCATGAAGTGCTTTAATTAAACTTTTTCAAACAACAAAATTTCCAGAAACATATGGTGTTGTAGCACAGTCGTGATTTTGGTCTTTCTTGCAGACTTTAAAACGAAAAGAGATCCGTCAACATATGAATGACAATTTAATTCATCATGTCAGCGCCTTGTTACGATATGTTATGGCATTTGTTACACAGCTAAGTAACTATGTACCACGTCCAGAGTTTACTACTGCTGTTCAAAACTTGGGTGACCGAATCACTGCTGTTCGTTCGAATCTCTCAGAAAAATTTGGAATGTTACAAGGTAAATATACAGGTCTTGAAAGGAAGATTGAGAGCATCGAGAGTCGCAGTGGTAACGACAGTAACCCTCAGACGTCCTCAGAAGTTTCCTCGATGCGTGATAGGATTGCGACTCTAGAACGACAAGTGAGAGATAATTCCTCGACTATACTACGATTTCGTGAACGTTTTGATCAAAATGACGAATCACTTGCGAGAAACACTGTAAAGATTGTGGACCTGGAGGCGCAACGCAGTACTCGAGCACTAGGTTCAAATCAGGCTATACACAGCTACAATGGTACGTTACTTTGGAAAATAGATAACTTCAAGAAAAAGAGACAGGACGCCATTAATGGTATCAAAACAGCCTTGTACAGTCCACCATTCTACAGTTCTCAATATGGTTACAAGATGTGTGCTAAGATCTATATGAATGGTGATGGTTTTGGAAAGGGAACTCATTTATCTTTGTTCTTTGTTGTCATGAAAGGTATAGACATTTTCCTTTGTTTTATTTTTGATGCTTTGAAAGTAGTGGATGTATATATTTTTCTGTTTCTTTTTTTCGACATTATGATTTAGCTAAGATAAGATTAAGGTAGACTTTCTATAATTACGCTACGATATAATAAGAATGAACTCAATCATTATAAAGATATGTTTAAGGTTAAAATTAAATTTATCAGGGAATGTGAATTGAGATAATCTCAATCGAAGAACTACTTTTTAACAGAATGGAATTTATTCAATGCTTATTTTTATTGAATATGGACTTGAATGTTTAAAGTCAAGACATAATAAACTTAAAATACTAGCATCATTGGTATTGTGTACAGATCATAATGGAAACTTCCTTTTTTGATCGAGTCAAAGACTCCCTCGTTATTTCCTTCTGTCTTGAATTATAGATAGTCTTATTGTGACCAGACTTGGCGTTTTCTAAGAAATAACCGCTTTTGACTTTTGGGTAGCTGCATGCGCACAAGCCGAATATTTTCCTTTCAAGTTGATTTTCTATGCCATTTGCTCTTTTCCCGAACTATCTTCTTCTTTTTTGGAAAAACTAGCCTAGAATATTCACAGCTTGTCTATATGACCTTTTTTATATTTGGAAGTTGATGGTATCTTTGAATATATCAAAGTTATCATGGCCAGTTGTTTCAAAAAAAAACACTGCAACGCAATGTGATTGTTAACTTCACAGAAGATAGTGGTCTTTGATTTTAGACTAGATATCTTCAAATTGACTGAAACAGAGTATTCAACATTTGAACCATAAACTTTCAAGTCATTAAGTTAGTTCTTAAGGTAGAAAAGAAAAGTATAAAGGAGCAACGTAAATTGTTACATAACAATTGCTAATAAAACAAATTGTGTTGGAAGGTGAATGAAGCTAAACGCCTTTGGTTTTTAGGAGAAATTTTGTGGATCGTTCTTAATTTAAATCAGAGCATGAAAAGATGCACTTGACATTAAACAGCGTCCATAAGTAGATGCGTTGATATGAGACAGAACACTTAACCTTAGGAGAAGAACGTTTACTTTAATAAGGGAAATTTAGAAATTCTCAGAAATTACGTGGGAATTCAACTTAAGCACTATGCCGAACTGTGTCGACATTTTTAAGTGCAAAATACTTTTAACGATCGTATGTAATTGCATATTATTATTCTTAGGTGATTACGATGCACTTCAAACATGGCCATTTCAAAAAAAGATCACGATGATGTTAATGGATCAAGGAAACGGTGATCACATGATTGATGCTTTTCATTCAGATCCTCAAAGCTCCTCGTTTCAGCGACCAAAGTCAGATATGAATATCGCCTCTGGATCACCTCTTTTTATGCCATTGGAAAGTTTAAAAAATCGCCAGTACATTAAAGATGATACATTGTTCATGAAGATGATTGTTGACTAGAAAGGTCGGAGATGAGCAGGAATAGATCCAGAGAGTGGTGCAAAACAGAGCATATACCTTGATGGACGAAAGATTTTTAACATTCGCCAATTTAGAAACTAAGTTACTAATAGAGCGCACAGAGTATATGTCCTTCATTTTTGAACATTTTCAATTTTAAATTTTAGCTGGTTTCACGGGTGTATAACTTTAGTTTAGTTAGGTATTTTGTTATTAAATTACAGAAAAATTTTCCTCCACCTATCTTATCTTGCCTGTTTGAAACTCATTTACGTAACAAAATTATATCTAGGACATATTGCTTGTTGTGTTGAGTGTTCAACGGAAGTTGTTCGAGATGCAATGATTTGCTTGGGACCCAATGGGTTGCGTATGAACAAAGCAGCACCAGATTTAAATTTGCAGTATTTTCCCTCACAGTGCCGTGCTGTCTTGATTAACATTTACCATAACGTTTTTCTTTCGTGCGCTTTCCAAGACAACCTCCTGCAGCAGGAGATATTGAATGTACCAAAATATTCATGAGGAAACTGTAAAATGTAAGGCAATTTGCAGGGAGAAAATAAAATCGTTAATAAATGAAAATGTCTATTCTCATTTTGCTCCAAAAATACTCTTTTCTTCCTGTGTTCTCACCATTTAAGAAGTTATTGTAACAGAATCTTTCTGTTGGAACATTTTGTGACCATATATGGCAATAGAAGATTTAGCAATTTATCATAAACACAATGACGAAGAGACAAAGTTTTCCAATCTCCATCAAAGAATAACGAGAGCATAACTGATGCTGATGGTCGCTAGCTGTGGTGTGACACCCTACTAAGTCATAAAAACCCTGTTGAAAAGTTAATCAATTATAGATGTACATTCAGTGTAGCAAAAAACTGCGACTTTATATTTTGCATAGGAGGAATGGCAGCATCCATTTACGCTGCTGGGATTTGACAACATTCTAATGCTGTGCTTTCAATAATTTACACGATTTGCCCTGTATTAATCAAAAGTAAGCACAGTGCTATACAACAATAAAACTTTGAACATTCATTTAAAAGAACCGAAGGTAAATAACATTGAGTTTATAGTAACATTATTGATTTTATCCGTTTGGTCAAAAAATTTGGACAATTCTCTGTAATTCTTATGTTATTCCTGGTTTAAGTTTAAAAAATGATATAGACCTTACAAAGTACAGCATATTTATTTTGCCTTTCAGTAAAACTTTAACTGAATACAACATTTTTTCTGGTGAAAAAAGAAAAACAGCTACTGCGCTTAATTCGATAATTTTTGCAAATCAACGGGAAATTTTAGCTGAAGTAAGAACGAAAATAATATGGAAAATGAACTATCCTTGGGAAAATGCGATACTGGTAATTCTGTAAAATGATTATTTGTTTACAAAATGGTGACCATTATGAGACAGAAGGCAAACTCATAACTTATAACTAGAAGTTCCTATCCTCTTGCGTTAGAACTTCTAGTTATAAGTTATATGTGTGTACAGGTGTATATTTTTCCCACTGAGATCTTTAACAACTGAATTATAATTGGCATGCAGAATGAAAAATGTTCTCAAACGAAGGCAGTCCATAAAATTTTACATAAGCTAAATTTTTATAGTGATACTGAAGTGTGACATCGACCACATTGCCATAAATGGAGTGAATGGAAAGATCATTTACGACGAATCATATATACAAGTATGACAATAATGCTTTTGACATTGTTTCTTTTGAAGTTTAATATTATAAAATTACACAGATGCTTGAGAAATAGGTCATAAGTTTCGTCATTTTTTGTACACAAGTGATTTTATGGAAGGTTATTTTAACAGAAATAAGTCTGAAATCATTGACATATTAAGACATACACAAACCGAAAAGACAAATGGTTGTCAGCCATTATTATTATTCTCATGGTGCAAAATGCCATGCTTGCAATTTCGTATGTATATTACGTCAGATATTGATGGCGTGACAAAAATGCAAACCAAATTTGGCATATTTTGATCTACTGAAATTCAAAAAAAAAAACCGCTCTGTGTTAAAATAGGAAGCTGGCTTACTTATTTACTGATTTAAATCTATAACAAACCGAAAAAATGAACTTTTCGGTATGGTTCACATGTCTATTTAAATATATTCAGAAATGTGCTGCATCATTATTATATACATATATATATATATGGTACTTCCCCTTTTTTCGTACCTAAGTTACCGTAAGTGATGATAAGTTCTTTGAACAAACAATTTTAAAAAAAGATTAAAAGTTTCAAACCACTCATTTGCTATGGTGTAAGGTTCAGACGAATAACATGCGTTTACTAAAGCGTGTTTAAGTTTGAAGTTTTGTTTCGTAACACATTACGATTAACGTTATTGTTGGCATCAGCCGGCGTGGGCGAGCAACATTGTTTCGCAAATCTCAAGAGAATGATTGCAAGTCAAGAATACAACTCAAGAGTATATTGATGAGATTTGAAATTTTTTTAATCTTTTTTAATATTTCGCACATTTTTACTCATTTTGGACTTTGGCTCCAGCTAAAGGGAAAGTTGTAATTTCGTGGGTGTGGGTGCCCCTGACATAGGGCTCCGTCCGCATTATTACTTTGAATCCGTATAGTTTTTATGACTTTCGTCCATACAAATTATATGTAAAGAGTGTAAAAATAAATCTCGTAAATCCTTACGGAAGTTTTCTTAATCAAATTCGATTAGACATAGAAAAGATGACGTAAATCAAGACAAAACTTTAGATATCTACTTGAGTATGAGGAAAATAGCTTAAGTAACATGTCTTGCTATGCCTTCACTGCAGATTGCTGAGGTGTAGTGAGAGGTTTACTTTTAATAAATCACAATTAATCATGGATGCAAAACAAAGACTTTTATATGAAATTGCCTATTGGGGCTCAGCGTATCAATAAACTTCCTGATTTTCCTGGCTACTGATGCGGTTCGTTTAACTTTGTTTTTCTTCTTGTTTACATACTGAAGAAATTTATTATTGTAATGCCCGTAATGTACAGTGTATGGCTAACTACAGGTATTTGGTAAACAATAAACGAATATGTACCCATGTCCATAACTACCAAAAGTCAAACAGCAAGTTATCGACGCACTTGCTCATTGCGGGGGTTGAATGTCTCCATTTAAGGCATAGAGTTTGATTTCCTGTTATAAACCGAATTTTCTTCCTTTTATGAACTAATATTTATCAACCTTGTAAAAATTATATACTTTTTTAAATAGTTTACGAGCAATTGTCATAGCATAGTCTTATAAATAAGTTGTTTTGTTATATAAGTATAGATTAGAAGCATTGGTACAGCAATATGTATTATGGAACTGTAAGTATTGAGCGCAGAAAACAAATTTGCATTGCAAAAAATCAGAATTTGGAAGTATGTATTGTTCTCTGATATATGGTCAAAAGGTCAATCTGTTTGAGTGAGTCAGTTATCTTGAATTTTATCAGGGATTTGTTATCAGCGCGTGTTCGAAAGACGGTATGGCAATAATGCTTGATTTGATCACATAAAGTAATACAGCTTGAACAAGTCTTAGGAGTCTTTAGACATATCGCGTAGGCAGAAGCAGTCAAAATTGTTCATTCATATTCTCCTAGAATAGAGACTTTTATTTTGGGAAGTAATAATCTTGATCGGTTGTACGAACTAATAAATGATTTGTTTTGCTATCCACTGTGTGTGGTAATGGCTCAGATTTATCTAAAGAACACGAGATAAACCGGTTTTCTTCTGACATCTGTGGGTTTTTATAGCTAAGAAAGAAGCTTTTCAAATGTGCACTAATTTTGCAATGAGTTGCTATCGCGCCATTATCGTAAACCTTCGTATGTTGCATAAATTCATTAAATTTAGTAACTGCCCTTTACAGTATTAATTTGCCCTTCATTGAGAGAAAAAGGGAACAATTTGAATCCATTTATTTGCTTTCAAATAGTCGATGAAAACAACAAAAGCGCGTGAGCAGTTATAACGGAGTACGAAGGACCTATAGGCCAACAGCCTTGAAATTACAAGAATCGTAAGACAGCCAAACGAAAACGCACCTCAGCCATTTTTCTATCCAAAAAAACACATTGAGAAATTTGGGCTTAGGGACTGGTCTGTTTGTTGCATGTTTAGGTGCACTCACAGTAGGATGTACCTCTAATTGTTTAATGTTGTATTACATCAAGTGTTACAAGAGAAAATTAGGTACGAAAGGCACTGATATGTGAAGAAAGGCCACCCACTCAACATAATGAGGGAGCCAGGCCACCTGAGAGGTTGATCCGGCCCTGCGGATGACAATGAAAAAATATAAATACCATATGAATAACTCATCCTTTTCAATTCAAAATGAGAGGTGCGTTTTTCAATTTAGCGTCTTGTTTTCTTGTACTACTATGCAACGACTGTCCCAGATAAATATGAAGTTTGCGTTAATTACGTGTCTATATTCATAAATTCAATTGTCCCCCATAATTTTTTACAAAGCCAGTCCACTTTCAAAAGAAATGAGTCAGGTATAACCGAATATATGATTATACATCCTCAAACATGGTTACAATTTAAAGCAGCAATTTCAGCAGTTGTGGCAGCAAGGGTAAGAGCTTCGTGGTCGAAATCTTATAGGAAAGCGCGTTAAAAAATTCTAAAAAAGACGAATATCTGAACATGGTGCAAACCGACGACACGGAAAAAGTTTGAAGCGTTATTGAAAGTAGATGGAAGATCTGATTGACAAATTGCGATGCCAGTGATAGACTCCAAAGTTACTAATACTGACCATCAACTGGACTATGCTTCCGAAAATTTATTCGACATGATAGGTTGCAGATGTTAAACTGCCCTCATCTAGAAGACTAGCAAATCAGCTACATGAGCTACATTAACTACTTTTGGTGACCCAAGCTTGCCCACAAATATCACGACCTTTCGTATCTTTTCTGTGTGCTTGTTCGCACAGCTCATTGTTAAATGTTCATGGTTTGCTCTTTGTTTGCAGACGCATCCTGACGGCAAATTGATGAACCATAAGAGGTTTTTTCAAATTTTATATATAGGTTTGTCGATCAAATGTAAGCAAAAGTGATCTTTCTGTTGTTCGTAACGATGCTTAAAAAATTGATTGGCTTCATTAGTAAATTTATTAGCATAATATCATGGTTATCCTGGGCAAGTTGCCATCACCAAAACCTTTTTCTCGTTCTGGTGGTAATTTTTGGAGGATCTTTGGTAGCATTACCTCCGAAAGATGAGCAAATACTCTCCTCTGTTCTAGTCTTGTGGAATGGCTCTGTTTGCCATGTACCTGGGATGAAACTACGAGTACAACTATTTGAAAAGACCCTCTACTCATTTGTATCATTTACATTTATTCGGCATAAAATTGTACAAATCAGAAAATTACTCACGCGAGTTTAATTGCTTTTCATTCGGGAAATTGTGTAAGAATTGCTAATTGTTGTACGCCATTGTCTATAATTATGTTATATTCATTTCACCCAATTTTGCTGTCAAAATGCGATTTGTACATGTAGAAACATTGGAATGTAAATTGACACTGTCAAAACTGTGTATAGAAGGGTGATTAGCGTGGAAAATGGACAATTCCAGTTATTTTAGACCGGCTTCTCAGTGCGCAAACATATTAGAAAGAAATGGGGAACCCCCAATTTTATTAAAAGCTCATCATATGATATACTGCTGATTTTAAATTCTGTCTGTTCCCTATACTTATCATAATGGATGGTTATCATAATGGAAAATTGGATCTGATTTGAGATCATGAATGGTGTGTTATAACAAAAAAGTGATGAAGCATATAATGCAGTGCAACAAGAAAGCATTTATATCAACTTGTATCAACATTCATTCGCTGCAGCCTACTTGTGCTCAGTCAGCTAAATTTGAGAATATTGTTTTTTTTCCACAATCCAATATTTCTGTAATTGTTTGAGACCATATCAATTTTGACAAAATTTTCATTGTAGTCTTAAGGATTTGCCATCATTCAATATGCCGGGAACAAAGATACGCAATGAAGACCAGGAAACTCTCCATGCAAAGTATATATGTACCCACTGTCATCTACTCCTCTTCAGTCCAATGCAGACCATGTGTGGACATTTGTTTTGTGAATCTTGTATAGAGATCCTGCTTGGGTAATTTATTGTTGAAATTTTAACCCTAAATTGTGACTGTTGTAACTGAATCGATTGATGTTATTAAAACGTATAACAATATTTAATATGGTAGTTAAATATCTTACGTTTTTCCAATGTGATAATTTGTCTTTAAAACATGTCGCATTTAAATATAGTATTGCATAATCCAGCGTAATAATATGATATTCCATTTCAAATTGTGGTATCCCATATTCCACTGCATGATTCCAACGATCTAGATATTGCATTTTTAACCCAAGATGACATTCCATCTTAGTTGCACCCATCCGAATGTGTTCTACGCATCTGCTTATTGCTTGTTTTCATTATGTTATACTGGTAATGCAAGAGAAGAATTTTTGAGGATCCTAAATTCATGCTTATCATTGTCGTTAAGATGAAACAGTCTTGCTTTGAACATTGTGATTTGCATGCCTTATAATGACCTTTATTCCACGCTCATCGCATCTTTTTTAAAGTTTTTACAATCTGTAGAAATCCTGATCCGAAATGTCCTGAAGATCAAGAAAAATTGTGCAGAAATGAGGTAGGTGAAAATATTTTAAAGTTCTGACAGAAAATGTCCATACCGCAATACATCAATCACTGATTGAGAAAGCCTTGCACGAAAAATTTGGTATTATTACATAAAACAACCATTCTCAACGTCTGTTTCGTCAACTGATCAGTAATTGTTGCACCAACCGTTGAAGCGCGTATATCAAGTTCTGAGAAATGACTTGACACGGAAACAACTTTCCACTTTACGATGCAAGTGTGTTCTCCTAAATTCGTCACTTCCGGTGCTGAGTCATGTACTTCTATGATAGACATAACCATTCAAGATAAAATTTTCGGCCTATCGAACATACTGCAAATGTTCCTAAAATCGATTGAATATTTAAAAAGTTATATTTCCCTGACTTTGGTGTAAGCACTTTAACAGCCTTAAACTTCAACTGAACCTATATAGATTTTCCCGGATACTTTTACAAAGCGTGAGTTGAAAAAGATTCGTTTACATTGTCCCTACGAACAGTGCAAATGGTTTGGCAGCTATCAGGAATTGGAAGTGAGTTCAGGAAGGTACCATGAAAGTGCTGCATATCTACTTATTAAGTTTTTATTTCTCGTCAGAGTCATTCTCAAGTTTGTGAGCATGCGCTCATCAACTGTATACACAAGCAGTGTAACATTCAGTTACCTCGCTCTCTCCTTGATGAACATTTGAAGAATGATTGCGAATATCGAAGTGTGAAATGTGAATATTGTGGTAAAGATGTCCCGTATGCTTCACTTAAGGTACGAGAAATATTTGAGCATAGATTAATGGAACACAGTGAGATTTGAAAAATTATATTTACATCGTACTTGTACTTAAAAAACAAAATGAAAATTTAGCCTTTTCATATACACGAGTCTGTATAATGTCTATAGAATGTAACCGTTTCTTTCATATACATGCGTCGACATTGCTTCAGCCTGTCAGATGGCACTAATTCTTCTTTGCCATCTTTCAAGTTGTCTATTTTCTAATTGTCGTTGCTTTGTACATTCATTTTACATATAGGACCACATAGACAATGTGTGTGAAAACTCCCCCGTAATTTGTAAGTATTGTAAAGAAACCATACGAAGAAAAGACATTGAACACCATCAAAGTACGACTTGTGATGAAGTGTCAACTAAATGTGAATTTCATGACATTGGATGTAACCATGATCAAGTAAGAATATATGATTTGTTTTACATTTTCATGTCAGCAAAGACACGGTTGAACAATCTTTAACTTGAACAAAATTCACGTCAAAAATTTTGCATAGTATAGGCTAATATATTTTATAATTTAGATGCATAAACGGTCTTTATCAAAGTTAGATTCAAATTATGTAATGAAATTAAAAGTAAATGGTATCCAATTAACGTCTTCTTGACAAGGTTATTTATTGAATGTGGCACAATTTTTCTGTCTTTCTTTCCACAGACCATAAAACGAAGAGAGATCCGTCAACATATGAATGACAATATAATTGATCATGTGAGCCTCTTGTTACGATATGTTATGGCATTTGTTACACAGTTAAGTAACTATGTACCACGTCCAGAGTTTACTACTGCTGTTCAAAACTTGGCTGACCAAGTTACTGCTGTTCGTGCTAATCTTTCAGAAAAATTTGTTCTTTTAGTGAGTAAGCTTTCAGATCTGGAAAAGAAGACTGAAATTCTTGAGGTTCGTGGTGGTAACGATAGTAAAAATACCCACTCGTCATTAGAGGTTTCCTCGATGCGCGATAGGATCTCAGCGAGGGAGAGACAAGCGAGAGATAATTCATCCACTATATCAAGGTTTCGCGAGCGTTTCGATCAGATAGACGAATCACTTACTCGAAACACCGTGAAGATTACGGATCTTGAGGCGCAACGAGTTTCCCGGGCACTAGGATCTAATCAGGCCATACACAGCTACAATGGTACGTTACTTTGGAAAATAGATAACTACAATAGAAAAAGACAGGACGCCATTAATGGTATCAAAACAGCCTTGTACAGTCCACCATTCTACAGTTCTCAATATGGTTACAAGATGTGTGCTAAGATCTATATGAATGGTGATGGTTTTGGAAAAGGAACTCATTTATCTTTGTTCTTTGTTGTCATGAAAGGTACAGACAATTTGTAGCATTTTGTATATTATGTAACTCCAAGTTGACTGGCGTTTGTTTTCTAGATTTGTTTGAAACTTTGCTTCTTTATATAATTTAGTGTGGGGTGAATTAAGCTATGGTTGTGCATATCAAACAGGTTGACACAAATATTTTTGTTTCTGCTTATTTTCTAGGTGATTACGATGCACTTCAAGCATGGCCTTTTCAGAAAAAGATCACAATGATGTTAATGGATCAAGGAAATGGTGATCACATGATTGATGCTTTTCATTCAGATCCTCAAAGCTCCTCGTTTCAGCGACCAAAGTCTGAAATGAATATCGCTTCTGGATCTCCACTCTTTATGCCATTGCAGAGTTTGAAAAATCGTGATTATATTAAGGATGACACACTGTTTATTAAAATTATTGTCGATTAAACAGGTTTGTTGATATCCCTTTAACTAATGCAAGTAAACACTCTTTCAAGAAGGGAGTATTTTTATTGTGGTGGCGTCATGGGACGGAACGGATTACGTAAAATTTCTTTGAAATTGTGATGCTGCAAAAAATTCACATGATGTAACCACCCGTATCTAGCTATATATAAATGGTTGTTTTAGCTACTGTACCTCCCTCTATATAAGTGAAGCCATCCAGGCTATTAACAACGAGTCTAGACTGCCAAAGTCTTAGTAGATAGTTGGCACAACTCCACACCATCAATTCATTTCTTTCTATAAAATTGGTATGTTTGAAGCTTAATTTTTTTGCGTTTTTCGAAGTATAGTTGATTATTAGTCGTTAGAAATCACTAAGCACAGTAGAGAAGATCGCCAGCATTCATTGTTATATTTTTTACGCCTTTGAAAATTTAAACTACAAATTGATCGTGTTTGCCATTTACGTCTTTGGTATCCTACGCTACAAATAAATGAACCATATATTATTATAAAAAAAAATTAGAATTGCAATCACTTCAATTATAAATATATGTTTGCTCTAGTATTGGGCAATCTTTATTAACAATAAAATTTTTATATGAAAGATACAATTTTTATTATATGTAACTTTATACATAGGAAGTTTATAATTTATGATTTTCCGTATGAAACAGTGCTCGATGCCCGAGATCAGAGCGTAAATATTGATTTAATCCCCTGAAGAGTGAGCAATCACGAAACAGGCTTGTCGGGATGAAATTGTAGTTTTTGTGTATTTTCTTCTTCTTATCAATAACTTTATATATATGTATGTAGAGAGAGAGAGAGGTAGTGTAAAAATTCACAAACTAGAATTTTACACCAAAAACGTCTACACAAACGTTGGCTACAAATTCCTTTTGTTAATCGACAAACACTTCCCCATAGATCACAAACTTAGGAAAGTATTTGGCCTTAAGACAATCAAACTCAGCTACAACTGCATGGACAGCATCGAGAACAAATGATGCAAAATCAAAACAATTACATTTCAAGAACATGCAACAAAACGACAATACCACGAATAACAAAATACAGACCAGAACATGCAACTGCCGACTGAAACAAAAAGCCCATTGCCCACTTTACGGAAACTACTTACCATCATCCGTCATCTACCAAGAAAATGTGAAATGCAAAGAACAATTACACAACTGAGATGTACATGGGACTTACAGAAAACGAATTTAAGACTACACATAGCAACCACACTGCCACTTTCCGCCATAAAAAAAACTACAAAACTCGACCGAACTGAGTAAGCACATTTGGACACTTAAAGACAGCAACATTGACCACGAAAACATCTCCATGGATCATCATCACATGCAGCAAACCGTAAAGCAGCGCCAGTAATAGATGTAATATTTGTCTGAAATAAAAATCTTCTTTCTCCACAACCAACACAATCATCACTCAATAAACGTAACAAACTTGTTTCCTCTTATTGCCATAGATATACAAAACACTCTTATGCAATTTATAATCATACACCTTGCTTAAAATGCTAACTTCGGTCCTCTTGTATATATATTTAAACATATTCATTTATCATTGAAATCCTCTGATGAGTGAGATATCACGAAACGGGTTTTTTGGAATAAAATTGCAGTTTGTGAATATTTTCCACTATGTCTATATTTATGCGCTAATTACACTTACATTGAACACTGTTATACATACGATTAAAAATAAGCTATTCATATTCAATAAGTAAGAGCAAAGTAACTATTTACAACTATTATTTTAAAGAAATATACTCCCTACACATTGTTTTACGCAAAGTAGCCTTCCTGATGATAAATAAACATGCATCGATGTATAATATTATCTAAATAAAACTAAAACGAATGTGCAGTGAAGTGTAAATAATGGTAAACCAAAAAGCAATACAATGGTGAAAAAAAATGTTTGCATACTCACTACACAATGTTTTACGCATGCGCGATCATAAGTGTTTAGATAGCTCCTCAGAGCCATAATTCAAGGGGGCTGGGGTGCAGCACTCCCAATGTTAATAATTTCTGTGCAGATTAAATGGTTTATGATATAAGTTGTCGCCGAAATCACCCAGCTCAACAGTTTCTTGTTTTAAAAGATTTTTAAGCAAGTAATACTCGGCTTCCCACGAAGGACTTCACCCTTAACTCGGAAGGTCACTACCGTTAACGTTGTCGAAGTGTCAGTCGTTATCAACACCAATAGTCCTTCTCAGGACTCTACTAACCTAGACGATCTACATCTACAAACATCTGAGACATACTTCTCGTTGTGATTTGTATGATAGAAATGAAAATTTTGCAGTGTATTCGATTGTTTGATTGAAATTTTAGCGTAAAGATCTTTATTTGAGCTGGCTAAGTTTAATGTTGTTGTGGCTACTAAAGCCAAAATTTCACAACAAAATTCTCCAAATTATTACAAATTGTTTTGAAAAGCAGTTTGTATTCCAATCCTATTCATAAAGGAGTACGCTGAACAAAGTGAATAATGTAAAGAAAATAATGAGTGCATAAGCATCATAAAACTCTATCACACTAAAACTTGCAGCGACAACGAGTTAGCACATGAAACTGTATGTGAAACTTTTATAGTGCTGTGACTTCCCAATCGTAATACATTTCAAATATCATTAAATAAGAAACAATATATTCTGATACCATCTCCAATTACGTATACGTATATTCTTGCCTTGCAACCATTCCACAGTATAAAAACAAGCAGTAGTCCTACTCTAGAAATTTTTTGTTTAGCGCATATCTTATTTGGCATATCTTTTATGGCCAATAGGAACGCTGAGATGGCTTGCCGCAGCCAGTAATCTAATTAAGTAGACAGCACCAAGTTGCACAATAGAGTGAGACTATACTGTTTGTTTCTATACTATGACCATTTACTTAAGGTTTACCAAAAAATGTCAACCACTCGCGTCGATTTTAACAAAGGATTTTTCCTTATTTACAATGTAAATGTCCTCTAACATGGCGAACATTCCATTGTTTTCTCTCTCCCAGGGGAATGGCTGCACACCAAATATTCATTACGATAAAAATTACGTAAAAAATCATACACTCTACACGTTTAGAGCTTTTTCATATGAGTCTCCCCCCAAGACTCTCAAGAAAGCATAAACACAAGTGATGACATTATCATTCGTGAGATTTCAGATTTACAATGTGCAGTTGGCCCAAGTTTCTACATTTCGTATGTTCTGTGTAGATGAATTTTCCCATTCAGTAAGGGCTGTTCACATGAGTCCAGTAGCCAGGATTCAGCGAAGCGTTAAATCATTTTGGCAAATGGAAAAGACAAATTCTCTATGCTCATAATTTGCAAATTCACAAAACCTTTAAAATGGAAAGAAATAACTTAGATTGATTAGAAAATTTCCATTAAAACGACTTATGACGCTTAAGAAAAGGTTGTAAGTTTTGCGCTTAAAGTTTTTACCCCTTCAATGACTCAAAATCATTTCATGCCTCACTGAATCTTGGTTACCAGGCTCATGTGAACAGCCCTTACTGAATAGGAAATTCATCTACACAGAACATACGAAATGTGGAAACTTGGGCCAACTGTACATTGTAAATCTGAAATCTCACGAATGATAATGTCATCACTTGTGTTTGATATAAACTAAAAATCATGAGCTTGAACAAAATGCTTCATTGGTTTTGGGTGGTACCCAAGTAAGAAGATGCACAGATAGATTTTCACATTTGTAGGTTTTACAATACTAGTTGAAAACGAAAAGCCGTTAAAATCTTGTTAAAATTAACCAAAGATCAAAACCAGACGTCGTACATTGACAGGTCGATAAACTAAAAGCGCGTAAGGAAAATGTTATCAGGGTGAGTGTTTATTTGAACAAAAATTTGTGAATGTTTTATTTGATCAAGCTTTTTTGTCGTCATAGAATTGTTGCACAATATTTTATGTGCACATCATTTAAATGTCTTTCACTTGAAGACGTACATCTGTTTGATTTTATAAAGTGGAAATTTTTATTTTCTACAAATGAGTTTTAAATTTAGAAGACTTTACCATAGTTAAATCTAAGAAAAGTCAAATGATAAATTATAGCAGCAGCTCATTGTAAATGCAAAATACTGCAAGGTTGAACACGTTGTTTGTTGAAAATTGCTAAAGTCAGCAGAAAGATACTTGAAATTAAAATATTAACAATAGGATCAGCAGTTATGTATTTTCAATTGAAAGTTCAAAGTCATCTCAGTGACGTACGTCGCTAGCTCGATAAAGCTAGGGGGGAGGGGTGATTTTATTCATATTTTCAAGTTATAGCTAATCCTGAACGAACAATTGATTTCAAAAGAACTTATTACGGCAAAACATGCATTGTCGAATTTTTGCTTACCTATCAAAAAATTGTAAATATTTGCGCACAAAAGACTGATGTTTTGTCAAATTCTAAACATGCTATAAAAAATGCAATGTGTGTATGTTGATTGAATGTTTTGACTAGCTGGAAAGAATTTAAAGAAGACTTTATTTTCTGTTAATTGCGTGCGTTGAATTTCCTTTTATTAATATTTTTGGTACAATAGGGTATGAGGTTTACCATTTTTGCAATGACCAGCTTTATTTTTAGTAAAACATACTGTGCTTAACCTTCAACCACAAATTTCCTCATACTCGCCACCGCGAAGAAAATCAAATACCACAGCTTGTTGTGAGAATGAAGATCATGTAGCCAAATTAAAATCGGGAAAATTTCCATTGCTGTATAATCAATGTATAAATAACTTTGCCATAGTAGATTACTGTCTTTTGAATTCATTTTGTAGCGATGGAAATTTTTTCGTGTTTGATTTATTTTGACAACGGTAAGCATTTCTTGAATGTTGGAATTTTAAAATAGCTTCCTCATGCGTGCAATTTGTTCTAATGGTTTGGGGAATCCCTGCGTAACCAATGATAAATATTTTAAACATTTGAAAGAACATTTTGTTTTAAGTTATTGTCTATCCCTGTGATCATTCACTTTGGACATCACCTTACGACTGATTACAACGCGTGAATTCCATGTTCATACAAGTGTAATTCGTATGAATTATGTGTTTTGTGCTCTACGTAACTGCGAACATATAGTTAGCATGTATATGCAAGCTATTTCAACTTCTCCAACGGAGATAGCAACGACGAAAAGTTTGTGCAAACTGAGAAAGAAGGACTTGTGGTGAAAGGTGAACAGAATGTGAATTTCAAGCCAGTGGGTGCAACCATGTTGAAGAAAGGAAACTTGGACTTTTCACACTGTCACGGTGAATGGTAGAGTTCTAATTAAACTGTTATTAAAATTTTATTAAACTCGTAGTAAAAATTAAAGTACAATGCATTCCACACTAGAATCAAATTCAAAATTGCTAGGAAGCACTTGCACTTCGTGCTTGCACTTGCAACCTAATTTTTCGTTTCTTTTAAACTTTTCCGTATGTTTCCATAACTCTATAGAGACAAGAAAAATATTTGTATATGCTAATAACATCATGAATAATATAAACAACAATAAATATTATACATTATTTTAAATAACAATCAAACATAGATTATTTGAATTCCAAACGCTGTTATAATTAGTTTGTGCTATCTAAGCGCAATGACTGCTTATAAATTTTATCTTCCCATGTTTGTCAGAAGTCTTTAAACCTACAAGGTTAAGTACCTGCCAGGACAGGAGGTATGTTTAACGTGACAAAAACACGAACAATATTAATAGTAACAGTGAGTTAAATTGTTTACGTTGTGTTTGAATTGCAATAAAAATTACATTATAAGGCCACAGTCATAGATTAGACGAATACTAAACTTTCTACAAATAAAGGATATTTACACCTATATAAGTGAATTATTTTGAGATTAGTTATTATCGCTAAATCTTCGATTTTACGTGACATTTTTTATCATAAAAAGCCTTGGATTTAGATATCATCAACAACATTACGAAAGTTAGTATTCGTATATCTTTTTTCCTGAGTGCTGTTGTTCATAACATTCATGAGAACGTTACCTTGCTCATGTAAAGAGAAGATACCTTCTTAAAGACTGTTTTGAATTCCTTTTTGCTCTATTGGGATACTTTTGTGTAATCGTATATTAGTTGGGGATGAAATAGATACTCTATTTTGATAATCGAACGAATTCCTCGGATTTATGAATTTAAAGCCTAAAGTTGGTATCAACCCTAAAGTGGGGAAGTCCCTAGCCAATCCCAGTCAACACCCATGACAGCCATCTGTCTTTAATAGATGATTTAGAAACCGTCATTATCAACTGCGAAATTAGAGAAACTCTTGGTCAAGTAAGTGTTATGTGAAAGTCATCATGCAGTTAATAAAAATTAAATATATATAGTATGCGTAAAAGATTGTTTCTCTTCCAACAATCTACTTTCATAAATCTGGATTCAAGTAAAAATTTTGCAGTTATTAACTGGATTTGGATACTGTTTGCACTACTTAAGCACGTTGATTAATAGAGTAATACAATCATTCATTGCCTTTGAACTTTCTATCAAACGTATTTAATACATTGTGCTAATACGCGACAGAATTGAATCCTGATTACTCTGAAACATTTTTGCGCAATTTTGAATAATTCGAAAGCATTTCATTAACGACTTGTAGCATTTAAGTTGTACTTTTTGGTAAAGATCAAAATTTTTAAGTGTCTGTTATGATTTTTGAGAAAGGCAAGTGGGAACCAGTCGTATTATTATGAGTTTTAACATTATCTTCTGAATTTATCGGATTTTTTACATTGTATTTTTAATTTACCATTTAGATTTTGTTCGTTATTTAAAAATGTAACATTATTTCATTTTTAAGACTGAGCTAATTTCTCCAATGAAATATAAGATATTTCTGGATATTTTTTTTGATTTCGCTATACTTTTAATTAATTCAGACAAACGTACATAAATGCTTACTATGCACTTTTTTAAAAAAAATTCCTGTCATTTTTTATTCAACACATTTCTTAATGTACTTAGCTTTTGTTTAGAAAGCCTGGAATTGAGATCAGTAAGAAAGATCTAAAAAAATTCGACGCGAAACACAAATGTACTTTCTGTGGATTCTTGCTGAACAAGCGAATGGAAGCAAAGTGTAAACACTTCTTTTGTCAGTCTTGTGTTGAAATTATTCTAGGGTGAGGCATTTTGTATTTAAGCCGGCCATTATGCAGCAGCTGTGCTTGATTAGAATTGTGTGTAAAAGACTATCAAAATTCATCATTTGCTGATTGGTTTGAAACAGAAGTATAATGAGATCTTCCTGTTTATAGGTATGATTGAAGCATTGTCTCCAAAAAATGACGCTTCCAAAATGCATGATTATGTACTATTTATGTAGGCTCTTGCGATAAGGAGTTTTATACCCTCGCATTTCCGAATATATGTTTTTTGGCGGCAGAACGTCAAATTTATCGGTGCGCGTGTGGCATGGTACGGATTTGGGCGTATAGTTACCAAACATGTATTAAAATTTCGCAAAAATTTACCGAGGCATGAACATTTTTTTACGAAAGAACATGATTGGGAGTCGGGCACGCTCCTGACCAACCCGTTTGCAACGCCCCTGCTTAAGTAACATTAAAAACAGAAAATTTAGAAGCGTTTTAGTTATGACAAAACCACGAAATGCTAGTCATTACAGTTAATTTTTAACAAGGTGAAATGCTTTTTTATTATTTGTGAGTTTTGATATAATTGGACAAAACCCATGTAGGTTTCAGCACACCCGTTCACAAATGATGAATTGGAAAGTATTTTTCTGCATCGTCCTTCTGACCGGTGTAATTGGTCTGGTAACTACAAAAAATGGATGGTTACTTACGCTGAAGAATCTCTAGTCTTAATAGTCTCATTTATCTGAGTCATTCTCAGGATTTTGAGTGCGTGCTCATTTTGAGTGTCCACTGGGTGACTGATATTATTTTTTATTTTATTTTACACATAGGATCACATAAAAGACACATGTGAAAATGCACCCGTAATATGCAAAAATTGCAAAGATAAAATACGAAGAAAAGATATCAAAAACCACGAGGAACAATTTTGCCATAAAGTAGACACTGAAAATTCTCAAGTCATTGGATACAACCATGATAAAGTAAGAATGTTCAGTGTTTTTAACTAGTTCATATTAACGACACAATGTACGTTGCTACGATTTCATTTTACTTTCAGGAGGTATTTATCATATTTTGCATTTATGGGCCCAGGAAAATCGATAATTGGGGTATCCACTTTCATTTATGCATGTGATAATCCTTAAAAAACGATGGATTTTAAAGGAATGTAATACTGCTATCATGCATATATGAATTCCCCAGTTAGTGATGTTTCTACGTCTCTGTTCTTGCATATACTTTTTTATAAACGATTGGTATATCCTGATCATCTGAGATCATTGATTTATAGATGATTTGCCTTTTTTTACGTTTTGCTGGCAGGCAGATTTCGTCGAGTGCTTTTGGACAAAACGAGCAACAATGGTTAACCTCTTTTAGCATATATCTGCCTGCCATCAAACATAAACAAGACATGTCATCAATGTAGTGGAAATGTGTTCTTTACATAAAGTGTCCACCAAAAACAATTAAATAACTATAACATTTATTTTAAAGTAAGCACTTTTTTATAATTTTTTTTGTTTTTCTTCCATAGATTCTAAAACGAAATAAATTCCGACAACGATGTTAAACCAATTAATTGATCATTGAGCAAGTTAACCTAAACTATACTAATTCTTACGGTATTTTCAACCGTTTTTGATGCAGTATGATGGAATGGCAATGGAAGGTCCTTTTGTTCAACAAAGAGGACGTTAACTGTAGTGATTTAGCAATTTACCTGGGATATTTTGTTACGTAAAAAGTATCCAGCACATGTTCTTTAAAATTAGTTCATTTTTTCTCTTTATTTGCACGTTTATATTCTAATCTACTACATGTGGAAAACTTAAGTGAATCTATCCCTATTATGTTATGGTTCAGTGAAATAACGGTTCAAATTTATTGGTATTCCCCTAAACCTGTTGGGATTCCCCTTTAAATAGCAAGTGATATCTGATAAGCAAGCTTGAAGATTTGTGAAGGAATAGTTATTTTTATCTCCAAAAATCGTCTTGGTTTTTAGTGTAAGTATTCGATGGATTTTTAATAATGATAATATTTATTTTGTGTAAACGATGGGAGCTACAATGAACGTCATTTGCACACAATTCACATTCTACAAAACATCTCAATAAAATGACACTGCATGTAGAAAGCGCCGCATTGTTTACCTTGTATTTTTTTCATCAATTTGTATAAATAACTGTTTTTCATAAAATATTGATTACCCCAAGTGCGGCCCTGCTGATATCAAAATATCACCATTTACAATGAAGGTCATGACCAAAATGTGCAATGTGTTGACAGTTTGCTCATGATAAGTTGCTGTCTATCTTTAACTCGTCAACTCTTATCATTCTCAGAACAAATTCAAACAGGAAGTCGAGGTATAAAGAGACGTGTGTTTAATTTTATCGACTATCGACGTATTTGGAGTTTGTTTCTTATTGTTTGGAGTTTGTTTCTTATTGTTTGGAGTTTGTTTCTTATTATTGGAGTTTGTTCCTTTGCAGGTAAATAGTACTGTTTGTTTCATCAATTAGGGAAATCCCCGTCTAGGTATTTCACCAAATCTTTTTATAAAATAGACGGTAGGGGGTAGTGTATTCGCTTCGATTCTAGCAACATGTTTTTAAGTGTTTATCACCAATTTTGGGTTTTTATTGTGTAATTTTTCAAGAAGTTTAATTTATCAAGTTTTCTATTAGTCCTTACAAGCAAAAAGAATTTACAGAAGTAATGTAGCTCGAACATAGAATTAAACAAAACAGCGCACCAAAGTTACTGGATTTCAGGACTACGCTTTTAACAAAGATATAGAAATATTAAATTAAAAATTAGGCATTTACACAGAGTTTAGTGTGAACCATTATTAGTTTATGACTGTTGAAACAATGCGCAGATAGCTACAAGAAAAGTATATTGTAATATGAACTTAAATATTTTTCTCAGACGTATTCCTGAATTCTAGTCCACAAATGTTCACTCTTTTTTTCCCAAAATCTGTATTTGAGCAATTTTTAACTTTGGAAATATGCATATTACGCAAAAAAATTTGGAAATTGTTATACAACGTTATGAGATCTATCATTCGGAATCAATAAAATCCAACATAATGTCATATGCAATTTAGACAATTAGTCAATATAGCTGATAGTAAACAATGTCGTTTTTACAAGTAAGACCCTGGAATGTTTTTTGTCCATTACAGGATGATTGTCTTCGGCAAAGTTGATTTAAAATGTTCATCATAATTTTCCTACTTTTCGACAACTTGAAATTTCATTCCCAACATTACTATACTCGGATCATGTCTTTACATGTTGTATAAATTAAAGACTAATTGTTAGATTAGGTGCAATATAGAGCCAGTAAAAGGCTACATGATCTCTAAATTAACAAGTCAGTCAAGACATAAAAACGGTTAAGTCAGCAGACAGGCGTCATCATGTTTATTTAAACTCGCGCTTTCATTTTCCAAATGTTCTATATCATGCAACCTACTGAAATTCAAAATCTGCACATGCGCACGAGGATTGTTTGTTATGGTGTTGTAGTGCTAATTGACAAAAGAAATGATCATCATAAACCTGGCTAATATATTGTCTATATCGAAAAACAAAAGATTAGTCTTAAATTCTCACAACATGCAGTCAAATGATTACATTCAAACGTGGGAAAATAGAGAAAACCTGCTTCCACTTTCGTTAATCCGAGTGCTTGTTGCATGTGTAAGCTGCTCATCCTGTTTATTTTTTTAATGTTAGAAACAAATTAAGTCCAAATTGCTATCAAGTAAGATGCCTGGAACAAAGATTCGTGATGAAGATCGAAAAAAAATCCACCCAAAATTCATATGTACTTACTGTCATCATCTTCTTGTCAATCCAAAGCAGACCTCGTGTGGACACTTGTTTTGTGAATCTTGTATTGACATTGTACTTGGGTATGGCAGTTTATCCAAATTTGACTATTTTCATGCAGAAAATAATTTTGAAGTTCTAAATTAGTGTTTATCATTGTCATCGATTGAAAACAGTGGCATGAATACTGTCATTTGGGTGTCTCAACATATGACTTAGCTCAATTTCACATACATTACTCATTTCAAAAGTTTTTATATTCATTGTTCAATCTGTAGATGTTCTGATCCGAGATGTCCTGAAGATGAACGAGAATTAAACCAAAACGAGGTATGTGAAAAGTAGGTTTTAACAAAAGATTCCACAGCTACTAACAATCGTAGCTTCTAAATTAAAATTCACAAACAAAAAGCTTCATTCGGCGTGGTCTCACCACTTACAAAATTATTGCTAAAATCGACTTTATCGATACCCATGTACATTAAATTTCGTGTACTAGAACCAGAAAATCCCTTCGCAAACGTATGTGCTAAGAGTCAATTAGTTTCATTTCGTTATAATTAGCCTAAAAATTATCGACACAACTATGCATAGCTATCTCCCTCGATTTTTGTAAATAAGAAGTGAGACGATTATAATTTTAAGTTTTTAATAACACAAGTGATCGAACTTAAATTTTACTCCAAATTTTATTCTTACTTTTGAATAAAGTTCTTATTGTAACATATAGCATACGATTAGGAATCCTGGGAAACTTTATGTTTTTCAATAAGTCTGCAACATGTTTTCCCTCATTTACAGACTAACTGCGTTTAAACTTCTTACATTGAATATTATTGATTTCTATGAAACCTATCTAGGTTTTCCCGGATGCTTTTGCAAGGCGTGAGTTGAGAAGGATTCGTTTACATTGTCCTTCTTACAATTGCAATTGGTTTGGTACCTACGAAGAATTAGAAGTAAGCTGCACCAAGAGAGTTGTAGTAAAAATTGTAGGCATATTATTAACGAAAGCTTCTTTTTTGTCAGGGTCATTCTCAAGTTTGTGAGCATGCGCTCATTAGCTGTGTACACAAACAATGTAACATTCAGCTACCTCGCTCTCTCCTTGATGAACATTTGAAGAATGATTGTGAATATCGAAATGTGAAATGTGAATATTGTGGGAAAGATGTCCCTTATGATACACTTAAGGTAGGATCTAGCTGTGGCTGTGCGTTTATTGTTTGCAACCACAGAGTAATTTTGGATCTTAATATTTTTCGTAAACATATAGGACCACTTAGACAATATTTGTGACAATGCACCCGTACCTTGCAAGTATTGTAAGCAATTGATACAGAGGAAGAACATTGAAAACCATGAAAATACAACTTGTGATGAAGTGCCGACTGAATGTGAATTTCAAGCTATTGGATGTAACCATAATAAAGTAAGAATCTTTGGACTGTTTAAGATGTTTATGCATGTGAACAAAAACATAAGTAAGTACACCACAACTATAACTATAAAGGACCAGATTAAGAATTATATCCATAGATTATAGACATACAATGATTATGATTGTCGTAAAGTTGCTATCGTGCATCTAACGGTATCTTGTGTAAAGCCTACAAAGCGTGAATCCGGAATAACTATTTTCTGCATGCATCGCTGTTTTAGAAATCAAACAAATTGAGAAGTTCTAATCTGCTAACATAAAGACGTTTTAAAGCTAAACATATACGTCTTAATTACAATCCATTTATGTCATTGTTCTCAGGTAGTTCTATTTTACTTAAAGCATTCCGTTGACAAACCATAAGTAAAACGTTGTCTTAGAATGGAAGCTATCCCGATACCCTCTAACCCCGCCATATACAGCTAGCCCATGTCATAATCTTTAACATTATTAAAAAAACGGAGAAATGAAATTCATTGCAAAATCACATGACCTCGTGCTTGGTTAGTAAGGTCTTAATACTTGCACACCTGTGTAGGGCTTTTGAAAGATAACAAAGTTGCCTTTTAAAAAATGTGCTGCTGTTATCTTTGTCTTTTTTTTACAGACTTTAAAACGAAGGGAGATCCAACAACATATGAAGGACAATCTAATTGATCATGTGAGCCTCCTGTTGCGATATGTTATCGCAATTGTTACGCAGTTAAGTAACTATATACCACCTTCGGAATTTTCTATTTGTGGTGAAGGCATGGCTGACCGACCCAATGCTGTTCGTGCCAATCTCTCAGAAAAACTTGTGATGTTAGAAGGTAAACTTACAGATCTCAAAAATTGGATCGACAATCTCAAGCGTCGTGATGGTAACGATAGGGACGCCCAGTTGTATGAAGCTGTTTTCTCAATTCGTGAGAGGATCATGTCCCTTGAGCGACAAATGAGAAATAATTCATCCATCATACAACGGATTCGCGAGCGTTTAGAGCAAATTTACGAGTCATTGGCGCGTAACGCGCAACGTGGCGCCTGTTCACTGGGATCTAACCAGGCTATACACAGCTACAACGGTACGTTACTTTGGAAAATTGATAACTTCAAGAAGAAGAGACAGGACGCCATTAATGGTGTAAAAACAGCCTTGTACAGTCCACCATTCTACAGTTCTCAATATGGTTACAAGATGTGTGCTAAGATCTATATGAATGGTGATGGTTTTGGAAAAGGAACTCATTTATCTTTGTTTTTTGTTGTTATGAAAGGTTTATTCACTTTTATCGTTATTTTTTTGCATTTGACTGCTCTAAAAATTAAAGCATTTTTTGCCAGCTACATATAGATAACAGGTTATATACATTATGGTTGTAGATTCAGTTATTTAACAAGTGTTTGGTCATCAAATGTTTTATATTTAATATCAATAGTTTTTTCAATTTTTCAATTGCAAAATGAACATCCACATCAAATGTTGTCATGGTCCTTTGAATAACAACAGTGGTCGATGTTGAAATGCCATGTTTTCTTATTGGTCTGTTGTTATGTTTAGAAAGGGTTGGGAGTAAGAGAGGAGAAATACAAAGTTAAAGTGCTTTGAAAGAATTTATTATAATAAATTGGAAATATGCATTTACTTTTTTTTAATTGTTTCTAGGTGATAACGATGCTTTTCAAACATGGCCATTCCAAAAGAAGATCACAATGATGTTAATGGATCAAGGAAATGGTGATCACATGATTGATGCTTTTCATTCAGGTCCTCAAAGTTCGGAAAATTTAAACAATCGCCAGTATATTAAAGGTGATACACTGTTTATTATGTTAATTGTTGACTAAACATATCTTTCTAAATCGTATCTGATGTTGAGAAAGGTTTTTAAATTTAAAATAGTTTTTTACGCTTTCCACACCTGTAATTGACGTTATATGAAAAGTAGTTGTTGCCTAAAAGTCTTACTTATCACGAATTCGGTTGAAAAGTGAAAAGCTTGATAATTTTTTGTTATTGAGGTATTTGGATGAAAAATATCAAGTGGGTATATTGTTTGAAATCAATGCATTGCTTTGATCATGTTCAATGCCATAATCTTGGTAACTAGCTACGTAGCAGTTGTAGAGGGTTGTGAACTTCCAGCGTTTGTCTGCTTTAAATTTGCGTTTGTTGATTTGTTCTATGACTACACGTGGTTTGTGTGGGATATTGCAAACTATAAAACTAAATTTTTGCAGTATTTCACAATGTACGATACACAAGGTTTTCTGTTGGAGTGGTTTTTTAAAAGTTGGTACTGACGGAATCTCGAACAGATGCATGCTGAACAATCCTTTTCAAAGGAACGACTCCAGTAAACATATAAAATACTCTGAAGAGTATTTTAATTGCTGTCAAACATTGCCTTATTTGTTACTTTGTGGTTTACATATTATATTTATGTTAAGAGATATTCTCAAATGCTCTGAGATTCGGCATTGTGCGTAAATAGCATGTGTTTTAACTCGAGCACGATCCGAAACAGCATCGAAACTATTAACAAACTACTACAGATATTAGAGCTTAGGAATTTCATTCTTAATATGAGAAATTTACTAATTTTTGTTATATGTCTTAGGTGAATACAAAGCTGTTCAAAAGTGGCCATTTCATAAAAATGACGCCACGAAATTGATGAATGATTGTGATGGTAAACACATGGTTCTTGATTTTCATTTAAATGGTCAAAGTTCCTCCCTTCACCGACCTAATTCAAATATCAATGATTCTGGATATCTGCTTCGTCGTTGGCCGTTGGAGTGTTTAAGTCAATTTGTTAAAGACGACACCCTTTTCTTTGTGTTATTGATTAATTGAAATATCTGAATTTTGAAAACAAATCATGAATATGGTAGTTTTACACTGATTTGGAGGACGTCTATGATACATATTTTTGCTAAAAATTTCACCAACTATTGAAGTGCTCTTTGTACGTCACTCGAGTAAGTTTGATAAGACGTCGCTGCTGTTGTGAGTGTAGCAAATTCTTTTTGGCCGTGCATGAAAAATTTTTGTCAACAATAAAGTTTCTTGAATTAAGTTAACCAACCTCTTGTCAAGTAAATTTGTAATAACAGCAAATAGTTTGCTGATTTATAATAAACCAATCCAGATAATTTTGTCCACATAGAAATTAATAACACGTGATGAGTAAAAATGATTTCGGTGATGATATTAAAAAATAAATTAAATAGGCTTTATTAACTTGCATGAAACATAATGAATGTATTAATTATAAACAAAGTAGACAAGTTTGAGCTAGTCATTTGCCCATCACCGCGCCACATTTTGTTATATTATAATGATTGCAAACATAACTGTGAATCGCTGGGTATTTTGACAAGATAATGAAGGATTTTTGCTTGTTGGTTAATATACTGACGAAGTTTGATTCCTGCACTAAATCTAAAGAAATTTGCTAACCACTTCTAAAAAAGTAATAGTTTCCTTTTCCTTCTAATGCTCAGTGTACCAGCACAGATATGCCAACGCCAGAGACAATACAACAAAGAATTCTTCTTCTATTGCTAAATCTACATGATGCTCGAGCAAAGTTTGACGTTTGAAACGGCCTTAACTTTGCTTTCATGCACTTATGTTTTGTTCAGGCTATAATGTGGTTTGTTCTCATATCTGAGTGGACAATAGTCGACCAGGTGGAGACGCAAACTTTAAACATTTCTGGATACTGTGATATTTAAACACGATAGTGCTCTATTGCGCTAGAGCTTTGCTTTTTTGGAGTGATAAGAACACAGAAGTATTGGAACCTGAATGTAAGTAGTCGAGTTGCCTGAGAAGCTTGTAGAGCATGTGAAACATTTTTTCGTGGTGCTGAGAAAAATGAACGTGAATGAAAACGTAAAATCAAACGTGAGTAAAATGTGAATTAAAAATATAGGTATAGGTTTAAAGCGTGATATCTAAACGAAAACGATCGTTTTGACTTTACGAGCTGCATCTGGAAACTGCACGGAAACAAAGCTGTATCTAAATGCAACCTGTTGTGAATTCGTGTTGTAAGGCTGAAATTAGGCAGAAATTTGTTCGTATCAAATCTAGGCCGAGAGATGGAAGTAAGGCCGGGAGCAAAGGCTTACTAGAAGATTGATCAAATAATTTAGTATGTGACTATGAATTCATTATTCAAATATCATACAAATGAGATCAGAGTGAATTCGTCAATTGATTACAGAGAGTTAGCGAAGGATAACATGTGGGAAATGTAAATATGGCGTACAGTTTGCAAATTTCTCCATTTTTTCAATTTTAATATTTTTGCATTTCTGTGCAACATAAGGTATCCTACCCTTTTAAATGTTCATTATCACCTTGGCATGTAACATTAAAGAGACCTTTACAAAGTTTGCATGACAGTTCCTTGAAAAAGGGATTAGTGATGGAATGTAGCTCTTTCGCTCAAAAATAGAATTGACACAGAAAAAAGATGACGCAGAAGAAAAATGACGCTTTAAGTTCAGACACTTAGTAAAAGACAGTATTATTTTTGATAAAAGATTGTGTTATCTTCCCTTTTACGTTTTTTCCTAATGACATTGTTATTCTGCTAAAATGTAACAATAGAAAAAGCATTCATTTAAAGCGAAAAACACACCACTCTTTTCAATACGCCTGCTTTGAATATTTGTCTTAGTAGTTTTCTGTTGTCATACGACGTTAAACTGTCAACTTATTCCCTAATATATATTTCATTCAATTTAAATGTAAAAGCCAGAAAGACGTAATGAAGGACGGCAAATATTGCCAGGTAAAGTTTAAAGCCTTAATGTTACTGCACCCAAAATATGGTTTCGATAAAAATTCCTTTTTTACATATTTAAGCTACACGTAAATGCTTTTATCTGACAGTAATATTAAAATAAATAGCAAAGGAAAAGGTCAAAGAGAACTTGCCCAGTCGCAAAATTTCTTCCTATTTGCTTGTTAAAATTAGTTTTGTTAATTAAAGTGATTAATTTGCTTATTGTTTTGTCCACAAAAGACCAAATATTGCCGACTTTTGGGTAGAAATCGCCCGACGTTACTCCTTTTGCTCAAAATTGGAGGTGTTGCAGCACCCCCAGCACCCCCGCCTCGTACGCCTATGAGTCATAGTACTAATCATACGTCTAAACCATACTTTTTCTAACTGTTACCTGCGTGTAGGAACTAGCAATTCGTTCTAGCTTAACTTCGAACTAGCTTAACTAATTTGGTGAATCAACGAAAGTTGCACCTTGTAAACTTACTCAATGAAATTACCATATATTCAAAGTAAGTTTTCGTCTTTACATAAGACATCATCATACAAATAATTAAAATGGTCAATATATATATATACTGGTTAGTTCCCCCATAGGGCGGCAAATGCTGCCTAAGGTATTGGCGTAACCTTATGCTCAGAACTTTGTATATATTCTATATCAGGAGAATGCGAATTCTAAAATACGAATGCAAAACACCGAACTAAATTCAAATTTCTTGAATCGGCAAACCTCAACAGCAAGTGGGTGTGAAACTAAACTAAAACTTTCTAAAGAAGTTTTCCTAGAGTTTTTTTCTCCCTGTATTGTGGCCAAAACACGTCATATTTAATTTCCAATAGTAAATTAGGTTTATTTCAACATTGGTCCTTATTTATCAGTCAATTGCGTCCTTGCGTCAAACTGGTGCCGGAAGAATCACCTCATTGTGAGGCCTCTGCCCCAGTGTGAAGCTGAACAACCTGGCAACGTCCTACGTGTTGAGTCAGTCTCAAAGAGCTTTGTTCAGTAGGTTGGAATTTTCTGTTTTATATATGTAGGATTTGTTTTTTTTGGCTAATTTTGAATTTACCAAATTTCACATGGTAGGTAAATTGAAAGTAAGTGAAATGTCCTTGTTTATAAACGAGTGCCTGTATCTGTTAAGTAAATAGTTAAAGCTCAATGTTTATGACACAATATGATTTACCTAGAACAGTACAACTTTTGTTGAACAGTACTGTAGAACTTTAGTTGCTTGCTTTTACTGTAATCTAGAGCAGTTGAATAATATTGTTATAATCATGGGAAAAATAGCAGAAATATTAACTGATTTGCTTACATTAACTGTTATAACAGGGGCGGATCTAGTGTTTGTCAAATCAGTCACGTGACTGATGTTTATAGTTCAAAAATTATTTATCAAATTTAATGATTACAATTTTTTGTGATCATTGATTTCCCGTTCTGTAATCGTTTCGATTTCATCGTCAAAATTCTCTTTTATATATGAAAACTTATATAAATACCACCTTAGTAAACGAATCAGTAGATTTTCACATATCTGGAATTAGGATAACTGGCTGACTGATAAGCGGGGTGGCTCGACTGGTTCGACGGATAAAGGAGTCTATGAACGCCAAAAACGCTTATTTTATTGGTCAATGGCCAGATCAGTGGACAGTCTGGAATGGTCTCGACTGATAATAGGGGTGGCCGGACGTATAAGGGAGTCCAAATGCTATCGTGTAATTGGTTCATTTGAATTTTTGTTTTATTGTGATTGGTTTTGACGGATTTCGACTGATAGCCAACTGAACTAACATAGTCAAGCTCACTGTCTGAATTGAATGTTTGATCGTTTCATAGTAATTTTTATAAGCATGATAGAAACTAAACTTCAATCAGATGGAATTTGGGGAAACTTTTACAAATTCATATATTCACATGAATGCTGCTGTCCAGGCTGTGAATTTTTTCAAAAGGGTGAAAAATTTATGGATGAATTGTAAATTCTTGGCAAAGACGATCTCGCGGGAGACAATTCAATCATTGATGTTAAAAAGCAAGCCAACATTGTTTTGAGTTTTGTCAGCAGAAATTTACTTCCAAAATCGTAAGTATAGGACAATTGAAGTGTATGCATGAATGTAATATATCAAAGTCAATTTATGCGAGTGTGTGATGCGATTTATGTTAATATGGCGTATGGTAAGCAGATTGATGCTTCTAAAATTGTTGTTGCCGAAGGACTTTTAGCTATGATTTCTTTAATGTTTGGAAAATCGCGGCAGTTATATGGCTGCGAAATCCTACATTCCTTCAAATATATTTTAATGGACAAAAAATCTGTGGCTATAAGGTGCCATGCTATTATTTACCATATTATAAACAAATGTTTGGGGCTTTTCAGTTTATGATTATTGATCATTCAATCATTGGACAGTTATACTACACATTGTTTAAGATTTGAGAAAACTAATATTGATTACATGAGCAGCTGTTTATTACAACCTGTGATTTTGAGTCTTTCTGAGCCATGAAGCTTTTTATTTGAAAATTTGACTGGGATAGTATTAAACCAGTGAAATACATGAAATGTTGTCCCATGTCACATATTGTCCCCTGTTCTAACTGAACACCTCATGTAGAGATGTCAAGGTGGGTTGATTTACGGCTCATACCAGATTGTTTGCCAGAAATTCCTAAGACCTATTGATGTATGAAAAGCATTTTCTATAAAATAAAAATTTGTTACTAGGTATGTAAATGTACCTTGAAATTTGGAAAACAGCAAAGTATTTTTCATGATCACTAGGTAATTTTTCTGATGATCATTATAATTTATAAACTAAATTATTTCAGATTTACATTTAAACAAGCTTTAATCATATGAAAAGATATTTATCATAACCAGTAAGCATGACACGTGAACCAATTTTAACATTCATGCAATTATATGATTAAAGACATGTTGGTTACATTCTGTTTATATTGGCAAATACAATGCTACTGGTGATTGCTATATAGCACACCTTGCATAAACTTACAGAAGATAATAGTTTAGTGAAATGCCTAATAACATTAATGGCATTAAGCTGTCCTTAATTGCAAATTTTCACTCTGATAATCTTTGTTTAATCTTTGACAGAAAAGAATTTTGAGTTTTTTTATCAAAAGGTGAATTAGCTGGCACTGCATGTGAAAATGGGTAAAGGGTTACAATAAACTTGCATGGTTTGAAGTTTGAGCTTTTTTACATCTATGAACTGTTACTTGTTGTACCTCATTTCTAACTCAACTCATTACATAGAGATGTGAATGGGAGTCTCTCGGGGTCTATGCCTGAGAACTTGGTAGAAATTTTTAAAGACTATATCTTTTTTGGGATAGCATTATTGTAAAGTAAATTTTATGTTCCTAGGCATGCTAATGAGCCTTACATTTGGCATGATAATGAGACTAAATTTTTGGCAAAACATTTAAGTATTGTTCACTCCAAAAAAACGTAAGCAAATGTGTTGTTTTTATGCAAAAACAATGCCAAAAAAAACATTTTGTGTTGCTCTAAAATGCTAAATAACAACCATATAGGATTTTTACTTTTTTAATTTAGAAGTTTTTGTTCTGTGTTCTGATACATAAATTCTCCAATGTGCAGCTGGTTAAGGAATATTTTGCATTATTTTGATGATAAATGTATCTTTTATAGAAGCGGAGGTCATTTGGCCACTCATTGTGTCTATAAAAATTAAAGAGATGGATGAAATTTAAGATGATGAAATTTAAGATGATGAAATTTAAGATAAAAATTTAAGAGATGGATGGATGCTGTGAACAGTGATATGAAGGCGATGGGTATAACGAGAGATATGGCGAGAGATAGAGACGTGTGGCGTGGAAAAATTCATGGACCGGTCAACCCCCCTGGCGGGGATTAATACTGGCCGGTATATAAATGTTGTTTGTTTGTTTGTTTGTTTGTGTCTATAAAAATTCTTTGTTTGTTGACAATCAGAAATTGTTCAACTCATACATGTTTTCCCTAATTGTTGACACTGAATATTTTCTAACATATATTTTATGTCATACGCAATATTCAAGCCAATATATGTTAGTGAGAGTTTCACTTTGAATGTTTCAAATTTCTTTCATACAAAGTTGAAATGGACTTTTTAAAGTTATCCTAAAATTATTTTGTAAAGTTTTAGAATAAAGCTCAGTAAAGAGCTAAGTATTTTAGGTTGGGCTGTCACTCTTATCAGTAATCTCACAATGCAGAAGTTTGAAAAATTCAACTTTACTATGATTTAAAACATATTTCAGAACTTAGAAACCTGCCTTGGTTTAGTACAAGGAAGTGTAGTAACCCTGTAGTAATAGTGAAAATGTATAAGTAAGTAGGTTGGTACATTTTTAATCTTGAATGACCTATGTATTCATAATTTACCCAACTTTTCTGACCTTTTCTCTTTAACAATTTGTGGGGGCTGCCTTCCCCTTCCTTTTAAGTTGACTCATTGCTGACACCAAATTTTTGTGGTCAAGCCATGACTAAGACGTCTAATATGATTTATTTAAAAGCATCTTTCAGTTCTTGTCTTTCATTGATTTCACAGTGTTATGAAAACCTGGACAAGCTTCTCTATAGCTTTTTTCCATTGAACAATTCAGAAGTGTACTTGTCAACAGATAGTGATTCTCTAAAGGTAAATGTAAAAAGTTAAAAATTATGTATACAAAACAGAATACAGATGGTAGACAAATTTCTGAGGATTAATCTACTTAGTAACGTAAATGTATATTATATGTTTACAATTTGCTTTAAGTGGGCAAATGTTAGAGTCATTGAGATTATTTAATAAATATTCCTTGTCAGGCATATTCAAGTTTTTGTTAAATATATACCCACTCCTCTCACTTCATGAGAAAAATTTCTCTAATTTGACAAATAGAGATCTTTAAAATCAAGTCATATAATTGATAAATCATGAAAATCAACTCAGACGAAGGATAACTTTTACAAAAAGCATTATGGTTTCATAAAACACAACGCGGTCGACGTTGAACTGAAGTAGCGGTTAATAATTCATCTCAGTGATCTGACTGTATTTCTTTGCTTTAGGATTTGCTACTTTTAAAATCTTTCAAAATACAAAAACACTTACCAATGTTTGTCGTTCGTTATCATTTCCGTCTAACAAATAACTTCAGCCGGCATCTGCTGCTATTAAATGACATGCAGTTCAGAGTTTGATAATTATTTACAATTTACATTTTAAATAAACCCTTGCGAAACTCTATTCCTAACCACAACGAGTGGTAACTCAGTTCTATTGCTTTCTTACATAAAATATGAATGATTAAATTGATTTCGAGAGAGAATATACATCCTATTGTAATTTATAAAAGATCAAAGGATACTGATGCGGCCAACACTTGGACTCGAATCATCTGGTGTGTTATAGAGATCGTTAGCTACACAAGGCATGTTATAGTCTTAAAGAAAAAAAAGCCATTCATCTAGTAGCAAGCTGCCGACCTATTTGCCACTTCGAACCATATTTAACGTCAATAATATGTTTTGATGTGTTTAGTATAAGATTACGTGTAAACATTGCCGGGGATTCCCCATTACTCAACATGACTGTAATTATTAATAGACATAAATAGCTCTTGAGAGATATGAGATCCGTTGAGTGGGACAAAATATTCTACAACCGCCAGGGAACTACCGAAAAATGCGGCTCACCCACGATGGCTGGTGCCGACAATAGCATTAATAAAATTTTCTTTTATATTTGACCACCAACATGGCTGCCTTGACGTTACATGCAATCCACCTAAAGAAAACTTGATTAGTTGTAATAACTGATATTTCGTCTACACGTATTGATAACATTTCATGCTAAAGTTCAAACGTCACACAAAGGAACACTTGACCCAAAACGCGTCATTGCGTGCGCTCGTGTTGTTCATCCTGTATCGAACGATTTGGAAAAGACAATGGAAGTTATGTAAAGTCATTTACGTAAAACCACAGGCTATAAGCAGTGGTTTCAGCAGCGGGAATTGATTTTTTGCTAGTAAAAGTTTATAAACTATTCACAGCGATTTCAAAACTAACATAAGGCTTTTTGTAACTCCAAAAAACGTGCTCTCTCTAAATATTTACAGTCCACTCCAGGTGATACGGACAATATAAGTCAAGAGAATTACTGGGCGCTAAATACACTAACGTTTAAGCACAGTTGTTATTGTTGTTCTGTCACGTTGTGGATAATAAGACTTGGAAAAAAATTGAAATATTTACAAAGTTCTGAGCATCGGGTTACGCCAATACCTTAGTTAGGCAGCATTCCCCGCTCTATGGGGAAACTAGTATATATATATATATATGTATATAAACGTGCACCTTGACAATTTTAATTATTTGTATGATGATGTCTTATATAAAGACGAACACTTACTTTGAATAAATTACAATTTTATTGAATAAGTTTACAACGCGCAAATTTCGTCAATTCACCAAAGTAGTTAAACACGAATTGCTAGTTCCTGCACGCAGATAACACAGTTAGCAAAATTATGCTTGGACATGTGAATGGTACTATTTTGGTAGCTACGTCAACATTGAAAACTTGAAAAAATACCAGTTTCCGTTTGAAAGATGGAAAGTCCCTTAACTGTCATACCGTTTGTGATTTGCTATAATTTGCTTTTTTTTAAACAGGATGTTAAAGAACAATTTTGTCATATATACATAAGAGCGATGAAAATAAACTTCGTAACAAAATTTCCTACAGTTAGTGCAACGTCACTTTAATTTTGTTATTATTGTTCTGTTATCGTGTTACATACAGATGATACACACTGGTATGATAATCATCAACTGGATTTGATTCGAGATCGTAAAGCATGAATTGTGTAAATGATAGAATGTTTTAGTTGCGTGTGCATAAATGAATGCTATAGGAAAGATACCTTTTGGAAACTCAATTTGCTCAATTTAATTTCGCGGCGTTTTTATAACCTTTGATACTAAACTGTGGAAGATCTTATTTATTTTAATTTTTTATCTATTTGTAGTTGAAACAGATTTACTCAAGATGCCAGGAACAAAGATTCGTGATAAAGATCGGAATAAAATGAACTTAAAGTTCATATGTACTTACTGTAATCACCTTCTTGTCAATCCAATGCAGACTTCATGTGGACATTTGTTTTGTAAATCTTGTATGGACATTATTCTTGGGTAAGAAAATTTTTGTCTGACTTTCAACTGGAAGTTTGTTACTGGTTCGAATTGTAAATTAAATACACAATATACTACCGCAAGATGAGATGCTACATATTTTGTGTGCTAATGTTATCATATGTTTTCCTAATTGAATATCATAATTTTGAGAGGTATTCAAATGCAGTCTCGCGTTAAAATTGTGTTACCACTATTGCCGTAAAGTGTTGGTACACGAATCTTGTTATGCTGTCACCATTCTTAAGTATTGTGCCCTTTGAACCCTATATAAAATATGCAAAACGCGAGGCCATCTAAACACGGAAATTGCTGTCGTGAGAATTTTCAGCTTGCCTGAAAACAAAAGCAATTTCTTGCCAAAAGTGACTTGGAGTGCATTTTTGGCAATGTGAACTTAAATAAAAATTGGCAAAGTCGCCTTTGCCTCGTGTTTCGCTCGGTTTTTTTAACTCGTGCTTAATTTCCGCATATTTGAATCAGAACTTCCAAACACGGAAACCATCAAATAATTTTTTAATTACGTTGGCGTTTGATTAAAATGTGTAAAAGGACCGCTTATAAGGTCTCGGGTACTATTGTTACCCGACCGCCCGAAACACGCTGGGAAGGCTAAGTTACTACAATTTACATATTAAATTAGTGACGAGCGTTTACATGAGCCATTCTTTCGAGCAGGGTAACCCTACTTCTAGGGTTACCATATTTAGGAAAGAGGGTGTCCCTACTCGGTGAGACAAGTTTTTTGTCATTTTAGTCCTGGTAACAGGGACAAGTTTTGCATAACGCATGCGCAAAGTAAAATTATGGAACATAAACCACTGAACTAAAATACATGGAACGCTACCTGAAGCAAATATTTGAAGCTAAATCTCACACCCAGACACGCGAGATTACACCCAGACACGCGTGGGTATTGTTTAGAGATTCTCTCGAGGTGTGAAAATTGATTGAATGTGTATCTGGGTGTAATCTCGCGTGTCTGGGTATTAAATTTGGCTTCAAAAAATTATCAGACTTTTCTATTGCAGGTAGCATTCCATGTATTATAGTTCAATGACATAAACACATCCATCTTGGATTTTGATGAATGTAAAGTGAACTGGGAACGAGTTGAAAAAGCGCGTGCAGTTAACAATAATCTCTCCTGTAAACGCTACATATGTAAACTTGTCTCGGCCAGTAGGGTAACCGCAGTAACCGAGATCATGAAAAACAGGCCCTAAGGTACATGTTTAATGTGCGTAAACTTGATTAGCAGATATATTTGCAATATCACATACGGTTATTTTTAGTTCACTATTTACATTTTAACGATTTAAATAAATTTTTCCCAAACTTTGTGAGGCTCACTTGTTGTACACCGTACAGTGTTATGATGTCGGAATAGAAGTTACGATGCAAGACGAGAATTTTTGATTTTTTTAAATGGTGTTTGTCATTGTAGTTAAGTTAAAGCTGCCTATCTCCCACCCCCCCCCCCACCCCCCCTTCCCAAAAATAAAACTCAATAAATTTGTGATTTGGCTGTCTTTAAACGTCCTTAGTTTTACATCATTTATTTATCAAAAGTATTCATACTCGTTTAATTTATAGAAGTTCTGATCCAAAATGTCCGGAAGATCAAGAAAAATTGAGCAGAAATGATGTAGGTGAAAATATTCTATAGTTTTATTTGAGATTCCTGCCCAAAATCACTTCACTTTAATTTCGACCATTACTGAAAAATCTATCATCAACATCTACTTCATTAACTGATTTATAGTTTGCAAATGTACCAACCTTTAACCGCACGTAATCTTTTTGAAACTTGCACAGGTTTTCCCTGATGCTTTTACGAAGCGTGAGTTGAAAATGATTCGTTTACATTGTCCTTCTGAACAGTGCGAATGGTTTGGTACATATGAAGAATTGGAAGTGAGTTGCACCAAGATAGTCTTTTATTTTAGTTAATAAAATTGTATCCATTTTATTAACAAAAGCTTCCTTTTTCGTCAGGGTCATTCTCAAGTTTGTGAGCATGCGCTCATCCGCTGTATCCACAAGCAATGTAACATTCAGTTATCTCGCTCTCTCCTTGACGAACATTTGAAGAATGAATGTGAATATCGAAACGTGAAATGTGAATATTGTGATAAAGATGTCCCATATGCTTCACTTAAGGTAGGCAGAATGTTCTCACCCGAATCAAAGAATCACAGGGGGAGGGCGAATAATAAGCCTGAAGTACATGGTGATATACGCAACAAAGTACGAGACAAAATATTTATACCATATTTTTACTATGTAAAACCAAACAAAATTTGAGCCTTCTCAAAAACGTCTTCATGTATAAAACTTTGCCTTGCCGATTTTGTCTTAGCATATAGAATGGAACAAACTCCTTTTTTCATCTTTTAGGAAATTAATCTAAATATTTTTCCTTTGTATTTTTATTTAACTTGTAGGACCACATAGAAAAGGTGTGTGAAAATGCACCAGTGCTTTGTAAATATTGTGAGAAAAAGATACCAAGGAAAGATGTTGAAAACCATGAAAGTACGACTTGTGATGAAATGCCGACTACATGTGAATTTCAAGCTATTGGATGTAACTATAAGAAAGTAAGACGATTTGAACTGTTTTACAATTTCGTATCAGTAATGAAACAAACTAACTTGGAAATCTCCAAGTTAAACAAAATTTCCGTCTAAATCAATAGACATGGTGTATTTGTAGTAAAAGTTTAATGATACCTTGTTTTGACTACATAAATTCAATTAATACTAAGGTATTGGATTGATATGGTAATGGTATTTACAATGAAGTTTTTTGTATGAAATTATGTTTCGATATACAACCAACAACCTCAGCTACAACATATGGGTGTTGAAATAAACGGGTTGATTAATGTTGGTACTTGACTTTGTTCCACCAGCTACCTCTCTCTAAAGTTTGAAGCCAGTTATTGAGCTACTCCCAATCTTTCCTTAAATGACCATGAAAAAAGTTTATTACGACATTAAGTCAAAACGCGAGCAAGTATTGGCATATTTATCATAGTGTAACTGTGTATATATGGAAATGAAGATATTTCACATGGTTTGGTAACAAGCGCGAAAAATAATTTCGAGCAATTAACGATTTGTTTCCAATTTTAGTTTTGAGCAAAACAGATTCTGTAGAGCCCGAAATTTCTAAACATTCATGGTCATTGATACAATGGGATTTTAAAACCTGGATTTTTATGATTTTCATTTTAATGTTTTACACCGTATTCCCAAATCATTAACTAAAATTTCATTGAAGAGATTTTGAATTAATTTCATTTTTTCTGAGATGTCAGCTTTCCAACTTTCCCTTTAGTCTGCAATATATAATGTCATTCGATTATAAGAGGTACGACCCATTGAAGCCTGAGAAGTAGTTTGTTTTGTCCATTGAAACAGGTCTTACCGCCTTGGGAATATTCGTGCTACTTTGATGATTTTATTGCCTTAAGGGAACATTTATCAATCGCCCCAAATGTCTTAATTATGTTCGGATTGAAACAATGACGTAGCTAGAGGGAGGAAGGCCCCCTAAAATGTTATGTTTTACATATATTATATTGCTTAAATCATAGTTACGCCCCTCCCTACCCTTTTGTCTGCCACCCTAACAGAATCTCCTGGCTGCGTCACTAGATTGAAACAACGAGTAAATTGTGGCAAACTTGTAGTTTTCGTTTAACGAACGTGTTGGTATTTTTTTTTTTACAGACTTTAAAACGAAAGGAGATCCGTCAACATATGAATGACAATTTAATTGATCATGTGAGCCTTCTGTTACGATATGTTATGGCATTTGTTACACAGTTAAGTAACTATGTACCACGTCCAGAGTTTACCACTGCTGTTCAAAACATGGCTGACCAAGTTACAGCTGTTCGTGCCAATCTTTCAGAAAAATTTGTGATGTTGGTAGGTAAACTTACAGGTCTTGAAAGGAGGATTGAGAGTCTCGAGGATCGTGGTGGTAACGACAGTAACAATGTCCATTCGTCATTAGAGGTTTCCTTGATGCGTGATAGGATTGTGACTCTAGAGCAACAATTGAGAGATAAATCCTCAACTATACTACGATTTCGTGAACGTTTAGATCAAATTGACGAATCACTTGCAAGAAACACGATAAAGATTACGGACCTGGAGGGCCAACGTGGTGCGCGAACACTAGGGTCAAATCAGGCTATACACAGCTACAATGGTACGTTACTGTGGAAAATAGATAACTTCAATCGAAAGAGACAGGATGCCATTAATGGTATGAAAACAGCCTTGTACAGTCCACCATTTTACAGTTCTCAATATGGTTACAAGATGTGTGCTAAGATCTATATGAATGGTGATGGTTTTGGAAAGGGAACTCATTTATCTTTGTTTTTTGTTGTCATGAAAGGTACTGACATTTTGCATATCTCCTACTATTTTAGCTATTAAAAATTGCCGGCTTTTTTATCTGTTACAACTGTGTCATGCGCTCGTTGATTTGTATGGTACACATTCAAAATTAAAATAGATGTTGCGTTCAAAGTTATCATGCAATTTTTAAGAAATATTCGGCAACTTTCGAATTATTACATTATTGAAGAAAAATTTTTTGCTTTATTTTACATATAAATATTATGATTTTATTTCTGGAGCGTTCATTCCTTTATTGTATTTTGCGCTCAGCATACAAATAGGCTTTTTGTTTCCTCTGGCGGAATCCCATAGTTAGTTAAATAAAAATTTTGTTCTGGTGACAAATTTGAAAATCGTTTAAAAAGAGCAAATACTATGATGAAATGTTCAAAATTATAACATAATAGTTCTTAAGAACTATTAGATCCAATTAGGATCTTACTTTTTATTGAGTTAATGTTCTGGTTTTAAACAGTTCTTTTAAGAACTATTATGTTATCATTTTAACCATTCACCATGGTACTTGCTTATTTTAAAACGATTTTTGAATCCCTTCGTATCCGTGGTTCTTTGAATGAGCCAAAGTAATATGTATGACAGAAATGGCTTTTAAATTGTGACCATTTAACTGAATATGACCCGCAAAAAATTTGTAGCCATTGTGATTTAACTAGTGCCAATCTTTCCACGCACGGCGTTAAGAAAGCTCATGGACGGCGATAAGCTAGAATGTGGGATTTGACCGCCAGGCACGTGTTCCTGAGGGTAAATTGTGGCTTCGTGCATTGTACAGGCATGCAAGGCAGCAATCCAGTTATATATTTAGTTCAATATTTGTGACATGCACCAGATAAAGAATGACGTATGTTTACTGGGAATTCTTATGAAGATGTTCCTGTTTCTTTTTCTAAAAACAATTCAAAAATAAGTGGTTTGTCTAGTGACTGATTTTTGCATCAATGGAAGTAATGAGATGTTATGACATTTAAATCTTAAATCTAAAATACGGTTACTAAAGCCGGAATTACACGAGCAAGTTTTTCGATGCAATTTTTCAAAATTATCAAACAAAGGTAATGGCTACACGTGCAAGACAATTTTTTTATCGACGACCATTTTGGTAATGTTTATTAGTAAACATTAATTTCAATCTCGCGTCTCATTGGTCAATATCGGATTTGTTGCATTGTAGCTATGTATAGCCTGATTTGACCTAGTGCACTAGGGTCAAATGAGGCTGTACACAGCTACAATGGTACGCTACTCTCGAAAATTGATAACTTCAAGAAGAAGAGACATGACGCCATTAATGGTATAAAAACAGCCTTGTACAGTCCACCATTCTACAGTTCTCAATATGGTTACAAGATGTGTGCTAAGATCTATATGAATGGTGATGGTTTTGGAAAGGAAACTCATTTATCCTTGTTTTTTGTTGTTTTGAACGGTACAGACATTTGGTCTCACGAAAGATTTTCAACGTTTGTTGATAATTTCAAAAAAATTCGTCATTAAATTCGCTTGAACTGGCAAACCACGACTTAAGATGAATGTCTAAGTTATCTTTTCTATAAGTCGTTTGTTTGAAATTCATTTCATAAGATTCCAGTTCTTAAAGATTCCAGTGATTATCGTTTGTTTCCATATAATTAGACGTCAAGCACTTTTACTTTTAAGTTTCCAACTTTCAAAGAAATACGCTCAAGTTTTACAGATTGCACCGGCCTTTTAGCCCAGCTCTTTGTTATAATGAAGGGATGATCTTGGTTTGCAGGCGCACAGGAGAAATTGTTCTTTAAAGTCATTGCTATTTTTTTTTAATTTTGTTGTGTGATGGTATATTTATCATTAGACATTGCATATTTACTTGACGTAAAAAGTGTACATACGAGAATCGTGAAATTCTTGCAAAACATATTTGTAATGATCTATACATAATAATGCACACAAATGAAAGAGCCAATTGTTTACTCGTTCTTATATATCTTGACAATCTTTCCACCACATGTATATTTTTGAATTTTGATTCCTTTAGGAAAGAAAAAATCCATTTTTGGTTAGCATAAATCCTGGGTAATAATAGACAACTAGCTTCTAATGTTACTTAACCAATATAACTTACTTGGAGTGATTTATTATGCAAAAATGACATTGGTCTGCACGTATTCTCATTAGATAATAAATATCTAAAAAAGAGTGATTTGCTTTTTACGAGATAAGTTTGTGTGACTGTGTTGTCTATTTTCTGCCTAAATCATATACCTCATGTTATCATGTATACTTCGGTAATTGATAGGAAATCGAGTGCAAACTTTTTTGTCCGTTTAATGTTCAAAATGCCTTCTGAATAAACTTTATATAGAAGAACAAGTTGTTTTATTAATTTTTGTTTGTTTATTATTTTTTTTTAATGGTTCTGTAATTATTCTTAGGTGATTACGATGCACTACAAACATGGCCATTTCAAAAAAAGATCACGATGATGTTAATGGATCAAGGAAATGGAGATCACATGATTGATGCTTTTCATTCAGATCCTCAAAGTTCCTCATTTCAGCGACCAAAGTCAGACATGAATATCGCTTCTGGATCGCCACTCTTCATGCCATTGGAAAGTTTGAAAAATCGTCAGTATATTAAAGATGATACTCTTTTTCTTAAGATGATAATTGACTGAACAATTTCTAAAATTATAAGCAAGTTTCGATTATATTTATTTGTTTGAGAATGTTTTTTTCGAGATCAAGCTTAATTGTTTAATGTTAACACTCACTGAAGAATGACATATTTTCTTGTGGAGTCATGGGATGATATGGATGACGTAAAATCTCTTCGTATATGTAATGACTTTGAAAGATTTTCATGATGTAACGACTAACTCAGCTATATGGATGGTTAGTGAAATTCTATACCAATTGCAACGAGTTAAAAAAGAACAAAATCTGAATGGACGATATATGAAATTCTAGACAAATTGCAGCAAGTTATGATAAAAAGGAACAAGATCTGGATTAATAATTTTTGGAATTCCAAACTTCTGCAACGAGCTCAGATGTGACGACAGAAGTCTAAATGGATGGTTGGTGAAATTGCTGGACGAGTATTTTTCTAGAATTTCACTAACCATCCATCTAGTCTTTGTCTATTGCAAGGAGCTCAGATGTAGAGACCAAATTCTAGATGAATAATTAATGTAATGGTAATGGTAATTGGTTATAGTTTATTTCATGTACTGTATATTTATTAAGCTAAGATATATTGGAGTTTACAGCAATAGCAATAACGAATAAATACAATAATGGTAAAATAGAACTATTATCTAAAATACTAAAAAATACTAAATTGTTATTAACATAATGGCTAAACACTTTGTTTTGCGTACGAGAAATCATCGTGATGGAAAAATATAGTAAAATTATGTGTATGTAATGATCGATATATTTATAAACAAAAAAATAGAGAAAAATAAAAATGCTATGCAATTATACTATTTTAAAATCATGGTGCTACAATAGCACGCATGGCGGCATTTGGCAGAACGTCTTTTATTGAGTTTTTTATTCATATTCCACAACAAAAAGTTTACTCCCTCCTCAAGAATTAAGTTTCATATAGATTTTGATTTTATTTTCTACCAACATGCATTTGTTAAAACCTATGTAATATGAGTTGTAACTATCCTCTTTTAAGAAAACTAAGGAGCTTTAGACCCCCTCTCTCTCTGAAACTCCTGCTAAACTATCAGTTTTCACCCACGCCCAAGTTTGGCTTTACAAATTATGACTACCGTCAAACTGAATTGTGAAAAATGGCTCGCCTCCTCCAATTTCCTATATTTTTAGCAACTCTCAAAGGCGCAAACCGGGGAAAATTGTCTCTTTTGCACTCAGGATATCCGTCAAAGCATTTTGATATTTCTCGGATGCTCTAACTACAAGAGCTTATATAACATATTACAATGTAGGCGAACTGTGCGACAAACAAAGAAAAAAACAATTAGTGTTACACGTCTAAGTTCATTAACTAGACTTTTGAGTGAACGAATGTTTGAATCGTCTCTATCTCACTGCAGAGGCTAACTTGGAAAAGTTACAGCAAGTGAAAATTTCACTCGCTTTTTGTGCGTTCCAGAAAACCCTTTCGCCAAGTATGTCCTCCATAACTTCTTTGTCCTACCGACGTCCCTATTTTTGTGGCTGGCAGTGGAGTAGCCAGGATTTTCTGTCTTGGGAGAGAGTAGTCACAAAAAAAGGGGGCATAACTGTCATTTAACAATATAAAGAAGTAAAGCATAACATTTTGGGGAGACACGGGCGCCGCCCCCACTGGCTACGTCATACTGACACAAAATACGCACATAGATTAACCAACCAAACTCGTTCACTACGTTCACAGATAAATTTTGGCATCTATAGACTCAAACCACGTTACAGGCGTTATTCTTTTTGATCTCACCAAAGTCTTCGAAACTTATAACCCATTTTTACACGAAAAATTTTCACAACATGAACTGTCTTGTACAACTGTGTCCTGGTTTCAGTCTTATCTGTTAAATAGATCAGTTATTATCACAGTAGCAGAAAATAAAAGGCCTTGTATGACGAATATTCCAATTGGTGTATATGATATGTATATTAGACTGGATAACGCATCTCTTGCAAAAATTGAAGCCGGAAGATCGATCATTTGCTACTGGCTTCATGGGGGGTATCGGTCCCACTTTACTATACTTTTGTATTATAAAATCACAGTTTTCGCGTTTTTATTCCTTTTACAAACTTCTGATTAAGGCAAAATTTTCATGACATGTAGAGGAAACCCGGTAGAGAGTTTGATGTTACCGTTTTCAACTTACTATTGTTCATCAAAATGTCTTTCTGATTATTTTTCTATGTCGATTTGTTTTGTTTCTTCACTGATATAATAAAGACGTAATTTGAAATTATTATGATATTAGCGATGTGAATAACAAAGTGTTATTAAATAAGTAAATTTGCAGCAATCTTCCATAAACGTCGTTGCAGATGAAATGTTGGCAGCAGTAGTGGGATTCTGTAATATTCCTACATTTTTTAAGAAGCAGCAGCATCATATAATCTCCAGTTAGTGTCAAAACAATGCAGGTCGACCTTGTACCATCTCAATTTTCTGCCATTATAAAGCCAAGAAGACAAACTTAAATATCTTTGCCGGTAGTTCTATCCCTTTCGCAAAAATTTTTCTCGAATCAAAAGTTTGTAGAACGAATAAAAACGCAAAAACTGTGAATTTGTAATACAAAAGTATTAGTAAAGTTGGACCACGAAGGTCATTATCAGATGAGGCAACTTCCGGTGTCAATTATATTAGTATATTTTATACATGGATGGATGCGTTATCCGGTGTAATCTACATAACAGTGCTTTTGCCTATTGCTCGTCATCGTCCTTTGCTGTAGATGTATTTATAGTTTATATACTTACACTCCAGATTGCTTTGGTAAGCATTTTTTGAACTTACAACATTTAATTAAAAGTTTAGACACTACTTATAAAGTGAATATCGTATATGATTTAAAGTAAGTGAAATATATTGAATAAGAAACTCTTTGTCGAATTGTGCCAACGTGTAGTTTTAGTAAAGAATTTGAAAAATATGCCATTTTTGTTGACCACTTCATGTTTCACTGTATCTGCAGCAGTGAAATAAGATTTCAGGTTATTTGATAACTATTCTATAAGTACACATCAGCCTTATACAGCTATGTATTGTTTCTGGTATAAAAGATATATTTCAATATTTGCTCTCAGTGTTGTGTACAGAGGTGTGACTGGCCTTCATAGTTGTAGTGGGGCATCTCCTGTTATTCATGGTATGAACCATGATCAATTTTGATGGAAATAATTGATTACTTCTGATTGTTTCATCTTCTTCACAGCATTAATTTAGTGAAGACATATTATAATTAATATAAAATTTGGCCATACATACTTATTGCCGATTCCAACATAACCTGCTGTGTATAACCATTATTCACGTAATGGTTGATGGACAAACATAATGAATACTTACATATATGAATATTGCCGTAGTATTGTTTTGTCTTAGTGCTGCTTGATTTGTTTTCCTTCAAATTTCATTTTTGACTTTAAGCTGAATAAAGCTATTTGTTCAAAAATCAAGTATACTATATTGCTTCTTGTCAGTATTAAAGTGGCTTTGAAACATCAATATAAATCTATTTCCTGTTTAAAATATTTTACAAAAAACAAATGCTTTTAGTAATTTTGTAGTCCTAGAATGTTCTCTAAGCAATATATGGTATTCTGACCAACAGTAAATCTTTCACTGTTTCCTGGAAATAGTTTTTTGCTTGTATTGCTTATTACTAGGACTACAGTGTACCTGCTATGGTATAACATACCACTGAATTATTCTTAAAATAAAAACAGCTTGACAGAAAAAAGACAATTCTCCAACAAAAAACAACTATGCAGTATAATTTTAGAAACCACCAACATATGTGGGCTACACATGTATAAGCATTGATGATAAGTACCATTACCAAAAATGGGGGTGGGGAGTGGAGTGTAAATTTGAATCACTAATATAAGAAATAATCCTTTTTTGTTGTCAGGTTTATGGGATATGATGTATGCAAAGGAAATGTGTGAGAGTGTGAGTGTTTAATTATAGTGTATTGTTGTTGTGCACGAATGTCAAAAAACATTAAGGTCCTAGAGACATGTTAGGCATTAAATGCAGAATGGAATAAAGGAAAAAAGGATAAAATGCGCAAAAGGGAATGAGAAAATGGGAAGTATGTGCAAAAAAGCACACAAATACTTTAAATAACTACTTTCACGCATTGTGTGGTGAAATTTTTCAGTTCTTGCATTGATTCATCTTCGTATTTACGCAGACGAACTCGCAAATAAGTTCGTCTTATAGGTTAGGGATATCCAACCGACACGTATTAGAAATTCAAAACACTATTTGTCGAGATCGGCGAAATTATTGATTATAGCTAGTTTAACTATTAGGGTATTAAATCACACAAATACGCTGGCAGTGACTTTATTCGAAAACTGGTTTAAGATTTCGTTGGCCGAAACGAAGACAAATCAATGTAAATTTCATCCAAGTTTGTGTGACTTTAGTAGATTTTTTAATGTGTTTTTTTTCGCATTTTTACGCATATTCCCATTTGGCTATTCCATTTTAGATGTTTTATCCATCTTTTCCTTCCTCAGCTTCGCTTCGGCGGATAACATTAACCTTGGTCTGAATAATTCTTGATATCATGCTCAACCATTGAGCCGGATCATTGATTGGTCAAATCTATATAAATTGAAAACTCGTTGCCAATGGCATTGTTATAAAATATTTTGAATAAAGAATTAACGGCTAATATATGTATATATTTTACCTAACCTTAAATTCGCTACTCATGCTATCGAAGTGATTTGTGTTACTCTATGAAATCATTTACTCCTAAGAAAAAGGTTTTGAACATGAGTAAAAGCATTACTAATGTCAGTCATTTGCACGAAATGTCTGTTGATTTAATATTGTTGTTAATATATAGAACAACGTACTCTAAAACAACGTCTCATGAAGACTGTTAACTACTAAATGAATATTCTAAATAAACGACTCTACTACATTTTCCATGTTCGTACGAAGTTATAAGATGAATTGTTCTTTATAGATTGTTTAATTTGACGAATTTAAGGCTCAATAAAAGTTAAGCGTTATCTGAAAGAAATAAGAAGAATCTTACACGCACAGGAATTCTAAAATTTTAGATACAATACGAGTCTCCATTTGAAATACGAATCTCCATCGAATTAAAATTTCTGAAACAGTTTTGACGAATAACTGATATTATGATATTATATGACTAAACTGTTGAACATATTGCAAGCGTAGCAGTCTTTGGTAGCTAAAAGATATGCCTTAATTATGTCCTAATGATGTGTTGTGCTCGTTTTTTCTCAGAGTAAACAGATTTCATATAGGTGCAGCACAAACATTGGGAAATATGTTTTTACGGTGTATTTCGTAGAAGGTCTTTATTTCACTAAATTTTCTGTATGAAAGAAAGATGCTCTACACTTTTGTAGGTTTTCTATTATGAAATCGTTGTAATAACATACCGCTAAAGCCAATCTTTTTCGAAATGTAGGTCATTCTTCGATCAATCTATAACAAATGCCTAGCATCTCTTCTCTACATAAGTAAAATTATTGCATTTGCTATTCGCGTAGGTCCTTAATGTTTGTGTTTTCCATACGTAATAGTTGAAATAGATTGCTCTGTTACCCAGTTTGGGGTTTTCATTGTAGCTATTATAAATCCGATATGGCCGAACAAGAGAATGAAGCATTATAGATTTTATTGCGAAATGAGCTTTAAAAGAGAAATAAACAGACAGTTTTTTGAGCATGTATTTGAGTGAAATTGCTGAAAAGTTTATGTAAATCACTAAAATGATTACTTACCACTGTTTCAGTGCTTTTTGTCAAATTGTCCTGTATTTTTAGATCATATTTCAACAGTTTTTTTTATCAAATTTTAGATTCTATTTGTGAAAAGAATTACCCTCCATTCAAGATGCCTGGGATCAAAATCCGTGATGTAGACAGGAAAAAAATCCCAGCGAAGTATATTTGTACTTCCTGCCATTTCCTCCTCGTCAATCCAACACAGACAATGTGTGGACATTTGTTTTGTCAATCTTGTATCGACATTATACTTGGGTAAGATATTTTTCTATCAAAACTGTGAACTGGAAGCTCTGCCTTATTAAAATCATGGATATCATTGGCAATGTTGCTTCTTATCCAATGTTGTATCACGTGTTTCAACCTTATCCTATCTTGTGGTGTCTTATATCTCATTATTGTACAACAGGGGTCTCCAAACGTTTCAGCCAGAGGGCCACATGAACTTTCATCCAGCATGTTGAGGGCCAACGAACCGTATACCGCTGGTCAAAGAGCGATGAAGAAGTATTTTACACTTCACTCTTCATGAAATCGCTGACATTCATCATCTAATTTTCTTTTTCTTTCATGCACAAAGTTTATTTTGTTTAATAATATTCTTATTTTTTTCTCGAGTGTTTCTGCGGGCCAGATTCAGAGGCCTAACGGGCCGCATCTGGCCCGCGGGCCGTAGTTTGGAGACCCCTGTTGTACAACTATCTACTATGGTATCGATGAGGTCAGCAGCCTTGATTTCTGTTATACCTTACTTTAACATGATAGGTACAACATCAAACTACTCTATATGTTTTAAAATACTAGATTTAGTGCGACGATTGATTTCTAAAATACTATTCTTTAAAGTAAATGGTTTGAACCCGGAAGTATCGTTACATGTTTTAATAGTAGATAGTCCAGGTTAGTATAGTCCTGAGAAGGACTGTTTTTGTTGTTGTTGACTGACGTTTCGACAACCTTAGCGGTAGTCATCTTCAGAGTCAAATCAGGAGTAAACGTCAGGTTAGCCGTATTTGTTATCTGGTTCTTACGTCATTGTATTGTGTGTACAGGAAAATGTGAATTATACCAACCTGGACGATCTACATTTACAAACATGTATACTATTCTTTGTTTTACAAAGTGATGCATATCTATATTATGTATTGAGCATAATTGACGTTTTTTCTTTTCAAATAACACATCAACTTAAAAATGTTCTCACGAATCAGAGCTCGTGAAGATTTACTGGAGAAACTAGTCATTCATGTTGTGTTTGTTGTCAGTCAGTTACTTCAATTGCAAGCTGCTTTATCGACTTAACTTTGTTGAAATTCAACTCAAACTCGTAAGAGAAATTGTTATAAAGCATAGAAATATATAAATGAACTCTATAATTCAAACATTATCGCCCGTAATCAAAAAACTCGCTCATACTCACTCTCACTGAGTGCGATGTAAAAACACTATTCCCATTCATCAATGACGAAATTATTTCTCCTTCGATGGCAATGATTTTGCTAAATTTTTTTCAGTCGATAAATTAGTGACGTAAAATACCGTGTTCAAACAATTATAAGCTAATTTTTAAGCTCCATACAGTAATTGTGAGTTAGCTTTTACAATACGGGCGTATGTTTACGTTCATCATAATTCCTAGGATTAAGCAGTTTACAGAAGATGGTGTTTTGCGTGTCTCACCATGATCTTTTCTTAACATTCAACATTTTTGCTACTACAGAATGTATCAAAAAATTTAGAAACTTTAAAAACGTGTGAAAAATATCATTTTATCCAAATTTGTTCAAAATGTGTCAATGTATTTTGGCATCTGGTTTATGTACCAGTGAAATCAATCAAAAAAATTTATCTCGAAATCTTTGAGAAAACTTTGTAAATTCCTCAATTTTAAATAAGAAATTTAGGCAATTAAAATCTAATTTCATTCTGAGGTAAATCTAAAATTTTAGTACAATGCGCAACAGACTTCAAACTTTCACCCGTTCGAAATAATTTAGATTTTAAACTTTTCATTTTCTTTGCGCAAGTGGTTAAAATTGAGGCCTTTAAAAATTGCTCTCCCGCTTTTCGAGAGTAATTTTTCTGATTGTTTTTACTTTAATATAAGCCAAACGATACCAAAATGCATAAACGCGGGAAGATTTTTGAGAAATTTTGATGAAATGATAGTTTTCTCGATATTTAAGTTTTTAAATTTTTTCGATGCACCCTGTAGTTTTCACATTCGTTTAATCTGTAGAAGTTCTAATCCAAAATGTCCCGAAGATCAAGAAAAATTGAGCAGAAATGATGTAGGTGAAAATATTCTAAAGTTTTAAAAGGAAACTTCCATACAGCTGTATCAATCGTTTATTAAAAAACTCCTCTACAAAGAGCTTCCATTCTCAACATTTTCATCTACCAATATGCAATTATTACACCAATCTTTGTACTTTTATGAAACTTATATACAGGTTTTCCCTGATGCTTTTACGAAACGTGAGTTGAAAAGTATTCGTTTACATTGTCCTTCTGAACAATGTGAATGGTTTGGCTCCTACGAAGAATTGGAGGTGAGTTGAGTTGATAAATTTATTAAAAAAGTTTGGTCTTTTTTACTTATTATTAAGTTTCTTTTGTGTCAGGGTCATTATCAAGTTTGTGAGCATGCGCTCATCAGCTGTATCCACAAGCAATATAACATTCAGTTACCTCGCTCTCTCCTTAGTGAACATTTGAAGAATAAATGTGAATATCGAAATGTGAAATGTGAATATTGTGGTAAAGATGTACCGTATGCTTCACTTAAGGTATGCGGAGTATTCTCAGGCGGATTAAAGAAAAATAGAATTGAGATATAGCCAAAAGTGCTAATCTGTATTCATTACAATGTATTTATACCCGTTGGGTCATATCTTGGACCTTTTGTACAAAAAACAGGAGAGTAATATATGAGCGCTTTTCTCCTGTTTTTTAATTTATAAAATTGTATGACTTTAAACGTCATTATATTTTTGTGTATCATTTCTTACCAACCATCTTTCTATATTTCAAGACATTATACCGGATTTTACTTTCTAAGTTTTTACATTTAACATTAGGATCACATAGAAAATGTGTGTGAATATTATCCTGTGGTTTGTGAGTATTGTGGGAAAAAGATACCAAGGAAAGATATTGAACAACATCAAACGACAGCTTGTGATGAAGTGCCGACTGAATGTGAATTTCAAGCTATTGGATGCAGTTATGATAGAGTAAGAATATATGAACTGTTTTACAATTTCATGTCAGTAATGAAATATACAACTTTGAAACTGTTTGCAAACAAAATTTTTATCAAAAGCGCTTCGATTTATTTATATTTATTTTGAAACAACAATTTTTTTACTGCGTATAAAAACAAGATTTAGTCTTAAAGTTTTCATTATATTTGTTTTGAAGCAACGATTTATTGTAGCTAATTTGTAATTTTGTGTCAGGAATATATTGGTATTATCTTTGTATTTCTTTCACGGACTCTAAGACGAAGAGAGATCCGTCAACATATGAATGACAATGTAATTGATCATGTTAGCCTCCTGTTACGATATGTTATGGCATTTGTTACACAGTTAAGTAACTATGTACTACGTCCAGAGTTTACCACTGCTGTTCAAAACTTGGCTGATTATAACAATCGTATGTACGCACAGTGCTTCGTGAATGCTTCCTTAAACAGCGAAGAATGTACGACTCTCGCGCGACAAGTGAGAGAAATTTACTCAATTATACAACGATTTCGTGAGTGTTTAGATCAAATGACGAATCACTTGCGAGAAACACGGTTAAGATTACGGACCTTGAAGCGCAACGTGGCTCGCGTGCACTGGGGTCTAATCAAGCCATACACAGCTACAATGGTACGTTACTGTGGAAAATAGATAACTTCAAGAAGAAGAGACAGAACGCCATTAATGGTATCAAAACAGCCTTGTACAGTGTACCATTCTACAGTTCTCAATATGGTTACAAGATGTGTGCTAAGATCTATATGAATGGTGATGGTTTTGGAAAAGGAACTCATTTATCTTTGTTTTTTGTTGTTATGAAAGGTTTATTCACTTTTATCGTTATTTTTTTGCATTTGACTGCTCTAAAAATGAAAGCATTTTTTGCCATCTACATATAGATAACAGGTTATATACATTATGGTTGTAGATTCAGTTGTTTTAACAAGTGTTTGGTCATCAAATGTTTCATATTTAATATCACTAGTTTTTCCAATTTGTCAATTGCAAAATGGACATCCACATCAAATGTTGTCATGGTCCTTTGAATAACAATAGTGGTCGATGTTGAAATGCTATATTTTCTTATTGGTCTGTTGTTATGTTCAGAAAGGGTTGGGAGTAAGAGAGGAAAAATACAAAGTTAAAGTGCTTTGAAAGAATTTATTATAATAAATTGGAAATATGCATTTACTTTTTTTAAATTGTTTCTAGGTGATAACGATGCACTTCAAACATGGCCTTTCCAAAAGAAGATCACAATGATGTTAATGGATCAAGGAAATGGTGATCACATGATTGATGCTTTTCATTCAGATCCTCAAAGTTCGGAAAATTTAAACAATCACCAGTATATTAAAGGTAATACACTGTTTATTATGTTAATTGTTGACTAAACATATCTTTCTAAATCATATCTGATGTTGGGAAAGGTTTTTAAATTTAAAATAGTTTTTTACGCTTTCCACACCTGTAATTGACGTTATACGTAAAACATTTTTGCCTAAAAGTCTTACTTATCACAAATAGTGAAAAGCTTGATAATTGTTTGTTATTGAGCTATTTGGATGAAAATGACTAAGTGAGTATATTGTTTGAAATTGATGCATTGCTTCGATCATGTTCAATGCCATAATCTTGGTACCTAGCTACTTAGCAGTTGTAGAGGGTTGTGAACTTCCAGCGTTTTTCTGCTTTAAATTTGCATTTGTTGATCTGTTCTATGACTACAGGTGGTTTGTGTGGGATATTGCATAACATAAAATCTGTTCCGTAAATACAGGTTGTTTTTGTGTGAGACTACAAACTTTAAAACTAAATTTTTGCAGTATTTCACAATGTACGATACACAATGTTTTCTGTTGGAGTGGTTTTTTAAAAGTTGGTACTGACGGATTTTGTCGAACAGATGCATGCTGAACAATCCTTGTCAAACATTGCCTTATTTGTTACTTTGAGGCTTACATATTTTATTTTTGTTAAGAGATATTCTCAAATGCTCTGAGATTCGGCATTGTGCGTAAATAGCAAGTGTTTTAACTCAAACCGATCCGAAACAGCATCGAAACTATTAACAAACTACTACAGATATTAGAGCTTAGGAATTTCATTCTTAATATAAGAAATTTACTATTTTTTGTTATATTTTTTAGGTGAATACAAAGCTGTTCAAAAGTGGCCATTTCATAAAAATGACAACACGAAATTTATAAATGATTGTGATGGTAAACACATGGTACTTGATTTTCATTTAAATGGTCAAAGTTCCTCCCTTCAGCGACCTACTTCAAATATAAATGATTCTGGATATCTGCTTCGTCGTTGGCCGTTGGAGTGTTTAAGTCGATTTGTTAAAGACGACACCCTTTTCTTTATGTTATTGATTAATTGAAATATGGTAGTTTTACACTGATTTCGAGGACGTCTATGATACATATTTTTGCTAAACATTTAACCAACTATTGAAGCGCTTTTTGTACGTGATTTTGAGTAAGTTTAATAGGAGGTCGCTGTAGTTGTGAGTGTAGCAAATCCTTTTTGGCCGTGCATTAAAAAAATTTGTCAACAAAAAAGTTTCTTGAATTAAGTAAACCAACCTCTTGTCAAGTAAATTTGTAATAACAGCAAATAGTTTGCCGATTTATAATAAACCAATCCAGATTATTTTGTCCACATAGAAATTAATATCACGTGATGAGTAAAAATGATTTCGGTGATGATATTAAAAAATAAATTAAATAGGCTTTATTAACTTGCATGAAACATAATGAATGTATTAATTATAAACAAAGTAGAGAGGTTTGAGCCAGTCATTTGCCTACCATCGCGCCACATTTCGCTATATCATAATGATTGCAAACGTAACTGCGAATCGCTGGGTATTTTGGCAAGATAATGAAGGATTTTTGCTTGTTGGTAAATATACTGACGAAGTTTGATTCCTGCACTAAATCTACAGAACAGGCTACCCACTTCTAAAAAAATTATAGTTTCCTTTTCCATCTAATGCTCAGTGTACCAGCACAGATATGCCATTGCCAGAGATGACACAACAAAGAATTCTTCTTCTATTGCTGAGTCTACATAATGCTTGAGCAAAGTTTGACGTTTTGTTCAAGCTGTAATGTGGTTTGTTTTGATATCAGAGAGGATAATTGTCGACCAGGTGGAGACGCAAACTTGTAAAGATTTCTGGATACTGTGATATTTAAACACGATGGTGTTTCTATTGCGCTAGAGCTTTGCTTTTTTGGAGTGATAAAAAATAAATTTGAGATTTAGTCAGTTGATATTGGAATCAGAATGTAACAAGTAGTCGAGTAGCCTGGGAAGCTTGGGGAGCGGGTGAAACATTTTTTCGTGGTGCTGAGAAATATGAACGTGAATAAAAACGTAAAATCAAACGTGAGTAAGTGTGAATTAAAACTATAGGTATAGGTTTAAAGCATGATATCTAAATTAAAACGATCGTTTTGACTTTACGAGCTGTTTCTGGAAACTGCACGGAAACAGAGCTGTATCTGAATGCAACCTGTTGTGAATTCGTGTTGTAAGGCTGAAACTAGGCAGAAATATGTTCGTGTTAAATCTAATTATAAAATTTGTAAAACTTGCATGCTCAAACAATACAGGTGCGTTAGAAAGATCGAGTAATTTAAAAAGTGTTTAGTATTCAACTTTGTTGATTACTTGTTAGTGACATTTTTATGCCATTTAATTTGCTTCCATGCACTGGTGTTTTGATTGAGCTGTGTTGTGGTTTCTTATGATATCTGAGAAATAATGTCCCGCCAGGTTTGAATTTCTGTGGAGACGCAAACTTTAGACATTTCTGGACACGATTGACGCTAAATAAAGCGTCTTACAGCACAAGATATATATATTGATTCAAATGTAAAGCAAGTTTCACTATTCACAGTATAGATAAGATAAACTCAAATGTTTAAGGTTGCACGAGGATCATTAAACATTAAACACTACGGTGTTTTTAAAGTTTTAGAACTTTGCTTTTTTGCGGGTGATCAAGAACACAGAAATAAAAAAATTCAGTCATTTTACACTGGATCCTTAATGTAAGTATGTAACAAGTTTGCAGAGTGGGTGAAATATTTTGTCGTGGAACTGAGGAATATGTTCGTAAAAAATATGTATCTAAATACAGCCTGTGCATTCATGTAGTTATGCTAAATTACATCCATCTAGCGTAAAGCGAGCTAAGTGTGAACCTTTGCTAAAATTTGAGATCGATCTCAGATTGATCAAAGTCAGCTCGCTTTGAAAGGTGGTGTGAAATCGATCTGAGATCGATCCGGTTTATATGTGAACGTAAGTGAACTTATTTCGATACAACAGTTTCGCTCCCATGCCGTTTCCGCCAAAACGTAGACATTTTTCTCAAAATTTAAAATCAAAACAGAGAAAAAAGCTTAGAAAATTGGCGCAAAAACGAGAGGTTTGGTCAGAAAAAGACTGTTTAGCCCTCCTCTCAGCGTACAGTATAGAAAAAATTCAACAAAAGTTGAAAGGTACCCATTAAAACGCGAATATTTATATTAAAATCAGCATTATAATAAAAAAAAGGAATAGATAGTGATCAGACGCAATTTAGAACTAAATTTAAACATATGAAATCTGAATATATAAACTTCAAAGACACATTATCACGATCAGGAGCTGGGAGAAGCAAGAAACCTAAATTCTTTCGTTATGGACAATTTCTTGGGTGACAGACCAGAAGCAAGGGGTCTAAAAAACGCCATCGATACATCTGATGACTCAACGTGTTCATCAGCTGATGCCTAAATAAAAAGCATTAACGTGCATCATGATGATGGTAAGTTATCGTGGATGAGTTGATATGAAGTGTTTTTTTTGCAAAAGAAAATATTGGTTTTGCTTTTCATAGCAGACGAGCTTACAAGAAAATACGGACACGGGAGGATCATTGAAAAAAAAATTTTCTTAGTGCGATGAGTTTGTGGAGCTTAGGACAGCAGGAGCCCATGTTGGAAACAGCACTGCAGTATACGCTGATGATGACAGACTTGTTTGCCCACATTGCGATTACATTAAAGCAGGTGAAAAGTAGAGCATTGCTTGTGTGTACTATATTTTGTTTTATTACGTCGTAACATTTATGAGATATGTTATGTAGATGTCAGTAACGCAGATGAGAAGTTACCTAATGAAGCAAATGAGGAGTCCCTACCATTTCAAAGTGAAAACAAATCAGTGCCAAGGAAAAGAATACCAAGGGGGGGAGGAAAAGCCCTCCAGCATGCAAGTGACATTCGAGAATGCAATGAAAGAGCACAACAAATGTCTCAAGGAGTCCAATGAAATGCTTTTGTAAGAAATGAAAAAAGAAGCAGAAAAAGAGCGAGAGTTGCGAAATGAAGAGCTTAATGTTTATAAGGAGTCAATGTCACTTCTTGCTAATGCAATAGCAATGAGGTCTCAGCCTGTGCAACAACCATTCTACAATGTTCACCATGATGCTGAAAGTCAAAAGACATACTACAAACTTTGATTTCATTTAAGAACATGAGTAATTTAGCTATCATCAGCTTGTGTTATCAAAAACTCAGTTAAAGAAATTCTAATTTGCTCTGCACTTGCATCTGTATTCTGTAAAACAAAGTCTGAAATTTCATCATCAGGAATAAGTTCAACACAATCTGCAAAAAGTTTGTCAGCTCTACTGTCACGAATATTTTGTACAACACAACATGCTGGAATTTTCATAGGCAAATGATCTAGATTTGTATAATTCTTGTTAAGTAGGCATCTGAATCTGTTTTTTAAACGGCCAAATGCACACTCTACGACTTGTCTTGCTCGACTTATGTAGTAATTAAATTTCTTTTGAGCAGGGCTGATATTGCCATCGTTAGGATGCCTCTTCATCAACCATGGTAACAGTGGATATGCTGGATCACCAATAAGCATGAATGGTACATTGCAACCACATATCTCTTTTTCTCCCTAGAATATATCAAAACCATGAATTTTCGTGGCTATTATCAAAAATGCAGTAAAATTTGCCTCTGACCTAAGATAAGCTTTTTATTATAAGAACAGAAAACTTACATTTGGGAAAAGTTTTCCTGCTTCAGCTTTTGCAAACACTCCCGAGTTTGACAAAACTCTTACATCATGGGCTCGACCTGGCCACTTTATGCAAATGTTAGTGAACCTTCAAAATTTTTTGCATATATATTTTTTTATTTTTTAAGTGTGTGTAATTTAATTTACATTGAACGAACTTTCCGGCGGTTTGAATTGGAACTTAATATTCCTTTGGTGGTGTCGCAGCGCTCTGTGTATTTAACAGAGCACACTTCATAAAGATATTTCTGAATCATTTCTGAGTAACAGAATTTCGAAAGCATCACCATACTTGTGACAAATGTGTTGTAGTAAAATTATGTATGCTGTATAATTTAGTGGTATAATTGACATATTTAATTAAAATAGACGACGAATTTATCCTCCCACACGCGTTTCGCTGAGAATGCAGTTTTGCTATTGTTTATTTTTCTGCCTTGTGCTGTGGCCAAAATATAAATACGTCATATTAAATTTTCAACAATACGAAATGAAACAAATTCCGAATAAAGACATCCTGTTTTCTTGATATTCCAAATAAGACTTAAGGTTTTTCACTAGTAAATTAATTTTCTTTCAACATTACAAGGAATGCGTGCGTCAAAGCAGTATTGAACGGAAGTCGAATCCGAAATAAAGCGGTTTGTGACCTTTAAACACTAAACACTTCCGCATGTGGAGTGAATCGGAGTGTTCTTCTTAACAGTTTAACTAAAAATAATGGCATAGTGGTTTGAAAGTCTAATCAATTGAATGGCACATGGCTGAATATATAAAGTATGTGAAATGCTGTTGAATTACTGAAGGTTTTTGTTTGTTCTTGTTTTGTTTGTTTAGTCTAATGGGTACATACTTTCGTGGGGTCACGTTCAAAAATTTTTGTTATGAGTTGAAACATTGAGGAATACAGTTAGAACTACCAGCGCATACTCATTGGCATAGACAAGGTGTTGGGGGCTTATATAACCCCCAATGAACAGAGGTAATGACCTCACAAAAAGACTAAATCAGGGTAGAAATTAGGAGAAGGGGGCGATAGCTAGTTGGATACTTATGTTACTACCAAACCCAACTTGTTTAATCTTCAACTTATTCACCAATTCTTCTGAGGAAAATAATGTCAACATTGGTATTTCGACACTTTGATTTGAGTATTTTCCTGCGTGTTAATGAGCATCGCAGTGTTATTGAAAATATTCTCACTAAATAAAGCATTAAAATTGCTTATGAACCAAGAAAGACTGCAAAGTATTATGTTTATGCCAGTCAACATCTGACAGAATGGAAGGTCTACAAACATTGGAGTCCTAATTCATTGTTTTGTGGACATATCACCATAAAGAATGAATCATATAATCATCTATAGAAATGCAGGGACCTAATTCCTATTGGATACAAGTTTTTGTAACTCGAAAGGAAAAGATTAATTTTTAGTTTCTCTTAAGCTAGGCAAGCATTAACATGACTATACCATTTGTTATAGATGTCCTCAAGATTCTATTTGAAGTATTACTTTTTGAGGTACTAAATTTACTTCAGTAATACAGGTTTTTGTACTTATTTCCTTTGTAAACATTAAAAATCATGGTACTCTCATGAGTCTCTTTGCTATGCTAAAGTGTGAAAAACTATCAGAAAGTATTGGATAATCATGT